AGCGTTGGAAGGCCTCTCTGGACGCTGGCTTTTACTTGTGTGTTGAAAATGTTTCCACATCACTCGTCAAGCGTTTCCATTCGAGAGCTTCAAGCTCCTCTCTTCGCGAAAGAGCCGAAAAAAAAAAATAAAAATAAAGAAACGGAAAGCGGCGGTGGCAGTGCCATGACAACAACAACAACTACTGGAGCGGGTTGCTGGCAGAGCGCACGCGCCCCAGCTGAAATTGATGAGTAGAATCCAACGGCGCCCCTCCCGCCCGCCACTTGTGCTTTCGTTTCGCTCCACTGAGCCGGCTTTGCAACCCCTTTTGTTCTTCTTCTCTTTTTCTTTCTCTTGCTTTGTGGGCCTCTCTCTGTTTACATTGTGTGGAGTCGCCATGGGAACCAAGGCGGCGTCCTAGCCGGTTTATTGCAAGAGCTGGCTCTCTTCCAGCCTTCCACACTCCGATATCACTCCAATTCCATGCCGTGACTCAGCCCCAGTGACATTGCATTTGCATGTGACTTGTTGTTAATTGCTGTAATTTTTGGACTGGACGTCGCCGGCACATAATTGCACTCACCCGAAGCCCCTCCCGCTCGGAAGCCGGCTCCCGGTTTCCTTTCTTTTCCTTTCCTGTACAGTTACAGCTAGTTTCGTGCCTGGTTTTCCTTGTTCTTTTCGCTTCCCTTACTTTCGAGTAGTTTTTTGGGCCATGCTTTCAATTGGTTGTTGCTTTCCTTCCGACACTTTTGACTTACTTTATGACCTGGTCGATTATGCTCGCCGTCTTATCGAGCCTTAAATGGGTCTTGAGGTGTTTTATTGAGGGGTTGAAGTTTTATTTGACGTTGCTTGGTTTCTGGATTTTAATAGAATTTTGGATTTAAAGATGCATTAGTGATCATAATTTAAATAACTTGATTCGTAAGCTTGTACAGAAATCGTTTTAGATTTTTAAGCAATGGAAAAGGCGACCTAAAGTAGGCAACAAAATATTGTAGGACACAATATTAACCCTTCTCGAAGTTACATCTGATGTGTTCTAAGTATGGTATCTTAAAGAAAATTATATTGCATCAGCAAAATACATACCTCTAAACCTAAATAAACTCAATCAATTTTATATTAATACCTGATCTTTATTAAAACTAAAATTAATGACAAGGTCTTTTATTTTACGCTGAAGGAGCATTACTTTCGCATCACAAGTACTTGGCAACATAGTTTTGTTTTAGCTTAAATTCACCTAACTTACTCTGAACAATTTGGGTCTATGGTTTGGCTACGAATTACATTCAAAATTAGCTTACAATAAATAAGAACTTTAACTAATAATTGGCTAGGCTTACAGTTCGGTGTGCTTGGGCTTGTTGAACAGCTTTTCGCAGAGCTTGGACAGGGCCTGTGAGACCTCCAGTCGGTATTCGTCCTGGCTATTGGCATACCGATTCCGGATTGTCAGAAGAGCATGCCTCAGTCCCGAACTTTGTGACCACGAGGCACTGCAAAGGTCCCCGGTGATCTCCAAAGCAGTGGCAAACTGCTCCACAATCTCTGGCTGCTCCAGGAGGTGCAAGTAATGTTTGGCCAACACATTATCCACCGCTGCGCAGTAGCCGTGCGTTTGTAGCCAGGGCTGGAACTCCAACAGTACATATTGCGCCACTGTTGAGGCGGCATCTGGCGCATCTTTGCTGGTCTCCAGCACAAAACGCTTCTCTTGCACCAGGTCACTGATGAGAGTTACAACCTTGGACTTGCTGCGTAGCTCCACGTCAGGACTCTGGAGTAACTTGATCAAGGCCTGGGTGCCAGAAGTGGAGAGTATTCGCTGCTGGGCGAGCGGAAACTTCCGCAGCAGTGCTCCAAAGGCATGGAGCGCTGCAGAGATCTCTCCGGCATTATTCGAACTGGTAAGGATCTGCGCCAGATGCGACCCAAAGTTCTTCTCGAATACCTTGATCTGCGCCTTGGGATTATTGCTAGTCAGGGAGCCCAGGACCCGCATTGCTGATATTCTCAACGCAGTGTTTGTATCGTTGACTACGATCGGCAGGAGGACGTCGTCCAGCCCGCCATTATCGATGAACAACAGGGCGTTATCAATCTGATGCAGCAGGTACTCCAGGTTCTCCAGGGAGTCCAGTTTGGAACGAAGTTCAGACTCCAGTGGCGTCTTGCTAAAATTCCGGTACTGATCAATTAGCTGCACGATCAGCTCGCCGTCCGTGCGAAAGTTCTTTTGGAACTCCTTGTAAGCTTTCCGCAGCTCGGCGTAGCTCTTCTTTTTCTCTTTGACCCGGCGCAGCGACTCCTCGATAATATCCGGCTTGTAGTCCAAGGAGAGCGGCTCATTCTCATCCGCCTCCTGACCTTGTTGACTTTGCAACGCCGTGCCACGTTCGTTTTCGTCCAGAAGTTTCGCCTCCTTGAGTCCCGTCTGCAGATTTATCCGCACATGGAGTCCCTTGGGAATAGCTTGTCCTAGAAAACCAGAGTCCTTGATTAGTACACGTCATCGGAGCAAGTTTATTTAGGAAACCATTACCTTCCGCAATCACCTGCCATTCCTTAGTGGCCACGAATTCACCTGTTTTGTTCTCAGTTTCAGTTGTCCCTGCCACTTGCAAGCTTCCCAGGGCCAGGACACTGGCCGCAAAGGCAATGAACTTATAGCCACGCATGCTGCTTCTCTTGCTCTAGATTATTAATGACTCTGAACTGTATTTCGCCTGCTATTTTAAGACTTTCGTGAGAAATTTTAAATCCAAACTTAAGACTGATGTGGTCGTGCACAGTAGTGTGACCGCCGATTTTTTCGCTAATAAAGCTGAAATGGAAAAGAGCGGGCTTTCCGTTCGCGACACTTTGGTCATATTGAAAAGCTCAGAAGGGATTACTTTGTTTTTATTTAAAAAAGACCGGGAAAGATAAGGATTGTTTTCGTTTTTTCTGAAAAACTATTATTTTCTCTGCTTTTTTTATCAATAATTATTTTTATTCTGTATTTAATTTTAAAAATGTGTAAAATGAAAATGTTAACGTTTGATTTTGATAAAAATTAATAGCTATTCTATATCTTAGCTTTGTAAATTTTGTTTATTTTACAAATAAACTTTACTGAATTAAAAATGTATTATGTTTTGCTTTCCTTTTTTTAAGACGTATTAAGATTCTGCACTTTGATCTAAACAACTGGGAGAGCAAATAATAATATTCAAATCGATCCACTTAAAACCTGAACCCTAAAAAAATTTCCAAAATCATCGTGAATTCCTTAAAATTAAAAAGTTACACCCATTCAGAAGCTTTCCACAACAAATTACAAAGTAGAAATACTAGTCCACAAACATATATTATTGATAGTATTACTAAACATTTTTGCCGAATCACGTTTACGTCAGATGAACCAAATACAAACAAAAAAACATATTTTAGGCATCGTGTTTGCATACCATTAACTGGTATTCTACATATTTCGATCGCATATATATGGAATCCGCTGTAATCCCGATCGATGTCTACGACAGCGTCTAGGAATTGGCTCTGCAAATAAAGCTCTGGAATGATGTGAACTCACCTGCCAATTGTATGGCCAAATAATAAACAAAATGCCGGTTTCGCATTGTATTCGCCATACGCTATATCTAAAGCATCAGGCCAGAATATGCTAATTGCCGATGACGAATGCCAGAAAGAAGTCTTTGTCGAATTAAAATTAAATAAACCCCAACGGCGCCTGTCAAAATAGTTTGAAAGTGAAGCCATCTTCTCGCAGGGGGCAACTTTTGTGTGGTGAATCCATTAAGAATGCCGTTGAAACCAGTTTTTTGATGTGTCGTTCGCTCTGTTCGATAATGTCTAATTGGCTTATGTTCGGAATTGAGTTATTGGCCAACAGATCAATTAGGTCTTCTTCTCTTTGGAAGGGGGTATGATGTGCAAAACGGAAATTCTTTCGTGGATTGAAATTAAGCCGTGGAAGTACAGCATCTCCTGAAAAGCAGTAGAATATTGTTTAATTGAAGAGTTTAAAGTAAGCAATTAGGAAGATAGATACTGTGTATATATACATCACTTAAAAAATAGAGCTAAAAAAATAATTTTTTAATGTACCTACACACACACCCAATATAAATGCTGTCTATGTAATTCCTTAAAAGCTTATAACATGTAGTAAAAAGTAAAAAGTTCTTTAAAAAGTCCCCCTATAACATTAACCTTTGACACCGCTCTTAATGAGTTCTTTCAATTTCATTTTAAAACCATCGTGGCCACTTAGCACCGGTGACTTCAAAAACACTTTGGAAATCCCCAAAAAAAAGTTCCAAGCTCTGCTGCGCTACTGCTGATCTCAAAGCAAATATCGGTTCTGATAAGTACGAATTATTATTATTTGCACTTCATTATAAAGTGCGAACAAAGCGAAGAGATGCCGTTTCGGGGATCTATAAAAAGTACAAAAAGGCCAAAATAGTCTGAATAATGCATTGTGCGGTGTAGTACATATAGATATTGGTAGAAAAACGTGGACGGGTTTAAGCATTAAAATTTATAAGAATCACTTTTGATTTTCTGCTGCCTGCGTGCCTTTTTCCTTTGTTATTGTTTATTGTTATTTGTTGCTATTCTCGCGAAACCGGGCACATGCTAATAATATTAATTAATAATATTGTTGCTGCCAATTCTGGCTAGGGGTGCCTATGATAATGATCATGACCACGCCGAACACGATGACGCTGATAATGATAATGATAATGATGATGATGATGAGAAGCCAAAAAACAAAACGAAAGAGATACTCGAATAAATAAAAATAGCCACCAATCAGGTGACAAGCAACAACAACGAACAGCGGCAGCGGGCGAGACAAGTCAGGAATGAATAAACTATGAAGTGTACTGGTTGTCGGCGACTCCGATCCAAGCGATCCAACCGATCCGTCCAATCTCTGGCAGTCAGAAATTTTATAAATGCCGCCGTCTGTCCAGAGCCAATTTACAGTTTGCCATTGAACTTGGTCGGGCGCTTGCCAAATCAGTTGTCGTTGCCGTTGCCGTGAATTTCGTACCTGTGTATTTCCCTGTGTTCCCGGTTTTATATTTGGAACCATTATGCTACTGTTCCAGCTGAGTTCCGTGGCTTTGCTTATCTGCCTGGCCAGCGGTGCCTCCAACTTCCGTGAGTCTGCCACGGTTCTATGAGTGCCTCGAACGGAAGCGTTGCTAATCTTCCGGACTTATCCTTGCAGCTCCCGAGTTGCCCCGCTGCAAAATTGGTGACACCACCTGCATTATCAATGTGTCCCACACGCTGGTGCGTCAGTATGCCAAGACAGGCTATCCGGCTGCAGGATTCCCCCAGGTTGAGCCCTTCTTGGTCAAGCGATTTGATATCTCCGACGGACGCAGTGGTTCACTGAATCTCAAGCTGAACTTTAAGGATGTGAATGTGGAGGGTTTGTCGGGTGTGAAGTTCGATAGAGCTGTGTGAGTATAAAATAGGTGAAGGATAATTAAATTTCTTAAGGAATTGTGGACAAAAAGAAACTCATATTGATGGGTTTTAATTTAAAGCGCATAAAAAGTCAAGCCTTCTTCTTCTGTTTATTTTAAACATAATGCTTAAACTAAAAAGAGATAAATTAAGTATTCGGTTTTAAAACTAGTTACTTCTGTGTTTAATCCTAGAATTTATATTCCCAGAGATCTACTATAATAATCCTTTAATCCCGTAGTGGCTTTGGTCCCGATCCCGCCACCAGCAAGTTCGAGATGTATGGCTCCTTTCCCAAGATCGTTCTGCGCGGCAAGTACGTGGCTGATGGCCGCATCCTGATCCTGCCCATTCGTGGCGATGGCGATGCCGAGATTATCCTGCACAACCCCAAGTTCTCGGTGAAGTTCAAGCCGGGAACCCAGCAGCGCAATGGACGCACTTTCCTGAGTGTGGACAAGCTGAAGGTGCTGGTGGAGCCACAAAAGTGAGTCTTCATTCACTACCACTAAGTTTCCTTTTTAAATCGAATGCATTTTTCCAGGATGAACATCCGTCTGGCGAATCTTTTCAATGGAGATCAGGCACTGGGCGCCAATCTGAACCAGTTCCTCAACGACAACTGGGTGGAGGTGTGGAGCGAGCTGCATCCCTCGATCCACGTGGCCATTGCAGAGATCATGAAGACCATCCTCACGCAGCTGTTCAAGCGGTTTGCCTACGAGGACCTCTTCCTGGAGAACTGAACGCCACACGTTTGGCTTTAGGCTAAGTGTACGAGTATTTCCTCATCGGCATTTCATAACCACACGGGGCGTTGCATTCCGGCCATTGACATAACACATATCGTCCATATATTTGCTAAGCTAAGCTTTAAAACTGTAGAATAAACAAACATGATTCGATAACTGGTTGGTTGTCTGCGTCCATTGTTTAATCAAGCGTAGATCTTGTCACCATTTCCGCACAACTGTCGCATACGATTTTTTGGCAAACAATTCGATTTGCCGATTGGCAAGCGGCTCACGTGATCCGGCCTTTTGATTGCCAATTTGCATCATAAAGGCAAAATGGGCAATAACTATTGAAAAACCTATTGAATAGTATTTTATTAATCTAAGTGGAAATTAAGTGACGTTTATATTAAGCGAAAAAGATGTACATATTTGCGTATAATCGATCTGATCGCCAGGAGGATTTCCTTGTGATTTTTTATTAAAAAAAACTTAATTGGATTAATTTTTATTTTAAAAGTAATGAGTTCCAAGCAATCGAATTCTGTAAACAGAAACTAACACTTCTGTTGAAATCACTTATCGAAAACACGCGTATATATACAAAAACACATATGTATATAGACAATTAGTGTAGATGCAGTTTAGAGGCTATCGCTATGACCGCGCCTGTAGATCTCATCTTGAGACCCTCACCTGGAAAGTTCAAGAGTACCAAACGGTACACCTTGTTGACCTTGGAAATTGCATTAAAATCTTCCATGAGTCAATCAACTGCAGGCGAATACGTGTAGCCAACAAAAACTAGTTGCTTTTGTTCTCCACGGAGGCTGGGCTGTAAAACGGGGCGTTGTTTTGGCCATTAAAGATAACTGAAGTCTAGGGGGGACCTGTTTTGTTCTGTTCTGGCTCGAACCTCTATACTTCGTCTCTTTAATTTGACATCCCACGATGACATTGTGGTTTTCGATCCATCAGCTTTAATATTTGGAATTGGCTAGCCCTTAATTTTATTGTTGGAATAAGTTAACAATTAAATCGTCTACAGTAAAATTATAGAATTTTAAATGTGAAAAATATATACGAAGAAGTTAAGTTTTTTTCTGTACTTAAATATCTATATTCTTTTTAATTTACACTTCAGAAAAAAATTCGTAAAAATATAATAAAATAATATAGGTGTGATATAAACTAGATAGTTAACCCCCGCTCAAATAAGCATTTAATTGACCTTTAAATGAGTTTAATTTATTCATTTCATTCAAGTTGTCGAATTATCATGGCAGTCTAGACTGGAATACAAGTCAATCCGAACCTAGTATACTTTAATAAAAGCATTTATTCACTTAATCTCACCTTGGTATTACCTAATACTATAAACAAATTCAAGATTACATTACACGTGTATGTTTTATCGGAGTTTCTGAATACTATAATATTATAATTGTTAAGTAAGGAATAAACAGTAACATAAATCTAATTTATGCAATATAAACTAGTTTCTCTCTATTAAAGTGAGAAGTAATGGGAACTTATAAGTCGCGCAATAAAAGTGTGACTATAAATAAAAGACGAAACACTGTCCCGCAACTTAGTTTCACAACGTTTTAAGCCGCATTAACATGCCCGGAATAGCTATTGCATTACTTCTCTGCCTAATCGCTTGTTCACAGGCCTTGTTCCGTAAGATATAATCTAAAAGGATATAAAGTGACTTAAAAATAATAACTCTAAAAGTGATAAAATGATCCCCTTCATTAATCCCTAAATAATACCCCCGCAGCTGATGATCCCGTGCCCTGCAAGTACGGCGATGGCGATTGCATAGCTAAATTCTGCAATTCTATGTTCAGCATGAGATCGGGGAAAGAGGATCCCAGCTTAAACATATGGAAATTGGATCCCTTAAAGGTTGATAAGATGGTCATTAACCAGGCCGGCAACAGTGCTGTTGGCATAAAACTAACTTTTACGGATAATTTGCTGTACGGCGTAAAGAACATGAGAGTTGTCGGAGTAAAGTGAGTTCTTGTTATATTATTGTGATCCTACGAATCAAGTTCCAACTAATTAATATATATTTAACTATTTAGAGGATTTGGGAAAAATCTGACGGAGCCACATGAAATAAGGACCGTTTCTAAGTCATACTCCCTTGTGGGTCCCTACAACATTCAGGGAAAAGTTCTCATACTGCCCATCAGTGGCACCGGCGTCAGTAACATGTCGATGAGTAAGTAACCCCCACCGATCTTTCGCAAATGGATTAACTATAACCCTTTCCTCTAAATACTTTAAGGTAACGTTAAGATGATCGTTAAGTTTTCTGGGCAGCCACTCGTAAAGGATGGGGAGACCTACTTGGACGTTACCAAGTTCAAGCTGTCTTTGAAGCCTGCAGCCACTTCATATTTATTCACCAATCTCTTTAACGGAGACAAGGCTTTGGGTGACAATATGAACGCCTTCCTGAACGAGAACTCGGAAGCCATTTACCAGGAAACGAGCCAGTCTACAGATCGAGCCTTTGGCGAATTGTTACATAACCTGGTCAAAGGCGTCTTTGCCCATCGTCCTTATGCCAAGTTATTTGCGGAGGAGTAGGTAAAGTTAAATAGTTTTCGTACCCTTGGTTATCTCAGGTTATCCCAGTCAACGGATATTGATATGACTAGTCATATTAACACAACCCATAAAGTTGTGGAATTATTTTAGTCATAACAGACTATAACAACCTAATCCATTATCTAGATCTTTAATTTTAATAGAGTGACAATAAACTTAACGAACTTTAAAGCGTACCTTATTATAAACCAAAATAAATTAGAAGTCATCCAAATGACAGGGAGCAAAGTTTAAGTTCTAGTGTTAAAGCTGTAGTTAGAGCGATTAAAATTAAATTTTTTTTATTCAAATTATCTCAGAGGGAGACTCAAATGTATAAATGTTTAATTTCCGCCTGAAAGTATGTGTCATGAGTGTTCAGGTAAATAACTTATAGAGGAGGAAAGGTCAATCTATAAAGAAAATCGAATACATCAAAACATCTAAACGCACAAGGAAATATAGACAGATAGTAACCTCCTAAACTAACCCCTTGGGATAAACAAGCTGTTACTCAGCCATTAATTAGGCGCCATTTGAATATGTCGAAGGAATTCAATGTGGAATTAATGACCGATTTTTGGAAGGCCAGGCCAATTTGCATATATCGAGCGAATTACATGCAAAACGTGATTAGGAGACATGGGACTGAATCAAATCGAATCAAAATGGATGCGATTTGGATGGCCGGTGTCAATGGCTTTAAAGTGCCACTGGTAACCCAACGGGTTCAAGTTCAAATTGGAGGTTCATTAAAGGGAGTCATAAAATAAATTTGCCGGCAATAACAGCACACTTCGGCTGCCTGCCTGCCGCCTGGCCTGACTGCCTGCCGGTTTGGTTTATTATAATAATATAATCCATTTAACTGACTCAGCCGGGTACTTTTGGTAGCTGGTGACGGTCTAAAGTCATATTCCCTCTCAACCTGAGACGCAAAAAGGCAAAAAAGCGGTTTACACCAGCAGCAGCAACAAAAACATGTTACAATTCAAGCTCACACCCGAAAATTTCAATTGACATACGGTGATATGGTAAGATATATAAGTGGTATCAACTGCGACTAAGTGTATCAGTATTCAATTGTGTTTTGCCTGCATCAATTATGGAGCTTACTCTGCCCGTTGTCCTGCTGCTGCTGCTGCTCGGCTGTGCGTCGGTGTCCGTCCAGGGACACGCCTCCGAATTACGTGAGTTTCGACCCCCTTTTAGCCTAAAGAATTTTACCCGAATTGCATTTTACTCAACTGCAGCCTCGGGTATCCAAAGATGTGAGATCCAGGACCAGAATTGTGTAAAGAACGGTGTCAACCATGTGCTGAGGAACTTTGCAAAGACCGGCATTAAAGAACTTGCGCTGATCCCCCTAGATCCACTGCACGTCACCACATTCAAAATCGCACGTAATCCCAACAGCCCGGTTAACATTGATCTGAGCTTCCACGAAGTGGACATACTGGGCCTCCATCTGGGAAATGCCAAGCAAGTGAGGTAAGAAATTGTATAACTACTGTTTTTTTTAAAACTTACCGAACAGCTAATGTTACCAGGCGTCGTCTAGGTCTTATAACTGCTCTATATCCGCTCCAATTTAGTTATTTCCAAGTGTTTTCTGTGTTAAAATATATATATTCTTTTGTTTTTTAGTGGCTTCACGCCTGATCTCAGCCGTAAAGTGGAGCTGATCATGGATGTGCCCGAAATAATCGTTAAAGGACCCTACGCCGTTGATGGCCGAGTACTAATCCTGCCCATTGTGGGCAAGGGCAAGGCCGTAATCCGACTGAGTAAGTTGGTCAAGTAGTTACCCTAACATCTGATCGATCTTAACTTCGTCCATTCACATAACAGAGGACTGCAAGATTCGAGCTCAGATCAAATTCAAGGCCGTGCACAAGGGCGAGCACCAGACCTTTGCCGAGGTCGAAAGCGCCAGTGTGGATATCGATCCCTCTCATGTGACCTACCACCTGGAAGGACTCTTCAACGGCCAGAAGGAGCTGAGCGACAACATGCATGTCCTTATCAACGAGAACTGGCACGAGATCTTCAACGAACTGAAGCCTAGCATTGGAGAGGCCTTCGGGCTGATCACTAAGTCTGTTCTGGGCAGGATATTTGGCAAACTGCCGCTCGAGCATCTGTTTGTGCTATAAACCATGGAAATACAGTACAAAAAATGTTTAACGTTGTGAATATTTATTTTAAATGTTCCTCATACAAATCAATCGTAAAATAAAAAAGAAAAACAGGCACTGTTGGCATTCATCTAACAGTTTAAGAAATTAAATAGATAGTCAACTTCAATTGTGACTCGGAAGAATACGTGTTTGTCTCCTTAAGGATTTTCATCTCCAACTTGCGTTCTTTCAATTGTTGTTTCTTATAAATATTGTAATTTAGTGAAAATAGGCAATACTTATTTGTTATTGTCAATTTTGAGCTCCATTCTGATCCATTTCAGCATCTGAAGCGTATGGGTTGACACTTGCGCTCGGTTTGCTTAGGCGGCGAAGATGGCGGCACATCAAGTATGTCGCCAAACACCATCCAGTTGAAAGGTTCTGTCATCATGCCTGACATAATTATGTCAGCTGCTTCAGTTCCCTCCGGCGGTGGCTCACACATGGCCACAATATTTGGTGGGAAGTACGCCTCCGGATGGGCGAGCAGAGCCGACAGGTACTCCTCATGTTCGACGGCACAGAGCACAACATTGTCCAGCTGATAGCGCTTGCCAATAAGTTCTTCCTCGGGGGTGAGGACGCGAGGCTGAGCCGCCTGCTCCTCGGCGGCAGCTAGTTGCATGGCGCGTGCGTTCAACGCACGGTGATTTTGAATCATGGACGACGAATAGCGATGCTCCAGATCCATTTCCCAGTTGAAGACATGAATAGTCAAATGCGATGCCTTCAGCCAATCGCGCAGATTTCCCAACAGATTCTCCAAGCGATGGGCATTGTCTGGAAAAAAACAAATGATCGAATGAAATCGAAACTCAAATGAGAGCCACAGCTAAGGATACTTACGTTTGGCCAGAGGATTCACAAAGTTACCACGGTGATGGCGCATTTCGACACTCATGAAGTGCTTGAAGGACTTCAGATGGGCAGTCGATCCATTTAACAGTTTGTCGCACTCTGTGTACTTCTCGTAGTCAAAGTGGCGATTCGTCTCCAAAATCCGTCGTTGGCCAAGCAGGAACCGCTCCACTTTGGTGCACAACACCTGCAACTGGTAACGCACATTCAAACTGTTCGGCATTGCCGTCCTCACTGGCATGTCGAACAAGTAGTCCGATGGCATCGAGTTTTGGCGAGAGCAGCTCAGATCGGTCGACATGTGATCATGCAGGGACCTAAAGAGGTCCATTAGCCGCAGCACAGGATTATGCTCCAGACTGCGAATTAAAATAAATATTATTTTTAATTAAACAATATTTTAGAAAGCTTATTGGATACTAAACACAGCTTCTGCAACATCTATATACATATATACATTTGCATATGTGAGTTGTCACCACTAATGGATCTTGCTCAGCATGTCCCTAGCAACACTTTTTGCTTTATAGTGTTGCGCATCATGTTTTTAGCAACATTGCTATTTATGAAGATTTAACCGACATATACATACATACATATGTACATATGTATGTAGCATTTAAAACGGTACCTCACAACCGATATTTTGTCCTTATTTTTATTACATCAACTCATGACTCACCAATCGCCGTACAATCCAATCGATCGCAGACTCTCGTCGCTAATATCGGGCGTCATTTCATTTTGATCACGATCGATCATGCTCAGATTCCATGTATTCTCTTTTTGCAGCTGCATTTGCTTCTTCTCGGATACCAGCCAGTTGCTTTGCCCGTTGCCCGTCTTCTGCTTCTTTTGCGGAGCACCCCCAGCCGATCGCTGGCCGCCGCGATGTATGCGCGATCTCTTCGGCTTGTGCTGCTGGTTCTGTTGCCTCGGGCAACCCAAGCCGTGGAACTCTAAGGTCGGCGCATTACTGTCCAATTGGAGCACCCCGAACGTACGCTGTAGCTCAGAGAGGACATTGTTGGCCGAGGAGACCTCGACTTCTGGGGGCTCTTCTGCCAGCGTCTTCGGATCGATCTCGTGGGATTCCATCATGTAGCAGAGCTGCTCCTGCAGCTCCTTCAAATTGTTGTCGAGTTGATGGTCATCTGTGGACTCATTGTTACCGGAAGAACGTGGATTAAACATTTTTTATTTTGTTTTTTTTTTTCGCGCTCGAAATCACAAGTACCGCCGCCGCGTCTGTGTCTGCAAGTGATTTTTTACCGTTTAAAAATGGCGCGGTGCCACGCTGTCTGTCGAGTCAGGGGGGGCGGGGGAAGGGGCAAAACAGTGTGAACATAAATCCACGATCTGTCGGCGGAAATATACTAAAAATATACTTTCGAAACTTTCATAAGCTTTAATATACCACAAACTGTTATAACTGGTATTAAATCAAAAGATCCTTAGGTTTTTTCTTGCAAAATCGTATTTTTCGGGCCTTAGAGCCTTGTGCGCTCATCCTTGAGGTTTTTATCAAGGTAAAATTATATAAAACGCGGAAAAAGCAGTATAAGCTATAAAAGTGTCCGAAACGTACGGCAGCTTCTATTTTTTTAGTGTAACCAGTTGCATGAAAAGTAAAATTTCTTCCTTCGTCAGGGGAATGTTAAGGGAATATAAAAGAAATACTTTGCGGGCACACTGCACTGCACTGGGAAATATTTATATTTAAATAAATAAACATGATTTTCTGCCTAAAATAAACGTTGCAGAAAATTGCTACGTGTTTTCTTTAGAGCTGTTATGTTAAAACTTTTTGAAAAAAATCGTTATAGTCTAATAACAGAATATATTGCCACCGAGTATTATAGGCAAAATCGAATCTATTTGCAAAATGAATTGCTTGCAACAAATATAATAGAAATGTATGCACTTTGATGTTCTATGACATTAGAAACTAACTTCGGGTAACCGAAATTTACATAGCTTTTCAGTTTCCAATTGAATTATGGAATCGAATCGATCATATGGATTATTATAATATTAACCAGGCTTAAAAACTCATAAATAGCAAAATCATTATAACAAAATTAATTTGAATTCTGTATGCTTTTTCGAGTCAGTTAAATAAAACTTAAATTTTTGAAAATGTTATGTAGCCCCTAATAACATTTATAACAAGCTTCAATTTTTTTTGTTTCGGCCTGAGATGGCTATATCGACTCTGGTGTTGATGCTGATCAAGGATATATATAATTTATAGGGTCGGAAGAAAATCCATCTCAGCGTTTTCAAGCTTTTGGCTAAAAGTTGAATACCTTGCAAGGGTATAATGAAACCAGTCTCCTATGATAACTAATTTATTCTAAACCCTAGTCTTACAAGCAACTCCAGATCACATCTACAAAAAGCAAATTTATCTTATAAACATAGCTGAATTCTAATTTCCCAAAGACTGGCCACCCAAACGATGGCGACGAGAAAGAGGATTTCACAAATAATTCCTTTTTAAAGCCTATGAAACATTCTTTATTATTTTGAAGTCAATTAATTGTTAGGTCTAAGCATAACTAGTGAAAAATTCCTGAAGTGTTGCTGCACAATTAGGTTGGGGAATTAACTACGAAAACCTCGAATGAATCCTCGCACGCAAGAGAGTTTCTTCCATCCACAATGGTTGAATTGAGAGTTGCTGGTCATTTAAAAAACCAACCAATCAAGCAACACCATCGCAGCTGGTAATTCTCATTATCAACATCCACTCAACTATAAACAAATACGACAAGAACTGTTTTTTTCACGTAGCCAACCACAAGATCGTTAATTCTTTAATTCACAAAGCACATTGAACCAAAGGACCGCAGCAATCGAATTACAACAGGCTTTCTTTCGGATCGGTTCTGTGGTTTCTTTACGTTTTATAGATTTTATTAAAAAATTAATAATTTGTGGTTCATCGCGAGTCCCATTTTACTGTGGCTTCCTGCGGAAAGAGCAGCCTGTAAGAAAAAAAGGAAAAGCTGCATTAGATGGGAAATTCTGGTGGAGCCTAGGGAGGTGGAAACTACCTTCTGTCAGCTTGGCGCGTCCTCCAGTGGGCTGGCACAGAATGGTTGCGCATCCAGCGCAGACCACAACGCCCTGGGCGTGGCTGAAGACGGTGGTAATCCTGTAGCAGCCGGGGCACTTGACGTCCATGAAGTACGAGTTAGGGTGCTGGACCAGGCGCTTCAGCTTGTGCTTGCGCTTCTCCTCAGCGGGCAGAGGGTGCAGAAGATCTTTTGCTAGCTGTAATGAATAAAACATTTTTATTAATAATGTATATATAGTCAAACTAATAATGCAGGATTTAGGTCAGAAGCAGTCTTAAAATGTTCTTAAGAAGAATAGGTTTGCCAAAACATTGCATTAATTAAAAAATTAATTTTCTTCATTGATTCAGTGTGATAAATGCAAATCTACATTAGTTATTAAAAATAATCACTGTGATCAGACATTACTACAAGCAACTATTTTTCTCAGTGTATCAACAAATCTCGACCCGCGACAGTGCCATGCAACAACAACAAACAGGCAAGAAGTAAGCCAAATTCGAGATTCTAGGTTATGTAGGATGACTTCCGCGAATTCCGTCTGGCATTCCATTCAACTCCTGGCTTAAAATCAGCATGTTCGCATTTCACAACTGTTTGCAATTTCACAGGCGCACGCCATGCGTGGCCGCGGCACCACACACACTCATAGAAGCTGCACCCGCCGTCTGTGGCAACTGTTTAATTGCTTCTACAGGATCTTTAATCAGTCAACACTCGTTCCATTCACACTGGACCCTTCGGCGGTGGGTCCTGCCAGGTTTTAGTTCCGTTTTCTGAGATTTTTCTGTGTTTAAAATGCATTTTAACGCAATTTGGCACCCACCGGCATGTTTTTTCTTTCACAGCTAACACGGAAAAGGAAGTGGGGTAAATCGCAGCCAACTTAACTTGAGTGCCAATGTTGCCAGATAACAATTTGAATTGGTTTTTGGTTTTGGTTTTTTGATCCGGCAACACTTTTCAGTTTTCGCTCGCAACATTTATCTTATAATAGTACACTATCCTCCATCTCGGACATGCAATTAGTTAATAAATGCTCTAATACCTCAATTTTGGGTTGGGAATAGGAGCTACGTTTGCCATATTTGCCGGACGTGGTATACCTCCTGATTTTTTGTTTAGCTAAGTTCCCACGCTTTTGTTTAGCCAAGTTATGAACCGTTTCTTTGTAACTGAACAGGTTATTTTTAAGTATTTTACTTTTAAATAACGCGGGCCCACTGGCGGAGTAGGAACTCTGGTCTCATTAATAATTCTCGGTTCCCGGTATTGCTGATTTTTGTTGGTGCGCGAATTTTGTAAGCGGCCTTTAAGCAAACATACTATTTGATTTGTACCGAGTAGCCTTGCAACGTGCTGCAATTGTGCGCGCCAATCAAGAATTAATTGCGTTCCGGATCCTGGTCGCTTACGGTACGAGAAATCGGAGTCGATCGGATGACGAGTAAAGACGGAGCAAGCACATTTTGACAGGAGAAACCTAATTGTGAAAACTAAAAGTGTATAAAAGACAGAAGTAACATGTTCACCACGCGCAAGCAGGTGGACGAGCATGTCCACAAGATTCTGGGTAATCTGCCGCCTGGGAACCAGGTAAGTGCTTGTGCATCGGAATTTCCAAAAATGCAGTTGCGAAATAGACGGCGCCGCCATTGACGACAGCGCGCCATGGTGTGCGTGCAGGCGCCCGTCTGTGCGCTTGTGTGCGTGTTCGAATCGGCGTCATTTGAGTGGCGTGTGTGTACTCGGAAAATAAAATTGCGCGCTTTTCTCAAGTCTATGCATGTTGATTTGTGCCAGAAAATAATGCACACAGACATCCTCTACAAATGTCTCAAGGTTTTGTGTTGTTCTCTTGGAAAATCAAAATATAAAAGTGAGGTTAAGTAGGCGGTTAGTAGACGGCTTATTTGAATGTATTCCTTGTTTTACAACGACAGTAACCACTGCCTGTGAGCAACGACTAAGTTTGATTGTTATTAATTAAACTGTTGACATATTTGAATTTTTTTTTTATCTTTTCTCTTATATTGGTATGTATGTATTGATAGATTGATCAAAATAACCGAAATGCAGTTAAGAACATTAGTTGGTGAATATTTTATTATGCTTTTAATTTATTAAATTCTTAAATATATAAAGTTAATTTCGCTGTTTTTGAGTTTCCCATATACATAACTTTTTATTCTCCTTCCCAGCATTCGACATTATTCCAGAAGGATACTTTTATTTCATGTGAAAATTAAGTCAATTTGACAATTTAAGAATATACTTTCTGATTTGTCACATAAATGAAATAAACTTATTGTTTTGGGTTTTACTTTTAATAGTTTTTTTTCGACCATCTTCGGCTCTATATTTCACGCACACAGCACAAGTTTTGTTATAATTAATTAAGATACCTACCTACTTTGACTTATCCACCAATTGTATTTCTATCCGTAGCGCGATATGAAGGGTCTGGCAGTGGCACGTCTATACTATAAGATACAAGAGTATCCCAAGGCTATTGAATACCTTAACTCCTATCTCCGAGCCAAGGATGAGGCTGTGGCCCATAAACTGATTGCCCACAGCTACAAGTTCCTGAAGACCCCAGATCTGCAAAGGGCCTTGCAGCATTTCCAACGCTGCATCCAGCTAAATCCCCGGCAGCCAGATTTGATCAAAGAAGTCTGCCAGATGCTGGTCGATGAAAAGAGCATATACAACAAGGAGTGTGCCAAATACTGGCTGGAAATCGCCACCTCCGAGAACTTGAGCGACAACGAAGCGGTCGTTTCCCTGCGCATGCGAGTGAATCTCACAGAGAGCAACGGCAACGGCGGCGTTGAAGATGGCACCGCGGGCAAGGAGAACGAGGATGCATTTGAAATGCTCATGCACAAGGAGTTGCAGGCGCGTCCCCAGGACGTGAATGTCCGTGTGCGGCTTATGCGCAGCTACGTGGAGAAGAACCAGCTGGACCAGGCCTTTAAGTACGCTTACAAAGTAGAACTGGAGGCCAACGGCTGCACCAGTCAGTCCAGTGAATGGTACGGAATCGTATGGGTGATGCTCTCAAAGAAGGAGGACAAGAAAAATGATAAAGACTGGCGTTTCTGGCAACTGGCCCTCCACACCTGTGATCGCCTGACGCAACTGAGCCTAGAGTCTGGCGGCACACTTGGAGAGAGCAGCAGTATGTTGTTTCGTTTTGATCAGTATCTGCACAAGTTCGGCACAATAGTGGATCGATCCACTGATGCTCCCCAGCGAGAGCTGCATCTGTCCTGCGTGGAGCATTATGCTGGACAGCTGCTGCTCCATACAGTTGCGCTGATCTTTAAGCGTGAGCTGCTGGCCAACAAGAACAAGTGGGCGAGCGTGCTGCGCAACTTGCTTCCGCTGTTGCTTCTTGGATATCAGGTGCATCCCCTCCAAGAGCAGCACGTCCATCCCTGGATGAAGCACTGCGATGCTGAGCAGAAGCAGTTGCTGCAGCTCTGGCGTCAGGAAGGCTCCTTCCGTTGCGCCCAGCTTGGACGTGTTCTCCTCGGTTGCGTGGAGCGCTCTCAAACGGATCAGGAAAATCAGGAGAACAACAACCAAACCACACAGCCCCTGTCTGGATTGTTTAGTGACTCGGAAGAACTTTTGAGCTGCGCCCGGCAACAATGCATGGACAAGAATTGGCGTAGCAACTTGTTCCCAATTCTCTTTACCAACGCCGAGCACAAGCTGAAGGAGCAGTCGTCCCATCTGATCCGCAATCCCCGACTGCAGACGCCCATTTTTGAGTGGCCCGATCTGGCCGAGATCGAGACCTACGAGCAGCAAGCGCTTCTCCTCCAGCCCCTATCATTGGCACAACATGTTTACCTCGCGCTGGGCACCGATATCGACAGTCTAGGCGAAGCGCCGCGGGTGCTATTCTACGAGGAGTTCCGGCGCGATGTGAAGCAGAACCTAAGCTACTGCGGTCACGACTCCATCTCCCAGTTAGATGTCGATATCTTCCTGTATGCCACTGTTATCCAGACGCAGCGTAAATTGGACCTAGTGCGCAACCTCTACGAAAGCTCTCACATTGGAAACCGCAATGCAGCTTCCCGTCCTTATATGATGCCATATTCCAATCTCTTGAGTCAATTGACGACACCGGAGCAGAGCAGCTGGTGGGAAATCGTGCTGCGCCTGCACAGGAATCAGCAGATGTCCGCAGATGGCAACAAGGCCGAGCAACGGGCCCAGCTGCAGCTCGGCCTGGAAGCCGTGCGCGGTGTGAATGGACCAAAGGCAGATGCCATCATCATCTTTCAGTTAGGCAAGATCTTGCAATCGCGCGCCGATCGTGCCTCCCTGGAGCCGCGAATCGATGTTCTTTACCGCCAGGGATTTAGCATGCTCCGTCGGCATCAGCAGCAACAAGATTTTGAGCCTTACGTGCGCATCTTTAAGTACGGATCGCCCAGCGCAACGGTTGCCTGGAACAAGTTACAATCGCTTGCCGAGGATGCTGTGTCTTATTTCAGCGGAAAGATGTTCAAGGCGGGACACTATGACCAGTTTGTAGAAGAAGTGCGAGGACTAGACCTGCCCATGGCCACCTATCTGCAGGCTGAGGCCTACCGTCTCCTGGAGGATTCCGGTAAAGTAAATCGTGCTTCACGGACTCGCTATTTGGAGCGGAGGCAAGAGTGCCTGCAGCAGACGCAGCAACTGCTCCGAAATGATCTTAGGCATCCGCTGAGCGCTGTTGTCAATCGGGAATTGCGGCGCTGCCAGCAACAAAACCGTAGCGCGCTTGTACCGAGTGCTTGCGAGGATAGCTTCGGTACCCCAGATCTCCACAACAACTCCTCTACATACGAAGACGCCGAGGATGACTTTTATGCGGCTGCTTCCTTGTCCGCCAACAGATCGCGTCGTCATCAGCTGGAGGTCAGTGTAGCTTCTCCCGTGTCTTCTGCCGTGGTTGTAGCTCAGCCCAGTGAGGAGATAGAGCAAACCCTCAAGCAGATCAGCAAGTCGATCTGCCTGGTTACAGATAATATGGCAGCCATGCGTCAGGACATATCTACGCTTACCGAGCGATTCAATGGCCTGGAGGATATGATTAAGAAAATGAAGATTACCAACAATCGGGAGACGCCAATACGGGACGTGGACCCCGCAGCTGCCTTGGGATTGGATGATCTCTTTATTATCGAGGATGCGCTGGTGGAACATCAACAGCAACAGCAGCACCAGGCTGCAGTTCACCAGGTCGTCCCACCACAGTACGGTGGACCCAATCCGGCCTTCTACAATGGTGTCCAGAGTCATACGCCATCTGCCCAGGATCGCTTCCTGCCGGCCCCATACGGAAGTCCGATGTTTAACCAAAACCAGATGTATAACTATTATGCAGCTCAGGCACAGGCCCAGGCACAATTCTTGCGCACTCCACCAGCTCCGCCCGGAGCGATTCCACCCTCAAATTTGTTTGGTAAGTTCCACGCCTTGAATTTCTATTGATTTGCTACTAACACTTTTTTCTTGTAGGTCCACGTAATCCGAACTTTGGACTCCCCAGCATCTTCCCCCCGCCGACAGCAGGAGCTCCACCCGTAGTATCACCATTTATGGACCCCAGGGGTAACTTTGTCCAGCCGCCAACTGGAAGTCTGATCCCGCCGCCACCTCAGCAAGCACAGCAGGCTCCAGCTCCTCTTAACCTGGCTGAGGCTAAGCCGCCGGCACTTCCCACTCCCGGGGTGGGCGCCGGTTTCTTCAATTCGCCAGCACCAACGTTTGGGGTATCAACAATTCAGTCTAAACCCTTGACCATACCTCAAGCAGCAGCAGCAGCAGCTCCAACGCCTACTGCTGCTGTGCCGGCTCCTGCTCCTGGTCCAGCTCCAGTCAATTTGGTTTCAGCAGTTCCAGCTACTGTTCCTGCGCCTATTAAAGCACCCCAAGTGGCGCCGCCAGCTTCAGTTCCACCTCCGGCAAGCGTTCCGGCACTGTTTAACCGGGCATTGAACAATCAACCTGTGGAAAAGGAGCCGCCAGCTAATGTAGTCATCACCAGCTCCGATCCGCTGCCCAAGCCAACGGGAGCCAGTGGTATCCAGCCCACTCTAAGTGTGACAATTCCGGCACAGCATATCAAGCCCAGCCTGGTACAACCAACGGCTGAGCCCCAGCAACAGCCGCCGGTACAGTCGCAGCCTCTGCAGCCTACTCTTCCTGCCTCGGGAGTGTTCAACTTTAATTTGGGCAATACCGCTTCCGAAAGTCCCTTCTCCTTCAAGACGCAAGTCGCTAGGGCAGCAGCAGAAAAGCAGAAAGAGCAAGAGCTTGAACAGGCGGCAGCTACGGAGCTTAACAAGAGCGGAGCCAGTGATCTTAACAAGAGTGTTGGAGCAGAGGGCAACTCATCCCTGACCGAAGACTATGATCCGCGGCCCGACTTTAAGGCTATAATTCCACTGCCCGACGAAGTGGAGGTACGCACTGGCGAGGAGAACGAAGAGGTCAAGTTTGGCTATCGGGCCAAGCTCTTTCGGTATGTGGACAAGGAGTGGAAGGAACGTGGCACTGGGCTGATCAAGATCCTGCGCGACAAAACCACTGGCGTTTCACGAGTCCTCATGCGTCGCGATCAAACCCATAAGATTTGTGCAAATCACACAATCACCGCGGACATGACTCTGTCCACTCCCAGCCAGGACAAGGACAAGAAATCGTTCTTGTGGGCAGCCAATGACTTTGCGGATGAGCAGTTAACGCTAGAGAAATTCCTGGTGCGATTCAAGACACCGGAAATCGCTGAGGAGTTCCGGGTGGCCTTTGTCAATGCGAACGTTGAGACCAAGGTGAAATTCGCTGAGGAGCCAGCCAAGGGCAACAAGGAACCAGCTGCATTCCCTTCAGCTCCAGCTCCAGCCCCGGCTTCATTCAGTCTGGCCAAAAACTTTGTGACCAGCACACCGGCAGCAGCCAATCCGGTCTTTAACAAGCCCGCAGAGCAGGCGAAATCCAAACAGGCAACGGAACCATCCCTGGCCAAGTCACTGTTTGGGGGTGTCCCGTCGGCTACAGCGGGAGCTGCGCCTCCAGCTACTACACCTGCGGCTCCTTCACCATTTGCCAACTTCAGCTTTTCAGGATTGGGCACTGAAAATAAGGCCTCTCCTTTCGGAAACTTATCCTTTACCAACGCATCCACATTGGGCAGCGGCACTAACAGTACTCTCTTCACCACGGCCCTGATCAAGGACAACACCCTTCAAAATCAAACGCCCGAAAAGGCAAACACTTCTGATGCCGAAGAGGAATATGAGCCTACGGCCGAGTTTACACCAGTGATTGACCTGCCGGAATTGGTGGAAGTGGTTACAGGAGAGGAGAACGAGGAGGTGCTCTTCGAGCACAGGGCCAAGTTGCTCCGCTTCGTGAAGGGGCCGAATGAGTGGAAGGAACGCGGCTTGGGCGATATGAAGGTGCTGCGGGATCGCAACAATCCCGACCAAGTGCGTCTGCTGATGCGCCGCGACAAGGTGCTCAAGCTGTGCTGCAACCAGCGTTTGACGGCCGAGACAAAGTTCACGTTCGCCTTGAACCAGAAGTCGGCCGTTACCTGGGCTTCGATGGATTACGCCGACGAAGAGCTGTCAAACGATCTGCTGTGTCTGCGTTTTAAAACGCCGGAGATCTGCCAGAATTTCCTAGATGCGGTGCAAAAAGCCCAAGAGGCCATGGGAAAGGGAACCGACGAAAAAAAAGAAGAGAAGCCACAAAAGCAGGCTGAAAAGGAACCGGAGAAGCCGATCCAGGGCTTTGGGGATGCGTTCAAGCCCAAGGCGGGCAGTTGGAGCTGCAAGGCCTGCTATACTAGCAATGGGCAGGAGCAGTCGTACTGCTTGGCATGCCAGGAGCCCAAGGATGACACAGTGCCTCCGAAGCAACCAGGCTTGGATAAAAGTAACGCATTGAATTTGTCCACAAGCGGTTCCTCTGGGAAATTCTCATTCGGATTTGCACCTGCTACACTTCCCGTCTCTGGTGGATTTAGCTTTGGGGCACTTACCCAGTCCAAGGAGCCGGTCAAGGAGAAACCAGCTGCTCCTGTGACTGCCACAGCTTCAGCTCCTGCTTCAACCCCTTCGTTGCAACCGGCAGTTGTTGGCTTTGGAAAGACCACCACCACAACCACACCCGGTTTCGGGGATGCCTTCAAGCCCAAAGCGGGAAGCTGGTCCTGCACCGCTTGCTATGTGAGCAATCCCGGAGAATCGCTGTACTGCAGTGCCTGCGAGACCCCTAAAGATGACACAGTGCCAAAGAAGGAGAACTCACTTGGTTCAGGGCTCACACTGCCTGCCTCTTCCCAGTTCAACTTTGGATTCGCAGCTAAACCAGCGGATCAGTCGACCAAGACCAGTGTATTTGGTTCCTCCACCTTCAACTTTCAAGCTCCATCGGTTGTAGCTCCAGCAGCTTCACTTGGGTCCAGTGGCGGATTCAGTTTCTCGATGCCGAAACCATCCCAGCAGCAGCCAAAGAGTCCTGCGGCACCCGATGGCGAGGACAACGATGGTTACCATGAGGAGGAGGAAAACAATGCATACTTTGCTCCAGTGATTCCATTGCCGGATAAGGTAAGATGATCTATATTATCAACAAAATCCACCTTTGTTAACCAGACCCGAGTTGCAGATCGATGTGAAGACGGGCGAGGAGAACGAGGAGTTGCTGTATGTGCACCGCGCAAAGCTATATCGCCTTACCGGAGGCGAATGGAAGGAACGTGGCCTGGGCGATGTCAAGATCTTGCGCCACATTCAGACGAAAAAACTGCGTGTGGTCATGCGCCGGGAGCAAGTGTTCAAGATCTGTCTCAATCATGTGCTTAACGAGGGGGTAGTGTACAAACCAAAGGACGAGAAGTCCTTGCTGTTTGCCGCCCACGATTTCAGCGAGGGGGAGAGTGTTCTGGAGAGGTTTACACTACGCTTCAAGAACCACGATGTGGTAGAGGAGTTCAGCAGGGTTGTGAAGGATGCGCTAAAAGGAACTGCCGTAGCTATCACAAATAACGAAAGCAATTTGTTTCCGACGGCCATTAACAAAGCGGATAAACAGAATCAGGATCAAGAATCAACCAGCTGCCCCGGTTGTCGTGGCTGCTCTCCGGATAAATTCGTGTTCGCAGACTCATCTTTGCACGTTAAAAGTCTGACAGACGATGTGAGTCCGCCCTTGCCCATGTTCCTACCAGCCCTTCAGCTTCCCAAGTCAACTGCCGCTGCTGCCTCGGCAACCTCAATATTCAAGGCCAGTTCACTGGGCGCCACCAACTCGTCATTCTCAGCTTTCGGTAATTTAGCAGTATCCGAGTCAACCAAAACGCCAAACAGTCAAGCTTTTCTATTTGGCAACGTCGGTGAGTTGCACTTTGAAATTTTCTTTTATCCGAAATAAGTTTATATTAATTCTATATCTTTACGCAGAAAAACCAGCCAGCGGAGCACCCCTCTTTGGTGGCAACCTCCAGCCGAAGGGCAATGTCCTTGACTCCATTTTTGGCAGCTCCAATACCGACCAGAGTTCGGGATGGGATCCCGCCAAGTCGATTTTTGGTGGTGGACAGCAGCAAAAGAATGAGACCACGCCCCCAACGTCGATCTTTGGGGGCGCCAAGATTGAGTCACCACAGCAGCCAGCACCGATTACAGCACCCGAGGTGCCCAAGTCAATCTTTGGCGGTGGTGGCTCTGTTTTCGGAAGCAAACCTCTTGCCTCGGGCTTTGTTTTTGGAAGTGGATCTAATGCGCCCATTTTTGGACAAAAAGAAGCCGTATCATCTTTTGCAGACCTGAACCAGCAGGTGAAAGAAAAGGAGGAAAAGCCACCCACTGCGAGTACAACCATCCAGGGCTTCGGTGTTACTGGAGATGCCAAGGAAGAAAAGAAAGAAACTTTGACCTTTGGTTCGGCGATCCCTGATGTGTCGAAAAATACTGGCAGCACCACGTTTGCCGACTTTGGAAGCAAATCGGGCGAAAGTTTTGCCGATTTTGCCAAAAAGGCGGGCAGTGATTTTGCCGATCTATCGGCCAAAAGCCAGGGAACTCCCGTCGGCTTCAACAAGTCTAGCGGTGGTGGCTTCTACAATCTGACGCATCAGAACGAATTCAAGAACTTTCAGTCGACACCACAGAGTGCCAAAAATGAGGATCAGGGCGACGGCGATGATGGCGACGCAAACAATGATGACAACTATGATCCGCACTACAACCCAATTATAGAGCTGCCGGATGAGATTGTGGTCACCACTGGAGAAGAGAACGAGACTAAGTTGTTTGGCGAGAGGGTGAAGCTCTTTCGCTATGACAGAGCAACAAAGGCGTGGAAGGAGAGAGGTGAGTAGACAAGGTTGGCAGAAGTGCATTAGATATTCACTCCTTCTTTATTCTTTACAGGCTGCGGCGAACTGAAAGTACTGGAACATCCGGAGATGCACAGTTTTCGCTTGGTGCTGCGTCAGGAGCAGGTCCACAAGTTGCTGCTCAACATGAAGATCACAGGGGCTATACAATTTGCCTACATGTCCGGTCAGAAAAAAACCCTTCTATGGGCTGGACACAACTTTGCGGCAGACGCGGAGGGCAAGATAAGCACTGATGGAGCAGTTGAGAGTTTGGCATGTCGCTTCGCAAAGGAGGAGATTGCGTCATTGTTCCTTGCCAAGGCCAATGCATGCACCGAACGCGCCAGAGAACTGGTGGACTCTCGGGAAGAGCAAGAGAAACAGGATTAGAACGAGTAGAGAAAAAGAAACCTAATATATAGCATGTTTTCAATTGCGTTTTTAAGTCTTGTCAACAGAAAGTATCGTGGAAACTGTTAAATAATGACACAATTTCCATGTAACAATAAAAACTTTATAAAAACTTATGAAATAATAAACTTCAAATAGTAGTTCATTGTAGCGAAGGAACGTTTTAAAATAAAGTAAGATAGGAAGCTAACTTTGGAAAGCCAAAGTCCGCAATTAAATCAAGAGCCGAATTTAATATCGATCATGACTAAGACAAAACTGCACTAATATCTATTCGGAAAGTTTTTCTGGGATAGTTATACAAATAAGAATATGGAGTATAAAATTTCAATAATTATATTTGCTTTTTAATTTTTAACAATTTTAATTAGAAGCTAACTTAGGAAAGCCGAACTTTGTATAAACAGTTTTCAATAAAATCATAAGACGGAATCGAAAATCATTCATAACTATGCATTTGGTAACATGTTTTGTGCTAATTTTATAGCGCTAACAAATCTGCATACTCGGCTTTAAAATTTAAAAAATTTATTTTTTTTCTCAAATTTTCACAATTTTATCGATTAGGTGTTTATTAAATTTTCAAATTCTGGAAAATTTTCAAAAATTTAATTTTTAATTGGACTAGCTAGATCGATTCAGCTGTTGTTGCTGATCAAGAATATATATTTAGTTTATAGGGTCGGAAATGCCTCCTTAACTACGTTGCAAGCTTCTGAGCATGCAATGATATAAATATTCGCATCGCAGGTCGTTATTTATTTTGACGATTTTTCTTTAATCCACATCTTAAAAAATTCATAAATAAGCCAAAAATTTAGTAATTTCGATTCGGAAAGCTGTTCTGGGCTAGTTTTGAATAGGTTAATAAATCTGCAATCCTAAATATTTATTTTTAAATATTTAAATTTTTGTCAATTTTTTCAAAATGTCAACAATGCAAAAACCTGTTAAAAAAGTTTGAAAAAATTATGAAAAAATTTTTTCTCTGCAAGATTCGCTTGTTGATCCTGATCAAGGATATATATGATTTATGTCTCCTTCACTGTTTTGCAAGTTTCTGACTAAAAATATAGTACCCTGAAAGAGTATTACGGAATTAATGCATAACTTATTTTTTTAACTTATTGGTTTTTACAAGAATTTATTTATGTATATATTTGGTGTTTAGACAAGCTCAATTATTTTAGCTTATATTTCACTATCATTAAAAAAAACCAAAATATACCGAAATAAATATAAAATCAAATTAAAGTTTTTTTTACGGAAATGGTTCGATTAACTTAGCTGTTGATGCTAATCAATATTATAAATGATTTATAGAAATTACTATTTCATTGCGGTGCCAACTTCTGCTCTAAATTGTAATAATCAAAGGTATAATAATGCAGATTATAAATTCTAGATTGACTTAAAAAAAAACTAGGTGGCAGCACTGTAATCAGACAGCCTTTGAGAGCGCACTGAGAGCGGCGAGCAGTGCTGCCAATAATTTGTGAAGAATAAGCTAGATGGAACTTAATGAAAAAAATGTAAATGAATGAATTAATATTAAATTTTTTTTTTAATTAGTATATATTCCCTTATATTCAATACAATATGTATTTACTGTCTTTGAAACGAATACAGATCAAATTAAAATTATAAAATCCAGATTTCCCGCTGTTTTCAATTTCTTGCCGCTACCTGACTCAGAAAAAAGCCAGATATGACGGAAAAAAGCCAAAATTGAGAGAGCGTTTCTGATTTGACACATAATGACGTGGTGAAGTCTGTGTGAAAAAGAACAATAAATTGCCGACAAATCTCTAGTGTAATTAAATTAGTTACCGCATATTATTGCGCCCGGATTCGCCTCTGTTTCGTCACAAGTCCTCCAGCATCGGCAAGCAGGCGCTGCGAATAAGTTATCTCAACACACTGACAGTCGCTAAACTCATACAACAAGGAGGTAGAAGAAGAAGAAAGAGAAGACGAAGACGACGAATATGAATTAGAGAATAATTAGCGATTGTTGCTAGTTTGCCGTTTTGTGTTTTGTTAGCCGCTTCTCCCTATCCCGCCCTGCCTTCCAGACGAGGCCCCATATCGAATCGATACACGTGTGCAGCGGGAGCAGCGCCGACGTCAAAGTCAACAAACGAGGCGAGGGCCGGAGATTGATGAGAGGCTAGCGCGGAGCGACCATGATGAACGAGGACAGCAGCGCCGCCGGCGGAGGCGGCGTCAAGAAGTTCTTTCAGCGCCTCTCACAGGTAAGATTCAGCTTGTAAACATTAAAAAGTGATTTCACGGCTAAGCATTTGTCCTTCGGTTCGCAGACCTACCAATCCACTTTGGACCGGAGCACACCGCACACGCGGATGCGCTGGGTATTCGCTGGCTTCTTGCTCCTGCTCTTCGTTCTACGCATTTTCATTTACCAGGGCTGGTACATTGTGTGCTATGCGCTGGGTATCTACCATTTGAACCTGTTCATCGCCTTTCTCACGCCAAAGATCGATCCGGAGTTCGATCCATACTCCCAGGACGACGAGGATGAGGGACCCAACCTGCCCACGCGCAGCAACGAGGAGTTCAGACCCTTCATCCGGCGCCTGCCGGAGTTCAAGTTTTGGCTGTCGGTGACGAAGAGCACGCTCATTGGTGTGATTTGCACGTTCTTCGACTTCTTTAACGTGCCAGTATTTTGGCCCATCCTGGTTATGTACTTCATCACGCTGTTCTGCATCACGATGAAGCGACAGATCAAGCACATGATCAAGTACAAGTACTTGCCCTTCACGCGCAACAAGCCGCGCTACCAGCGTGTCAATGACCTGGCGGGTGCGGGCGCCGGGCCTGGCTCTGTGGCGGGCAACGCGAAGTGACAATTAGCCGCACAGACGCCGGATCCACGGCCAGTGGCAGCGGGAACGGGCGATTCTTCTATTGCCTCTACCTCTGCTGTTGCGCCACCATCAACAAACAGCGACAACGCCGCGACCAAGGATGTTGGGTCGCCAGCAGCAGGATCGTCCATCAAACCACCGCAGATAATTGCAATTGAGGACTACTAGAGAAGGCTACCGAACAGTCCGAAGGGGAATCAAAAGCAGAAGCAGGGGCACAACATCAACCAGAACCAAGCTGGCCCCATCATTTTGTCGGCTTGTAATCGCAGTATATTATTATTTCCTTTTTCGGCCTAAGTTTGTGTAGCATTTTCCTTTTTTACTGTTGAGTTGTCGTACGGCGTTTTGTGCAAAAAGATACCTTGTTTATTGTCTAACGTAATAATGCTTGTTTAAATTTCTATTTATTTGCAATGAATGCGACTTCTTTCTATTGTAAATCCTCCTCCGAAACGATTACACTCGGCAAAATCAGTTTTAATTTAATACTTCATCCTAAACTAATCCTAAACGTAAACATATTTTAATTAACGATCGTTCTATCCAAAAGTAGAGTTACTTGCATTCGAAACAAATATATTTTGATTACCAATCATGCTTAGATGCTATATAACAACGTATGCTAAATATATATACAAATATATTTTTTTGCATCATAATTATACAATTTTTTGTTAGCGTTAACTTATACAAAATGTTAAAAGGCGAAATGATAAAATGAATTCTATAGGCAGGAAGTGTACACTGGGTGCGTCTTATGAATAAAGAAAGACACAAGGAAACCAAAACTAATTAATTGCTGAAGTTTGACCTATACTTTAAAGGGTTGGTTGGGATGATTGACGTGTTCGCTTTCGCTTGGTTTCTCGATTTATCTAATCGTTTTTTAATTGAACGCAATGAAGAATTCTGTGATAAGGCAATAACTTCAAGTGCCTCTGACCCTTTATCTATTCTTCGAATATTTTAAAAGCAAAATAGTTGTAGGTATTTGTTTTGATTTATTCAAATGAAGCACGAAACCAATAGTTTAAGCGTGCCGAATGTATACTATTAGATATATGGGTCAAACGTTAAGCTTGCCGGCAACAATTGCAAAAAACATACATTAAATATATAAAATAGCATTTAAATGCAGAATATTTGGAATAACAAGTGGGATATTTTTGGTGGAACGACAAATGAAAATGCAACTTAGTGTACTTAGTGTAAAAGGCAGAGAGAGTCAAAGTCCTCACTTTGTTTCCACCTCAGATTTAGCCTTGGCGCGATCTTCTCGAGCGCACTTTCTTATCACGCTATTAAAGTACTTGTGCAGCCCATAGCTAAATAATCTCAGGGGTCCCAAGACAAGGGCATGTAGAAGATTGGTAAAGAAGCCATCCCAAGGTAGCAGACCACCGCCCAAGGTTGTTATTAGCCAGCTTTCAGCTCCCAGCGTAGATGTGAAGTTGCCCTTCTGGAAAAATTAAAGGAAAAGCATAAATCAGTTGAGAAACATCTCTTGCAAACAGTTGACCTACCAATGCATCCCTAAGTATTGCCTTGGCCATCACCTCAGGCTCTACGAGTCCTCCGCCGCCCGAAATTATTTTGGTTTCGCGTGGCTTCGACTTCTCCTCCTCCTCGAAACCGGGCGTATTTGTGTCGCAGGGCATGGCCAGTGTGACACTGACTCCATGCTGTCGAGACTCCATTGCTATCGTCTCTGCCATAGCTCGCAGGGCGTATTTTGTGCACGAATAAGGACCATAGCCATAGATGCCGAACATAGCGGCCTGCGAAGCGGTGATTACAATGATACCCTCCCCCGCCTTCTTCATCTTGGGCAGGACATATCGGGTGCAGTTGTATGTGCCGAAAAAATTGACGTTCATAAGCTTGTGAACATCCTGAACGGATACCTCCTCGAAAACCCCGCAAATGGCCATCCCGGCACAATTGATTAGGGTGTAAATGGGACCGAAGGTGTCCTCAATCTCGCCCAGAACTCGGGACACCTGCTCGTAGTCGCCGCTAATGTCCAGGCTCTTGTATTGAAACTTTTGGTCAGGTCTCTGGCGTATCACTTCCATAAGAGCCACAGCTCCGCCTGCGCAAGGGTTTGGATGGTGAATCATAGATAAGGGCAATGTTTTGGGTGGGGCTCCCTCTCCCCCATTACTCACTCAACATTTTTTCGTCGCGCGCTATTACCGTCACATTGGCACCCTTCATGGCACACTCCACTGCTAAGCAGAGTCCGATTCCCTTGGAGCCGCCGGTGACCACCACATGACGACCCACAATGCTCTTTGGTTTCTTGGCCATGACGAACAGAAAGACAAGAATGTGAACCAGCACCGCGATGCCCAAGCATAGAACTATCTCCCAGGTGAGTTCCATGTGTTAAACGAGTTTAAAAGAGCTGGAAAGCTATAATCTGTTTTGATTGGGTTTATCTATACGAAAAGTTGATTAGAAAGTGCATCGAAAGTGTGACCAGAGAAGACAGAAACTATAACACCAGTTGCATGCACTGAACGATTCCAAAAGTATCACGGTTTCAGAAGTTTTTGTGTCCAGAATAAAAATTGTCCCTTTCCAAAAAAATCTTCTTATAATTCTGATTTTAATTAATTATTTTATTTTCTCCAAACAAATTTTTTTTATTTTAGTTGACAGCGCTGACCGGCACATGTGCACCGCAGCAGGTTGGCAGCTCTGATCGAATTTATTGTTGTTTATTCTGATTGGAACTTATAAATTTAGAAAATATTTAAAGAAAAATGCCACCGAAAAAAGACGCAAAGGGCGGCGGCAAGGATGCGGGTAAGGGCGGCAAAAAGCCTGCCGCGGAGGACAAGTGTGAGTATATATGTAAGAGGCCGGAGAGAGTGCATCATAAAGAAATAATCATTTTTACCCCGTGCAGCTGCCGGCAAGGAGAAAAAGGGAGGCAATGCTGTGAAGGTGCGCCACATCCTCTGCGAGAAGCAGGGCAAGATCACCGAAGCGATGGAGAAACTCAAGGCTGGCCAGAAATTCCCCGAAGTAGCGGCCGCCTACAGCGAGGATAAGGCGCGTCAGGGCGGCGATCTTGGTTGGCAAATTCGCGGAGCAATGGTTGGTCCCTTCCAAGACGCCGCATTCGCGCTGCCCATCTCTACCGTCAACAATCCTGTGTATACAGATCCCCCGATCAAGACCAAGTTTGGCTACCACATCATCATGGTTGAGGGAAAGAAATAAGAGAACTGTTTTTATAAATTCAATTTTATTGTTCCGATTTTGTTTCGTGTTCCCGTTAAGTTTATATCAATCCTTTGGATTCTGTGCGGTCCGATCACTTCTTACCAGCGTCCTCCTTGAGGCCCACGGTACGGTTGAACACGATGTGGTCCTTGGTGGTGTCCGGATCCACAGAGAAGAATCCAATCCGCTCGAACTGGAACTTATCGTAGACCTTGGCCTGTGCGAGCGCCTGATCAGCGAAGGCGCGGACGACCGAGATGGACTGCTCGCTAATGTCGCTGAGGAAGCCGCCGGGCACCTCGTTGGGATCCTCGGGGTTCTTGTGCTTGAATAGCTGCTCATAGAGGCGGACCTCAAGCTGAATCGGCTGCGACACCCACTGGACAAATGCCTTGGGCTTCTCGGCCTGCTCGGCAGCTTGGCTGCTGCAGACGAGTTCCACCACCTCCCCGGTCGCCGGATCCTTGACAATGTCATCAACGCTGATCACGAGGCCGGCGTGCCGTAGACCCACCGATTGCTTGGGCGACAGGCGGCGATAGCCTTTCTCTGGTTCCAGCTTGAAGTCTCCGCTCTCGATGTAGACCACCTTGTCCAGGGTGATCTTGTGGGATCCCTGCTGCGGGTTCTGGGGGAAGTCCGGCACCTCTAGCTGCACGGGTGTCGCATGCGGGAAGTTCTTGATGGTCACTTTGAGCGGTTCCAGAACAACCAAGCGGCGGGGAGCGGTGATATTAAGAACATCCCTCACAGCCGCCTCCAGCATGGCGGGGTCGACGGCTATCTGAGCTCCTGTGACGCCCATCTGGGCACAGAAGTTGTTGATTGCCTCTGCCGGGAAGCCCCTTCTCCTCAGAGCCGTGAGAGTAAACAGCCTGGGGTCATCCCAGTCGTGGACAATCTGCTCAGTAATCAGCTTGGCAATCTTGCGCTTAGACACCAGGGCGTAGTTCATGTTTAACCTGCCGTACTCCCACTGAACCGGACAGTAGATGTCGAGGGCATTGCACAGCCAGTAGTATGAAGACCGCCGTGACTGGAACTCCTTGGTGCACAGCGAATGGCTGATGTCTTCCAGCGAGTCGCACAGGCAATGCGTGTAGTCGTAGGTGGGGTAGATGCACCAGTCGGCGCCTGTTCGGTGATGGGCAATAAACTTGATGCGGTACGCGACCGGGTCCATCTTGCCCTCCTCCAGGGTCAATTTTAATCGCAGCGTGGCCGCTCCCTCGTCGATTTTGCCGCGTTTCATGTCTTCGAACAGCTGCAACGACTCCTCAATTGGACGCTCCCGCCATGGACTGGGCTTCGGATTGAAGCCCTTCAGCTCTTCTGCTTTCTGGTGGCAAACGTAGGCCAATCCCTTGTTGATCAGCACCACGGCCCACTCGTACAGCTGCTGGAAGTTGTCCGAGGAGTGGGTAATTTTGTAGGGCTTGTAACCGAGCCATTCGACCATCTCCTTGATAGCCAGGAAGAATTTCTCCTCCTCCTTCTCGGGATTGGTGTCGTCGTACCTCAGGTAGCAGACTCCATCCTGGGCGGCGGCATAGCCAAAGTTGATGTTAATGGCCTTGGCGTGGCCGATGTGCAGGATGCCGTTGGGCTCTGGCGGAAACCGGGTGTGCACTTTGCCGCCCGTCCTCTTGAGGTGCTCCTTTAGCAGCCGCTCAGTGTTCTCAGTGATCACATATCCGTCGGTCTTGTAGTTCTCGCCGGGAGCATGGAAGTGCACCTTTGTCTTCATTAGCTCGGCAATGGTGGTGGCTCCATCAGATGCTGCCTCGGCTGTCACTTGCGGGGAGGAAGCTGCCTCTGCCTTGGTCGTTTTCGCTGCCTTTGGCTTATCGTTCTGCTTGGTAGGTGGCTTGAGATCGGCCTCAGTCTTTGGTCCCAGCAGATCAAAGATCTCAACGTCGATAGCCGCCTTGACGGACTTTGCATCCGCCCATTTGAGTTCGCTCCTCACATCCTGCAGGATTTTAAAGGAATTAAAGTGGTACCGCTGCTCCAGCAGGGCCTCCTTATAGCTGCCCTTGATTTTGGCCTGGACAATGCGCTCGATCTCCTCCGGTGTGACCACGACTCCCACGCCGCACTCCTTTTCCAGCTCCTGGACATTGATGCTGGCCTGCAGCTTCTGACCGCACTTGAGCACATACTCCAGGGCGGCGTCCACACGCTGGGTGTTGTCCAGCTTGCGTTCTACGATGTAACGTACGAGTAGGGGCAGCTGCTCCGCGCTCTGCGGCTTCAGCTTGGTGGCCATGTGGTAGAGCAACATGCCGGTGCCGTCGGCCAGAGAAGAAGAACTATCCGTTTGCGCCAGCGCCAGCTGGAGGTTCTTGGTCACGTTGGCATTCTTCAGAGTCTCCTTGGCCTTCTGCTCACTCATGCCAAGAGCCTGGAATTGGGCTATCAAATCCTCGCCTGCCATGTCCTCGTACTTTCTGTCTTTCTCGCTGCGCCGCTGATGACGAAGTGCAGTTCGCAGTGTGGCCAGACCACCGATTTTATATCAACGGCTTATCGATAACGCAAACAGCTGATTTGTCGAACCTATCGGTCTGCCCGCACGTGTAGAACGAAAACATTGTTAAATGCTATAACAAAAAAACAATTGAAATAGCGTTAAAATGGGCAAATTAAACGTGACAGTGCTACGTTACCTCACGAAGGAGGACTTCCGCGTCCTTACCGCCATCGAGATGGGCATGAAGAACCATGAACTGGTGCCGGGACCACTGGCCGCTGCTATTGCCAATCTAAAGACAGGTGGCGTCCACAAGCTGCTCAAAGAGCTGTGCAAGCACAAGTTATTGTCCTACGAGCGGGGCAAGAAATGTAAGTATTGCTGAAAGCTTCTTTTTCACTTGTTAAATACCCTTTTCTATGCCACAGATGATGGCTATCGCTTGACCAACACGGGGTATGACTACCTGGCTTTAAAGTCTCTTACCTTGCGCGGATCGGTGAGCTCCTTTGGCAACCAGATTGGCATTGGCAAGGAGTCCAACATCTATGTGGTGGCCGATGAGGAGGGCACAGCCATTTGCCTGAAACTCCACCGATTGGGTCGTACTTGCTTTAGGAATGTTAAGTCCAAGCGCGACTACCACGGCCGGCGGCACAAGGCCTCCTGGCTATATCTTTCCCGCATCTCGGCCACTAGAGAGTTTGCCTACATGTCGGCTCTTTATGATCGAGGGTTTCCAGTGCCTAAACCTATCGACTTCAACCGCCATTGCGTGCTGATGGAGCTTGTCAAGGGCTGGCCCATGTAAGATGCTTTATTTTTTAGGAATACAATCCGACTCTTCATGATTCTTTATATTTGAAGGACCCAAGTTCACGAGCTGCTGGATGCTCCACAGGTTTACGATGACCTTATGAATCTTATCGTTCGCCTGGGCAACTCTGGTGTCATCCATGGTGATTTTAACGAGTTTAATTTGATGGTGACGGACGAGGGCAAGCCTATACTGATTGATTTTCCCCAGATGATGTCCACCTCGCACGAGAATGCTGAATTGTAAGTTATCTTGTGTTTTAGGTCTTCCGGAGCTAAGCTTTATTTCCTTTCAGCTTCTTTGAACGCGATGTTACCTGCGTTCGTGAAATGTTCCGTCGCAAGTTTGGTTACGAAAGTGAAGATTACCCAAAATTCAGTGACCTGGTGCGAGAAGATGATCTGGATGCCGAGGTCCATTGCACAGGCTATGGCTTCACCAAGGAAATGGAACAGGATCTACTGCAGGAATACGGAATGGTGGATCAGGATGACGGCGATGATGAAGAAGAAGGGGACATTAACGAGCAAGAAGAACCACCTGTTTTGGTTCCATCAGCAGCTGCGGAGATCGATGAGTGCCGCCGCCAAGTCGAAAACGAAGTGGTCTACAGTGAGGCCAAGCCCACACAGAAGTCAGATGATGCAGTCCGACGGTATATTGAGTCGTGTACTCAATACCTGGGCAATCTGACGGTGGGCCCAGAGGTTCCCGATCAAACGCTGCCCTCAAAACTGGAAGTCGCTCATCCAATTAAAACCCCCGAAGTTATTGCAGCTGAAACTTCAGCACCAGATCATCAGCCTGTTGCCACAGACGATGTCAGGTCCATCAGCTCGAATGACCTAGACGCTGATGAAGTTCCCGAGCTGGTGTCTGGCTTGGATCCCAACTCGCGAATGTATCGCCTTAAAATGGTCGAACAAATGCTGAATGATGCCAGGAGCCAGCGGTCATACTCCACCACAACGAGTACAATAGCACCTTCCGTCATCACCGACCGTATCCGTCGTAATATGGACATCAAAGAAAAGAGAGAGCAGCGCAAAAAGTGCGTGGCCAAGGGAGAAGCCAGCGCTGTGCATCGTCACCGCAAGGAGAACAAGGATGTGGTGAAGGAATACGCCGGTTGGGATTTTTAGAAATTATTCCCTGATAAATATTTCATATGTTTTATAGTGATATGTAAATTTATAATAAAAACACTTGAATGTTCAATGTTAGTCTCTTTCTGCACACATTTCACAAGTGTTCTTTAGCTCGATAACCCATGACTGGGCATTTTTATGATTTCATAAAATTCAAAAGCTAAAGCATTTATCTAGTGTAATCTCATGCTAAACAAATGCCTCCATTATTCGGGCAAGCAGTTTGTTGTAAAAAATAGCAATTGCCATGATTCAGCGAAATGCGAGAATTAAGTGATACTCATTTCCCCCAGCGGGTGATATGATTAGCTTATTCTGTGGCCCCAAAGGATTTGAGAAATTTCATAAGGTTGATTTATAAGGACACTTACAAGTAGTTTAATGAATTGTATTAGGTAAAATCAAGTTGTTTTTGTTATATATATAAAAAAATATTTTGTACAATTTTTTCCTTATTTGAGAACATAAAATTTGTAGGGCAAAGCTATAGCTTAGATAGTTTTGCCATTAAAGCTAGGATTTAACTAACAATACTGAATCAATTATATCTTCCTCCCAGGGAATCTGAATCGTTAGACTTAGTCGCTTTTCTCTGTATCTTATTAAATATTTTCGTACCGAGAAATTGTTCAATTGCGGAATGACGATGCAAGTCGGCGGGAGATTTTTGGTGTATAAGTTATCAGTATATTATTACGACCCACGTGACGGTTGTTCTATATAACAGACCAGCACCTCTGACGATACAATAGCACTAACAAAAATATTTTGTTGCGGTAACGATCACATACATACATACAAATAATGCCTGAGGAGAAGAGCCACTCTGTGCCTGTGTGGCTCACCAAGGACTTTATCCAGGAAAAGCTACGCGTCTACTTTAAGGACGACTCTTTGAAGCTGGAGAAATTAGGCATTAATCCAGCTATTGGCAACGGTGAGAACTACGCCAGTGTAATGACCCGCATCAATGTTGAGTATACCACAAAGGACTCGAAGTCCAAGAAGCTGACCACCAACTTCTTGGTGAAGACGACCTTTGCCGAGAAAGACCCAGCTGCCCATGTGCTTATCAATTACGGCGTCTACACTCGTGAGATGGACATGTATCAAAGGATTATTCCCAAGCTGGCGGAGCTTGTAAAGACAGAGATTCGGGATCCACGAAAGCTGTTTGCTGGCACCGTAAACGTAGATCGGAAAACGAATTCCATAATATTTGAAGACCTCTCTCTGGAGCATTATATGGTAGCCAGCCGGCTAAAGAAACTTGATCTGGAACACACGCACTTGGTGCTGGAAAAGCTGGCCAGCTTTCATGCCGCCGGAGCAGTTCTGGTCGAGCGGGAGCCCGGTATAGTAAAAGAGAACTATGATCGAGGATTTTACAATAGACATATCCGAGGCTATGAGCCGATTATGACGAATCTTCTGAGGGCCCTATCCCGATCCCTGAACTTGGATGAGGAGCTGCGTCAGCGCTATAAGGCCAAGATAGATCGATTGGTCGATCGTGTGATGGTATACGGAGAGCGATCGACAACCAACAATCCTGGAGACTTTCTGACCCTGGCTCACGGTGATCTTTGGACCACCAACGTTATGTTCCAGTACGACGGACAGGGACATCCAATCAATGTCACTTTTATTGACTTCCAATTCTGTGTATGGAACTCCCCAGCCATCGATCTGCACTACTTCTTCTCGACTTCGATACACGACAATCTCTACCTGGAAAACCAGCTGGAACTGATCCAATTTTATTACTACAAATTGGTGAATGCTCTCAAGAAGCTTAAATATTCCGGCCACGTCCCGAGCTTATTTGATTTTCAACTGCAGTTCCGCATGAGAGCCTTCTACGGTAAGTACCTATATATAAATTTATTATTTTATTTACTAATACTCTTGTATTATATTCTCTTTCGCAGCTGTGTTTGCATCCTTAATTTTCGAGCCGTTGATGTTGTACAATGGCAAGGAGGAGGCTTCCCTGGAGCAGATTATCTCCGAGAAAGCGAGCGGGCAGAGGTTCAAGGATGATATCTATCAGCAGGAGTGCGTTCGAAAGAAACTGCATCTTACACTCCCTTTCCTGGAACAGTGGGGATTGCTTGATGAAATGTGATATTTGCTGTCCCCATAAAATATATTAATATATGTATATATTTGAGCGAAAAGCGAGATTAGATTGAGATTTGGCATTAACTAGAAGGGTTAGTGAGTTAGTTAGTTAGCTATAGTATGAGTGTGTGTTATCTCTATCATCTGCCCCACTGCAATAATCCCAACTGCAAGGCTATATAAAGGCAGCGCATCTCATGTACTCTCTTAGAACTTAAATCTTATAGATACAGTAATGAGTACGGAAGGCACACATCCGTCACCCACGTGGCTCACTGCGGATTATGTGGAGCAAAAGTTACGAGTTTATTTCAAGAACAACTCCCTGAAATTAATAAAACTCCAGATTAAGCCCGCCAGTCCCAAGGGCAAGAACTATGCCAGCGTCATGAACCGCATCAGTGTGGAGTACACAACAACAACGGATTCGAAGATCAAAAAGGTGACCAGTTTTCTGGTTAAGGCCACTTTTGCCGACAAGGATCCTGCATCTGAGTTACTTTCGGATTACGGGATCTACACCCGTGAGATGGATATATACGAACGGATCCTGCCTGATCTGGCGAATATGGTGAAGAATGAAATCGGAGACTCTCAAAAGTTGTTTGCGGCAACTGTGGATGTGGATCGTTCGAAGGAATCCATCATCTTTGAGGATCTTTCTCTGGAGGAGTACAAGGTTGCCAGCAGGCTAAAAAAACTAGATCTCGAGCACACTCACCTGGTTCTTGAGAAGCTGGCCAATTTCCATGCCGCAGGTGCAGCTCTGGCAAAGCGTCAGCCAGGGATCTTTGAAAAAAATTTTGATCGAGGCTTCTTTAATAAGCACACTCGGGGATATGAATCCACAATGAAAAATTTGCTAGAGGCATTGTCCCGGTCCTTGGAGTTCAATCAAGATCTTAAGCAGCGTTACCAGGCGAAGATCGATCGCTTGGTAGATCATGTGATGGATTATGGCGAGAAATCCACCTCCATTAACCCCGGAGACTTTGTGACCCTGGCTCACGGAGATCTTTGGACCACCAACATCATGTTTCAGTACGACGGAAAGGGTCATCCTACGAATGCCATCCTAATAGACTTTCAATTCAGTGTTTGGAACTCTCCGGCTATTGATCTGCATTACTTTTTTTCCACCGCGATGGATGACAATCTTCGGTGGAACAGTCAGCCGGAGTTGGTTCAGTTTTATTATTACAAGCTAGTGGAATCTCTGAAGAAGCTCAAGTACTCAGGCAGTGTGCCAAGTTTATTTGATTTTCAGCTACAGTTTCAGCGAAGGGCGTTTTACGGTAAGTTATTGTAATATTATTTTATTTCCATAATTGTATTACCTTTTTTTTTCACAGCTGTATTCTCTTCGTTAATTTTTGAGCCCTGCATGCTGTACACTGGAAAGGAGGAGGCGTCTATTGCGCAGGGTATGTCCGACTCCGAGAGTGGAATCCGGTTCAGAGATTCAGTATTTGAGGCGGAGCACATTAGGAATAAAATGTTTTTCACACTTCCGTATTTGGATCAGTTTGGGTTGTTAGATACTATGTGAAATTGAAGTATAAAATAGATATTAGAAGAAAGTATTCTCAACTGATCCCACGGTGCGTATGAGTAATTTTCTTAATTTAATTTCCCACTTTCTATGCAGTCGTCATATACGTGTTATAAAAGTGTTCAGACAATGGGTATATCTGTAACATTTTCTAAATCAACAAGGTAAATATAATATTCTTGCGGTTCCCTGATGTCGCTGAATGATGGAAATAAAAGTACTACCTAATCATAAAAGGGATGGTCTGTGTTTGAAAACAGATTTACTTTCACACAATAACTAAATAGATTATCTTAAGTAAAGGAATTATAAATAATTGATAAAATAAATATGGAAAATTATTTGAATCTTCATTCATTATAATACAAAATTAGGTTTGTAATTGTCCCAAAGAGTAATAATATATTTTCCAAGATTATTGTAGAAGCGCACACGTGATGTAAGCACGATTACTCTCCTATGATAATAAGATCTGTCTGTTATATATTTTTATTTTTCTCTCGTTGTGGCTCTTGACAATTGTTAAATTGTTGACGATGACGAAGCAAGTCGGCGAGCGTTAGTTTTTACACAGGTTATCATCATAATAATCACGTAAACCCAGAGAGCTTTATAAAAGACCTGCGCCTCTCACTAAAGATAGCATAAATAACTGCCCCGAGGTACGGTTCGGATCTCAAAATGCCAGAGGAGAAGCCCCATCCGGCGCCCGTGTGGCTGACCAAGGACTACGTGGAGGACAAGCTGCAAGTCTACTTTAAAAATAATTCCCTGCAGCTCGAGGAACTGGAGATCAAGCCGGCCATACCCAATGGAGAAAACTACGCCAGCGTAATGACCCGCATCAACGTTGTGTATTCCACGAACGAGTCCAAGAAAAAGAAGGCCACTAACTTCCTTGTGAAGACCACTTTTGCTAGCAAGGATCCAGCTGCTCACGTACTCATGCACTACGGAATATACACCCGGGAGATGGATATGTATGAAAAGATCCTGCCAGAGCTATCAGTTATTGTCAAAGAAGAGCTAAAGGATTCAAGACGATTATTCGCCGGCACTGTGAATGTGGATCGCGAACGGGACTCGATTATATTCGAGGATCTATCGCTCGAGTACTACAAGGTGGCCTGCAGGTTGAAGAAGCTGGACCTGGAGCACACTCACCTAGTTCTCGAGAAGTTGGCCAATTTCCATGCTGCCGGAGCAGTTCTTGCAGAACGTCAGCCGGGTATTTTTGCGGAAAACTTTGATCGTGGATTTTATAATAAACACACTCGTGGGTATGAGCCCATCATGAGGAACCTACTGGAAGCCCTGTCCCGCTCCCTAGAGTTGCAGCCAGATCTTAAACAACGTTATCAAGCAAAGATCGATCGATTGGTTGATCGGGTAATGGATTACGGCGAGCAATCGACAACAATTAATCCTGGAGATTTTGTGACCCTGACTCACGGAGATATCTGGACCACCAACGTGATGTTCCAGTACGATGCAGAAGGTCGTCCCTCGAATGCCATCTTCATTGACTTCCAGTTCACCGTGTGGAACTCTCCGGCCATCGATCTGCATTACTTTTTCTCGACCTCGATACACGAAAATCTCCGTCTGGAAAGGCAATCGGAGTTGGTGCAGTTCTACTTCTACAAGTTGGTGGATGCCCTCAAGAAAGTCAAGTACTCTGGCAGGATTCCCAGTTTATTTGAGTTTCAGCGCCAATTCCGTACTAAGGCTTTTTATGGTGAGTGTGAAATAATATTTTAATAGATCAGACTTTGATAAAAATACACTTCCTCAGCTGTGTTCTCCTCATTAATTTTCGAGCCCACAATGGTTTACAACGGCAAGGAGGAGGCGTCCATGGAACAAATCATATCTAAAAGCGAGAAAGGAATGCGATTCAAAGATGATGTCTATCGATCGGAGAACATCCAAAAGAAAATGCATCTTACACTGCCGTTCCTAGATCATTTGGGTCTGCTGGATGAAATGTAAAGTAAAATAAGCAATAGAGAATGATTTTCTAATTTAAATAAAGACAAGAACAATTATATTTTAGTAATTCAAATATGCCTTTATTTATAAGGAAATTCGAAAAAGATTTTTTAAAGGTTTTTTGTATATGTAACTCAATACAATATTTTAATAGTGGAATATTATACACTATACATTTAAATAAAGCTTTTAATTATTTTCGATTATTAATACAACGGCATTCTTCTGTAATTTTATAAAAAAAAGCATCATACATATATATATATTCAGAATTGTAGATAAGTAGCAAGACATGCAAATGCCACGTCAACCACTTGAAAATAAAGGCCTTTAAGTTTTCACAACATCCACCTCAGCAATCTGTTCACTCGCCTACAATTACTGGGTTTGGAATACATTTTAGTTAAATAAACATTTATGATTCCATAAACTGTAAAGACTTAGTGCCTTAATCTTGTTAAACCCCAAGATAAACAAGTGAAGGAAGCCTCTATACTCTCAGTGTTTCGTTCGAATTAATATATTTAACTTAAAGGCAAGTCGCTCATTATTATGCAAAGGATAATCATTGCGCTGACTAAATTTAAAATTCAATATCTCTTTTATTATTTCCCCTATTTAGTTAATAGTAAAACAACAATTTTAATAATTTATTTAGAAATCTTAGCATCTTTTTTGGAGACAATCTGACGTTTACTAAGAGCGGTTTTCATTTTATTTGCTCTCGGCAAGACTGGTAAGCTTCAAAATTGCTACCAATAAAGGTGTTAAATGGGATGCTCTTAGCACAAGCTATCAGAATCATGCACCTTTCGTAATCATATAAAAGGAACGTACCCCACCGTCAGATTGCCATACAGAAAAGTAAGCCTGTGAGCTTTGGTTCACATCACATCATGCCAGAGAAATTCATTCACAATGCTCCTGCTTGGCTCACCGAGGAATACGTGGAGAAGAAGCTGCGAGTTTACTTCAAGGATGAGTCTCTGAACGTTGAACAGCTCGAGATCAAGCCGGCAATCAGTAATGGGGAGAACTATGCCAGTGTGATGACTCGTATCAATGTGGAGTATACTACGGAGGACTTGAAGACCAGGCAGCCTGCAACATTTCTGGTGAAAGCCACATTCGCTGATAGAGATCCGGCCTTTGATTTGCTCTCAGAGTACGGGATCTACACTCGAGAAATGGATATGTACGAGCAGATCCTGCCCCACCTGGCGGTTTTGGTTAAGGAGGATATCGGCGACTCCCGAAAGTTGTTTGCGGCTACTGTGAATGTTGATCGTGTGAGGGACTCCATCATCTTTGAGGATCTTTCTCTGGAGAAGTATAAGGTGGCCAGCAGACTAAAGAAACTGGACCTAGAGCACACCTATCTTGTTCTGGAGAAGCTGGCCAGTTTCCATGCCGCAGGAGCAGCTTTGGCAGAACGTCAGCCGGGGATCTTTGAGAAGAACTACGACCGAGGATTCTTTAACAAACACACTCGAGGCTATGAACACATCATGACCGTTCTCTTACAGGCTCTGTCCCGCTCCTTAGAGTTGAATCAGGATCTTAAGCAACGTTATCAAGCGAAGATCGATCGAATGGTGCATCATGTAATGGATTATGGGGAACGATCGGCATCCATTAATCCGGGAGATTTTGTGACTCTGGCTCATGGCGATCTGTGGACCACCAATATCATGTTCCAGTACGACGGAAAGGGTCATCCCACCAACGCGATCTTCATTGACTTCCAGTTCAGCGTGTGGAACTCTCCCGCCATTGATCTGCACTACTTCTTCTCCACTTCGATCCAAGAAGATCTCCGTCTGCAGCATCAGCCGGAAATGGTTCAATTCTATTATTACAAGCTTGTGGAGGCCCTGAAAAAGCTCAGGTATTCAGGACACATCCCCAGTTTGTTCCAGTTCCAACAGCAGTTTCGGGTTAAAGCATTCTACGGTGAGTACAAAATAAATGATATTTCACCATTAATATTAATTAATTTTTTTAAATAGCTGCATTTTCCACCCTTATTTTTGGACCTATCATGGTTTACAATGGCAACGAGGAGGCATCCATAGAGAAGATAATATCTACGAGCGAAAAAGGAATTCGATTCAAGGACTCACTTTATCAATCAGAGTATATGCAAAAGTTACTACATTCTTCGTTGCCGTTTCTTGATCAGTTTGGACTGTTAGATGAAATGTGAAATATTTGAAATAAAAGCTTGATATGAAAACTATTAAAAATCGTTAAAAGAAGCTAACTTAATTTTTTTTTTTTTTATTTTTCTGTATTTATAACGATCGCTTTTATGTCAGCTGTATGATATAGAAGTCCGATGTTCATAAAATTGTACATAAAATTGTATATGAATATATAATATAATGGCTTTTTATCAAATTTGATTAAAAGTCTGTTGAACATTGGAAATGTTATAATTGTTTTTTCTTAAAATTTTCCGATCGTTCCTATGGCAGCAATATATATATATATATATAAAAAGATATAGTCCCCCGATTCGGCATGCTCCGATTTATATCGTAGTAAAATTATATAGAAAAATAACTCCATAGTTTCATTTAAATAGCTCTTATGTTTGTTCCAAAACAAATTTTGCACATCTGTGCATATGATTCCTAAATGGTTCTAACTTCCCCGAAACGAAGTGGCTTCTGCCAGCCAAGTATCAGAAATGTGTTGTGTTACAAAAGTTGCAAGTCATTGTTTATTACTGTTCAAAGTTAGTAACTGAACATTCATACTTACTGGTCATAGGTATCATACTTACTGTTCAAAGTTACTTAATGTACATTGATACTTACTGGTCAGATTTACTTAATGTTCACTGATACTTACTGATCAGAGTTACTTACTGCTCATAGTTACTTATTGATTATTGTTAAATTAAATAGCTCGCTGCTCCTCTCTGCCTCTCCCCCACTCACTCTTTGTTAATCGCTCTGTGTTAATCTCTAGAGGCAACTGCTTTTCTCCCACGCACTCACACTCACTTTCTCTGCTCTTCTCTGCTCTTCGCTGCTCTTCTCTGCTCTTCGCTGCTCTTCTCTGCTCTGCTCGGGGACTATAAATAGAGGTGCTGAGGTCGCGCGCGCCTCAGTCTGTCCTAGGGGTACCTAGTGTTAACATCTCAAGTGATAGTGATAGTGATCCTCCTTTGATCCCAAAAATATGGTGTGGTACATCTGGATGACTAGGAAGAAACTCATTTCGGATGAAGTCACCATTTTTGGTCAATGTAAACAATGACGAAAGAGAACAGCCACGTGTCCTTTACGGCGGTAAGTCTTAACCATGACATTTATATTATATATGAAGAAGCTGTAGGTGGGATTAGGCCGAGTTCTAGACTTTGTATTCCAATTTATTTCCTTATTGCCATGGTCCCTTTTACATACTTAGAAACTTACTAATACTTTTCAATAATTTAGATACTTACTGATTATAGTTACTTGCTGGGCATAGATACTTACTGTTCAGAGTTACTTACTGGGTATAGTTACTTAATGATCATAGTTGCTTACTATTGATATTAACTTAATGTTGAAAGATACTTACTGATTATTCATTTAACAACAGTTTCTCTGTCAGTTGTATTATACAGTATTCCGATTTTCATAAAACTAAAAACTAAATTCTACAATAATAAAAGATAGCGTTTAATTAAATTAAATACAAATTTAAAACTGAAAAAGTTTTGGTTCACAGACATTTTCCGGTAAATTAATTGTTTTATTTAATCGCCAGTCCAGCAAAAACCACGTCAACCATTGAAAAATAAAGTCATTTATAAATAAACTATCCACCCACGCAATCTGTTCTCTCGCCTTCAGTTGGTCGGTTTGGGACACGTTTTACTCAAGCGAGAAATTACGATTTCATAAATTGTAAAAAGAAATTAAGTTAATTCCCTGGTTAAACAAATGCCGCGAGTCTCTAAGTTTGCTCAGTGCTACCTATTTAACTAGGGTATGCTCGGTTTAGTTAAGCAAGTAGGAGCTCTCTTAAATAGTTAAAAATGAAAGCGAAAAATTTTATAGTTTAATTTTCTTTAATTATATATAAAAATAATAATTTATTGTACCCACCCATTAAAAAATAAACTTAAATATAAAACAAAGCAATGTTTTTTTAAAATTTAAAATTAAATCATTATAAATTGGATAACTTAATGTTTAAGCATATTCAACTATAATTTCCCATAAATACTTATTTTTTTAAGAGACGTGTCCCAACTGAGATAGGCCCTAAAATATACCATATAAAATATCTTAGTTATCTTGGCTGACGTGTCCTTAGATCGCTTTCTCGTATTTGCTCTCGACTTGTAAGCTTCTCAATGGCTGGCGATTAAGGTTTAGATGAAATACTTACTCAGTACAAGCATGCTGTATAAAAGAGCTGTGTTTCCCAGAGAGAATCATCACACAACCAGGTAAACTTCACAGCTGCACATCATGCCGGAAACACTCACCCACAAGGCGCCTGCTTGGCTCACCGAGGAAAACGTGGAGAAGAAGCTGCGAGTCTACTTCAAGGACGAGTCCCTGCACGTGGAACAGCTTGAGATCAAGCCGGCAATAGGCAATGGGGAGAACTACGCCAGTGTGATGACTCGTATCAATGTGGAGTACACTACGAAGGACTCGCAGGTTGCGGAGTTTGCAACATTCCTGGTAAAAACCACCTTAGCCGACAAGGATCCGGCCTCTGACTTGTTCTCGGAATATGGGATCTACACCCGAGAAATGGACATGTACAAGCAGATTCTGCCCCATCTGGCAGATTTGGTTAAGGAGGATATTGGGGAATCTCGGAAGATGTTCGCTGGCACTGTATGATGTGGATCGAGCAAGGAACTCAATTATCTTCGAGGACCTTTCGCTGGAGAAGTATAAGGTGGCCTGTCGTCTTAAGAAATTGGATCTAGAACACACCCATCTGGTTCTTGAGAAGCTGGCAAGATTCCATGCCTCCGGAGCAGCTTTGGCTGAACGTCAGCCTGGAATCTTTGACAAAAACTACGATCGAGGGTTCTTCAACAAACACACTAGACGTTACGAACACATCATGACGTCCCTCCTCAAGGCTTTGTCCCGCTCTTTAGAGTTGAATCAAGATCTTAAAAAGCGTTATCAAGCTAAGATCGATAGTCTAATCAATCGTTTAATGGATTATGGTGAGCGATCGGCAACCGTTAATCCGGGAGATTTCGCGACTTTAACTCATGGCGATCTGTGGACCAGTAACGTTATGTTCCAGTACGACGGAAAGGGTCATCCCACCAACGCAATCTTCATTGACTTCCAGTTTAGTGTGTGGAACTCTCCGTTTATTGATTTGCACTACTTCTTCTCCACTTCGATCCAAGAAGATCTCCGTCTGCATCATCAGCCGGCGTTGGTGCAATTCTATTACAACAACCTAGTGGAGGCTCTAAAGAAACTAAGGTTTTCTGGACACATTCCTAGTTTGTTTGAATTCCAGCAGCAGTTTCGGGCCAAAGCATTCTACGGTAAGTAAATGTAAATAGTTAATTCAGAACAGTTTCTTATGCAATTTCTTGTGCAGCTGCATTTGCTTCCTTGGTTTTTGCACCCACTATGGTGTACACCGGCAAGGAGGAGGCGTCCGTAGAGCAGATTATATCTACGAGCGAGCAGGGATTACGGTTCAAGGATTCTCTTTATCAATCTGAGTATATGCAAAAGTTTCTGCTCTCCACATTGCCGTTTCTTGATCAGTTTGGATTGTTAGATGAAATGTAAAATCTTGTATATTATTGTTATTGTGACAATAAATTGAAATAATAAGCCAAAGGCTTTGATTTAATAATAAAAGACTATTCACAATATGAAATGAAAGAGTATCTGTAATCACTTATATTTTCCCAACTTTAAGTGCTGATTCTCTATCAGTTAAAAGTCAAATATACTTGCAATTTATTTTCTTATCTAAATACTTGAGAACCTATAAAAGCCACAAGCCTTCGCTGATGAAATGCAATTAGTAAATATCTACTGATCGTACAATGTCCCAGGAAAGCAACCTCAAGCCGCATCCAGCACCTGCTTGGCTCACTCCAAAGTATGTGGAAGAAAAGCTGTGTATCTATTTCAAGGATGACTCCCTCAGCCTAAAAAATCTGCACATCAAGCCGGCAATTGGCAATGGGGAGAACTACTCCAGTGTGATGACTCGCATCAATGTAGAGTACACCGCTCATGGTTCGAAGGATAAGCTATCCACTACGTTTCTGGTGAAGACCACATTTGCCGACAAAGATCCTGCTGCTTGCGTGCTCATGAGCTATGGCGTTTACACCAGGGAGATGGACATGTACGAGCGGATCCTCCCAAGGCTGTCCGATCTGGTAAGGAATGAACTGGGCGACAATCGGAAGTTATTTGCGGGCACAGTGAATGTGGATCGTGCAAGGGACTCAATTATCTTCGAGGATCTTTCGCTGGAGAAGTATAAAGTGGCCTGTAGGCTGAACAAATTGGACCTGGAGCACACTTACCTGGTTCTAGAGAAACTGGCCAGTTTCCATGCCGCAGGAGCAGCTCTGGCTGAACGTCAGCCAAAGATCTTTGCAGATAACTATGATCTTGGATTCTATAACAAACACACCCGCGGGTATGAGCCCATAATGAGGAACTTGCTGCAGGCCCTGTCCCGTTCTCTGGAATTGGATCAAGATCTTAAAAAGCGTTATCAATGGAAGATCGATCGTTTGGTTGATCGGGTAATGGATTATGGTGAGCAATCGACAACAATCAATCCTGAAGATTTTGTGACTCTGGTTCATGGAGATTTGTGGACCACCAACATCATGTTCCAGTACGATGCAGAAGGTCGTCCCTCGAATGCCATCTTCATTGACTTCCAGTTCACCGTGTGGAACTCTCCGGCCATCGATCTGCACTACTTTTTTTTGACCTCATTACAAGAGAACCTCCGTTTGGAAAAGCAACCTGAATTTGTGCAGTTTTACTTCTATAAGTTGGTGGATGCCCTCAAGAAGATCAAGTATTCTGGCAGGATTCCCAGTTTATTTGAGTTTCAACAGCAATTTCGATCTAAGGCTTTTTATGGTGATTTAAATATGGCTTATTTTTTTGAATTTGATATTTGTAATTGTAATCCATTTCTTCCCCACAGCTGCCTTTGCTTCGCTTATTTTCGAGCCACCGATGGTATACAACGGCAAGGAGGAGGCGTCCATGCAGCAGATCCTGTCCTTATCCGCCAAGGGAATGCGATTCAAGAACGATCTCTACCAGTCAGAGGAAATGAGAAGAAAGTTGCATTACACGCTGCCATTTCTTGATCATTTGGGATTATTAGATGAGATGTAGATAAAACAAAGAAGATAAAATACAAATTAATTAATTTGGTCCTTTTTCAATAAAATTGTTTGATTTTATTACAAAAATATGCTCATGGGCCACATTGCGTATACGCAATTTAAAATATTTTGTGAATGATATCGTTCGTACACTCGGAAAATTCATTATTCACACATAATGTGTTTCTGTTTACATTTAATTTAATATTCTGTTACTAATAACTTGGCAGATAAGCGTGTAAACTATTATAACAAATATATAAATAATAAAGTGTTTACTTTGTTTTGCTGGCAAGAACTGATTTGCTGGTTTTAGTGTGAAAAATCAACAAAACAAGCTTTTTGTTTTAATATTTAAATATGTGACATGAAATAAGTAATGACTGATAAGGTAGAAAATCCCGCTTTAAGATTTTTTTATCACACATCACAATTTCAGACCACATAAAATAATAAATTGGTACAATAAGGTTTTAAAAATTATTTTTAATAATTTTGAATTTTCCGTAAACTACTCTCTATTCAATACAAATCTATATTTAACGTTAGATGTACATATGTCAAAAAAAGAAACAAACAATTTAAAGAAAGATTGTCTGATAAATTTTCTATAATATATATAGTTTATTGTTAATCGTGATATATTTGTATATTTCAAGCGTTAATATATTCTGGATAAGACATAAAAAGTCAAATCGAAGTTTTTATTATGCATATATATATACATACATACAAATACTTTTCTTAAATCAAAACAAAAGAAAACAGTTTCACAGATTAAAAAAGCAGTACTAATATTTCAACAGTTTCCAAGAATTAGAATTATTTCCTCATTAAACGCCAGTAGACTTGCATATACAATAGAAGCAAATGTGTATTTCTATAAATTTATTTGCTCATTCGGCTAGACTCGAGTGTTATTTGCTCAAGATACTGGCACTGCAATTATCGTGTGCACCCAAGACTATATAAAAGCGGTAGACCCAAGTAGTGGCACCGCAGAAAAAAACACTCCGATCTAAGGCTAAGACCATGTCTGAGGAGGCTACCAAACACAAGACCCATCCGGCTCCTGCCTGGCTCACCTCGGACTACGTGCAGGAAAAGTTGAGTATCTGCTTGAAGGACAAGTCCCTTAAATTGGAGAAACTGAGTGTAGAGCCGATCATCGCTAATGGTGGACACTACGGCAGTGTGATGACCCGCATCCATGTGGAGTATACCACAAAGGCGTCGAAGGATGTGCAGGCCACCACCTTCCTTTCTAAGACCACATTTGCGGACAAGGATCCTGCTGGGGATGTGCTCATCCACTACGGAGTGTACACACGCGAAATGGATATGTACGAAAAGATTTTGCCCCAATTGGCGGATCTGGTTAGAAACGAGCTGAAGGATCCGAGAAAGATGTTTGCTGCCACCATGAACGTAGACCGCGAACGGGATTCCATTATCTTCGAGGACCTGTCGCTGGAGCACTATACGGTGGCCGATCGCCGGAAGAAACTGGATTTGGAGCACACTCACCTATTACTCGAGAAATTGGCCAAGTTCCATGCTGCCGGAGCAGTTCTTGCCGAACGGCAGCCGGGGATCTTCTCGAAGAACTACGATCGAGGCTTCTTTAACAAACATACACGGGCCTATGGGCCCATAATGACGAACCTTCTGGAGGCTTTGTCGCGATCCCTTAGTTCGGATCCGGTTCTGGGTCAGCGCTACAAGGCCAAGATCGATCTGCTTGTGCAACGCCTCATGGACTATGGAGAGCGATCGACATCTATAAATCCGGGAGATTTTGTGACCCTAGCTCATGGAGATCTCTGGACCTCGAACTTTATGTTTCAGTACGATGCGAAGGATGGTCATCCCACCAATGCCATCTTCATAGACTTCCAGTTCAGCGTGTGGAACTCACCGGCCATTGATTTGCACTACTTTTTTGCCACATCGCTGCAGGATAATCTCCGCCTGGAACGACAAACAGAGTTGGTGCAGTTCTATTACTATAAGCTGGTGGATGCCCTCAGGAAGTTAAAGTTCTCGGGCAGGATTCCCAGTTTGTTTGAGTTTCAGCTACAGTTCCGTGCCAGAGGGTTCTATGGTGAGCACAAGTGATCTTTGATTCCTCAAATATGTATATGAATAACCCCTTTGTATCCATAGCTGTCTTTTGTTCCTTGGTGTTCGAGCCTGTGATGCAGTACGATGGCAAGGAGAATGCCTCCATTGAGCAGGTACTTTCCAATTCCGAAAGTGGCATGCGGTTCAAGGACTCCGTATACGAGTCCAAGGCAATTAAAAAGAAATTGTCCATCATTCTGCCTTTCCTTGATCAATTGGGCTTACTAGATGATATGTGAAAAGTGTGTTTATAGTTTAAGTAAACAAAATGTTTTTGTAGTAGTTAAGATAGTTAAAAACAGTCAATTAACTATGTATATACATTTTCTTGGAATTTCAACTATTAGTACCTTTTATTTGGACAAGGTCTTAAAGTAAACTGAAAGTGTTTGATAGTGGTGCAGTTCGATATCAGCAGATAGTGTTAGCAATTATTTTGTGGGCCATAACTGACCTTTTCACGGGAAAAAAGTATTGTACTTGACTGATAACAGAAGGATCTGCACTTGACTCTGGCGAAGATAGTGCTGAGCCCTGGCCAAATAATAATACAAATCTCAGATGCCGTCGGTTACATGCCCTTGACTCATGGCAAAATATAAGTAATCCCGAAACGCAAAAAACACAGCTGTCTGGAGAATAGAAGCTAACTTTTACTACGGCTATAAGCTAATAAATAAAATGTGCTCTAAAAAACAACAGCTGTAGGTAAATACTATATATGTCGCTAGCTGAGGATGATAAATAAATGAAACACGTTTTGTCAATTGAGTGAAAAAACAAAGTATATTAAGTATATGTAAGGCCAAGTTTTCACTTTTGTTTGCATATGGTCTCTACTACAAAATATCATTTCGTTTTCATTTAAATTTAAATATTGTGTATTTTTTATCTTGAACAATTATTCTATATACAGGTTAGGGATAGAGGAGAGACATGTGCCTTCCTTTTAGTCAATGACATCTAGAAGACCGCTCCTGTCGAAGCGTGGCAGCATATATTTGAGATTTTCCTGCAGGGTCTTGTTGTGGTACAGCACTTTTCGGAAGTTCCTTCCCCGCTCATCGTCCTTCATTAAGGCATTGAAATCAGCGTCAGCTGTCTGATCATTAGTCAATATGGCCTGGCAGGTTAGGGCTACAGTGACGGCTGTTAAAATATAAAAAAATGAAATGAATTAATTTTATTTATTGATAATTTGTTTTTAAGATTTCTTACCAAAGAATCCCCCCCTCTCCAGCTGCAGGACGAACTGTCGCAGGGTGGGCGTGTATCCACCGAATTTAAGATCCTTTAGAGTCTCCACCAGCACCGTGTGATAGTACTGAACCAATTCCTCTTGGTGCTCGTAACGAATGGGTTTTTGCACCGAGGTGTTGAAGAAGTAGTGAAGGTCCACTGCCGGCGAAGACCAACTGCAGAACTGGAAGTCGATGAGAATCATGTCCAGGGGCTCCTTCCTCTCTCCGTAGCGCATCATCACGTTGTTTACCCAGAAATCACCATGTACCAGGGTGTTGAACTCATCCGGCTGGGGATCGTAGACCCGCGCGGAGTACTCCATCACTCGCTTTCGCAGCTCCCTCAGCTTCCGTGCGTAGTGATCTCCCAGCTCGGGACATGTGGCAGCAAAGTCCGCTGCCACATCACATAAATTTTCAAAGAAGGGTGCAAATCCCTTCGTGTAACGATTGAAAATGCCGTGATCAAACTTGGTCAGTATTCCGGGCTTTCGTTCATTGAGGACTGCGGCGGCGGCATGCATCTTGGCCAGTTTTCGGAGTGCCAGGCGAGTGTGTTCCAGATCGAAACCAATGAGGCGATCGGCCAGCACATGCTTGCTCACAGCCAGATCCTCGAAAATGATGGCATCATGCTCGTAGTCCACATGCAAAGTGGCGGCAAAGACCTTCTCCGGCTGACGCGTCTCTTCGATGAGGGCGCTCAATTGGGGCAGCACCTTCTCGTACATCAGCATCTCCGTAGTGCTAACCTGGTACTTGGAGAATATATCCGAGGCAAATGGATCATTCTCGTAGGTGGTCTTCACAATATAGTATTCAATTTCCGGAATCTTGGCCGATGATCTCAGGAAGAGAATCTTAACGCGAGTCATAACACTGGCATAGTTATCACCTTTGGCGGTGGCGGGCTTGATCTCCAGTTCGGTGATCCTCAGGCCGGGATCCTTCTTCAAGTCTCTGAGTAGCGGCTCCAGATAGGATTCATCCAGCCAAACGGGCGCCGGATGAAAGTCCTTGGTTTCCTGCTCTTTGCCCTGTTCCACCATGATGTTCACTTGAGTTCTGGATTGCAGCTTTCCGTGGGAGGCACCATTTATAGGCGAACCGACGCTACAATCTCGATGTCGTCGCCAGATTCCATATTATGGCAGCCGTAAAGCCACCCGACTCAAGCAATTACGTAGCATCTGTATACGTTAGAGGTTCGCGAGCAAACGAATTGTATCTGAAAGTATGTATATCTGGGAGCCGCACCAGATATAGGAAGCGCTTAGAGGCGTGTGAGATAACGCCGACACACACTCTATATGATGTGATGTAAGTGTGCCTGCCGTAAATCATGCAAAAATCTGCTGACGTGGCGTCTAAAGAGCGCTCTCGTTCCCTCACCAAATTAATCCACCTTCGCAATCCATAAATCCGTCCGTTAATTTGCATAACAAAGTCCCAGCAAACACAGATAGATTTCAGTGTTTTACTTGTTTGCGAATCTATTCTCAGACTCACAGTTAATCTGGTTGTTTCTGGATTCACAATTTTGCAAGTAATGCTAGGAAAAGTGGTTTCGAATTTCACAAGGATTTGTGTAATAGAAAGAACCAGAAAAACGAATAAATAAGAAGCTCTGATTGTGAGTTAGAGAGATAATACATTGGCTAGTTTCCTGCATACTTATCGGGGCAAGCGATAAGCATGTTATCAGCAAAACTTTTAAGATTTTTAAATATATGATAAGGTGCTTTAAGAGGCTAATACGTTTGGGTACACCTAATATTAAATTGTGGCTAAAATTTTAAGGAATCTAAGTACTGCAGACTTTTAGGCAAAAAGAGAAAGTCTTTTAAATACAATTCTTGGACAAACAGCCCGAAAAGTTGTATATATATTTATAATATAAATAATTTTTAGATAAGATATATAAAAATATATAAAAAATATATAAAAATATATATATGCTCGGGAAAGCTTGACTTTATAAATATTTATGTGATTGCAACACTGCGTATGAATGATGCATTTTAAATCAAACTTCCGGTAACAAACGTACTTGTACTTGCATTTGTGTATCTATTACTTACAAGATTATTATAATTATTATTACTATTAATAAAGATTGCACTAATACACATCCCATAAATGTTACCGTTTAAACAAGTTGTATGAAAAATTCATACGACGTTCTTAAATTGGATTAATACGTCCTTAACAAACTATTAATACAAATTATTTAAAATAACATAATTAAAGAAAAGTATATTTAAAACTATATTTCTTTTAATATAATATATAACAATAAATAAAAAATATAAAAATAATTCTTTCCGGTGAACCTGATGTGCGGACAACGTGGCGTATGAGTGATGCATTTTGATTTAACTTCCTCGAAAGTTGGTTAATTTGTATAAATTTCACATTAAAATTAAAATAAAAGGAAAATCTGCATTAAAATTTAAATTTTCATTAAAGTTTTTAATAGAAATATGTTTAATGAAAATATAAATATTATTACAGCAAGCAAATCATCAATAACCTCTTTAAAAATAATATATTTCCATTTAATAATATAATTACTCAACATTTACTAAACTAAATCACGAAACTTAATATATTTGAACAGAAAATTTAATATCTTAGTTGTTGTTGTTCCTCATGTGCCCCCCTTAGCAAGTTTGGTCCACTTCCAGCAGCCCCTTCCTATCGAAGAATGGGACCAGAGCCTGGAGATTCTGCTGCACTGTGGGATTGTTATACAATCGATTCTTGAAGCGGATGCCACGCTCGTCGTCGTTCATTAAGGCATTGAAGCAAGCATCCGTCGGATCCTGGCTGATCATCACGGGCTGGACCACCACCGTGGAGTGCATGGCTGTAGGGAACAATGCAAACAAATAGTCACATGGAAAGATGGAAACCCTGAAAGATCAAACTCACCGAAGAAACGCTTCTGCTCCACCTGCTGCTTGAACTGATGAAGACTGGGAATGGGATTATGGCTATAGTGGAGCTTCTTTAGCGTCTCACTGAAGATACTGTGGTAGAACTGGAACAGACCATTTTGCTGTTCTCGACGCAGTGGCTCCTTCAGGGAGGTGTTGAAGAAATGATGCAGATCAATGCAGGGAGAGCCCCAGAAGGAATATTGAAAGTCGATGAGTAGCACGTCCACAGGTCGTCCCGTCTCCTGGTCATATTTGAACATCACATTGTTGGTCCACACATCCCCGTGGGCCAGGACATTCACGTGGCCAGCGGTGGGTGTGAAGCACTCCTTCCCAATGTCCATGTAGTGGGGTGCCAAGGCGAATAACTTCTCTCCGTAGTGGGCCAGCTTGGGCACCTTGCTCATCCATCGGGCGGCTGCCAGAAGGCCACCTACAAAGTAGCCACTGTACGCATTTGTGTATTTGTTAAAGAAGCCTCGGTCATAGCCCTCCAGGGAGCCCTTCTCCCGCTCATTTAGCACTGCCGACGCCGCATGGAACTTGGCCAGTTTGCGGAGGATGAGATGAGTGTGCTCCTCGTTGAGGCGACGCACTCGATCGGCCATTACGTAACCGGCAACGGAGAGATCCTCAAAGATAATGGCCATGCGCTCACGATCCACAAAGATGGCTGTGGGAAATATATTTTCGGAATCTCCAATCTCAATTAGAAGATCCTTTAGCTTGGGCAGCACCTCCTGGTAAATGGTCATCTCGCGGTTGTAAATATCGTATGGGGCCATCAGCTCCTGGGTCAGCTCATCGTCATCGATTTCTGTCTTTACGATCAGGTTTTGCAGGTGCTCCTCCTCCTTGGGAGATGAGAGCTTGAAGTTTACTCTTACTCGGGTCAGCACTCCGCCGTAATTCTCGCCGGGTCCCAGAGCCGGATTAATCTCCAGTCGGGCTATGATCAGACCCTCGTCCTGGTAGTGGGAACGCAGAGCGTGCTCGATATACTCATGGGTCAGCCACTCGGGTGCCGCTGCCATTTTGTGCAATGTATTTTTTTTAAGGGCTCCGGAGCGAATGATGAACTCAGACGTGAGTTTGCCAGCTTTTATACAACCCCCAGAAGCTGTCAAGATGAGATGCTGCTTTCGGTGTATGTGCAATTGTAATGCACTTGGAGAAAAAAACCCTAAACCATCTGACTTACGAGGTGATGCTAGGTGAGGTTAAAATACTAAAATGCGAAAAGCCACGTTGAAATTGTATGCCAAATTTAAAATTATTTCCATTGCAAATTAATAATGTTTCAATATAAATAAAAAATCCATGAAAAATTAAGAATTTTTCGCTACACATTTCTCTTCATTTTACATTTTGAACTTGAACATATTTAAACCCTTGCACGGTATTATAATTTAAGTCAAATGACTTCTGAAGGAGTCATTTCCGACCCCATAAACCATATGTATTTTTGATCAGCATCTACAGGCGAATCTTTCTAGGCATCTTGGAAAGAAACAAATTTTGGATAATTTTTTTCAAATTTTTTTAGCAGGTTTTTGCATTGTTGACATTTTAGAAAATTAACAAAAATTTAAATATTTTTAAAAACTAATTTAGGAATGCAGATTTATTAAACTATGAAAAACTAGCACAGAACAGCTTTCCGAATCGAAATTAATGCATTTTTGGCTTAGGTGTAACATTTTGAAATCTCTAAATTCGATATTACCATATAGAAAGATCGATTGAATATAGTTAATCCGATGGTTAACTGCATGGACACATTATTCGACGCCAAAGATTACTCCCTTATGCCAAGCCAAACTAGTTTAAGAGTACAAGAAAAAAGAAATCAAAGAGGATATAAATCAAAAACTATCTATGTTTATGCCTTAAATAAAATACTACAAAATATTATAAAACCCTGCACTATTTTCACATTTTTTATACCTTGACAGTGTGTTATAGTTTCAGTCGGAAGCTTGCATCGTAGTGAAAGAGGCGTTTCCGACCCTATAAACCATATATATTCTTGATCAGCATCAACAGGGGAATCTTTCTAGGCATCTTGGAAAGAAACAAATTTTTGATAATTTTTTTCAAATTTTTTTAGCAGGTTTTTGCATTGTTGACATTTTTAAAAATTGCAAAAAATTTAAATATAAAAAAAACTTAATTTAGGAATACAGATTTATTTACCTATTAAAAACTAGCACAGAACAGCTTTCCGAATGGAAAATAATACATTTTAGGCTTAGTTATGATCGATTACACATTCGAACTAAGGATCCTATCTCTATTTACAAGGGTATACCATCTTTGGTTTCGCAGCTTAGCTGATCTGTAAATGTTTTGATGTAAATATAAGGCACGTAATTCTTTTTATGTAAAGTTTTGTTAATTTCTTTCCAAAGTGTATCTAGACACTCGTTTCAGTATATTAGTATATGCATCTCTGTTCTTGTGGATTAGCTTGACGCACTCGGGTTTTATTCCCGGGCAAACATTTGATAAGGAGCCCCAGGTCTGGGCTTGTATTATTATCATCGTTTGGCAACAGGTCTCGAATGTGCGTATCGTGTGCCAAGCATGAAGCCATTGACCAACACTACAATGCTCTCAGGTCTCTTAGAAATGATATTTTCTGATTTAAGGTGCGGTTATCCATTTATAATGTCCCATAAAAAATACAGGGAAGCTTTCATTTGCCTCAAGTATTAGTCCCATTGAGAATTCAAAAGATAAACGCTCATTCTCGTATTCCGTCTTAAGTTATTCAGGCTACTATCACGCTCATTCCCATTCATCATCATAATTTTTAGCTTCGACAGCTTACGTAAATAATAATAATTTATATGGATACCTATTACTCTTAAAGGCTTAATGATCACACTTTATCTCAGAGTCACCGAATGACATTGTTCCCACAAGGTTGTTGTTTGTCCAGACTCCCTTAGTAACTGTTTCAATATTTTACCAGACTTTTAAGCCTTTATGATATATTTATATTATTTGATATTTGCTTTGCGATAGCTTACAAATTGTAAACTGTGTAATGTTTAATTCAAACTATTTTTAGGGGGAGATTTTTAAAAACTTATATATTTCCTAAATTTCAGAGCTATACACACTTACATATATATTATAGAAGGAACCATTCATTTGCCTGATGACTTTCACTAACGTAGTACTAAGCATTTATTATTAGGTGATAAGCCATTGAGAAAATATTTCAAACACTAATGTTTACCTAGACAAAGGCTATCCTAGTTTATCTCTAATGAACTGACAATGTTTGGAAGGCAAACATTTTAAATCTATTTGCGGAAAACCTAAAACTAGTCAAATAATATAAAAATAAAATACATCAGAATGCATCTTTTGAATTTTTTTTAAAATGGTTTAAGTTCTAGAATACAATTTATATTTTATTAAAATTTTATTTTAGATATTAAATAGATATTCCTTCAGAAAGTCAAGACTGCCTTTGAAGGGGCTTAGTATTTTTTAAGAACTTCGCAAAAGACCGTTTATGATTTTGAAATTGTATATTTTTCTTATATCCCTTAATTTTTTCGCCGCTTCTGACGTTAGCAGAGTTCTGACATATCACTCGGCTGAGTGATGATTTAGCCGGGAATCGCTTGGGCCCATGTGCACTGGGGCAATTAATGGAAACCAAACATTTGTACAGCCCTAGGTCCATAGCAAGTGCTGTAAAGATTAACGGGGCTTGCTCTCGACAAACTCAAACAAATCGTAATTAGGCGGTAGCCAGGGCGTGGGCGGCGGGATCCACATCCGTATCCAGACCGAGATTTCAGACTCAAGCCGACGGACCAATAAAAAGTAATCTATTTGCTCAGCGGGCCGGGGCGTACACTCGCTCGCCGTTGTAGAAACTGTGATTTTATGGCTATATATGCACATATCTAAATCACAATTTTTGACGGGACACGAATAGGAGAAACCTGTATACCTAGGCGATGGGAACACTTTCGGGGCCAGCCGAAAATTTTGCAATAAAAGCAGCCCTGCTCCGATTATTCAGAGCAATATCGTTGAGCAGTCGTCGAGTCTCAGTTGCAGCACAGCTCACTCTTACTATGTCGGTTTCGGATCTAATTGGTGCCCTCGATGCCATTCCCAAGCTCACCACAGCTCCCAGTTCTTGTAGCAGTGACCAGGAGTCAGTCTTCCTGGATGCCCCCGAGTGGCTGACGGAGGCATATCTGCAGGATGCCCTGAGGAAATACTATAACGATCGCAGAATCAGAATCAATTGGGTTAAAGTGAATCCTGCCCTCGGCAAGGGCGAGAATTATGGTGGAGTCCTAACCCGTGTAAAGGCACAGTTTACCCGGAGTGATGGTAGCTCTCAATTGGGTCATTACATAGTCAAGTCCACCTTCGAGGGCAACGACTTCGCCCAGAGCACCATGGAGCCCTATGACATCTTCAACAGGGAGATGGAAATCTACGAGCAGGTCCTGCCCAAGCTGAAAGCTCTCCTGCGGGAAATTGGTGATACGGAGCAAATCTTCGCCGAGACCATGGCTGTGGACATTGACAACTCATCGCTGATCTTCGAGGATTTGAATGCACGTGGTTTCACCATGCCTGATCGCTTGAAAGGATTGGACATGAAGATCACCCGTTTGGTGCTTCGTAAATTGGCCAAGATGCATGCCACTTCGGCGGTGCTGAATGAGCGCGAGAATCATGTCTTGGAGGGCTATGATCGCGGCTTCTTCAACAGGTACACCGATAACTATGCTCCGGCCTTTGTGGGTATGTTCCAGGCGGCGACCCGTCGGGTGGCCCAGTGGCCAGGATACGAGAAGTATGCCGCAAAGATGGAGGCCCTGGTGCCCATCTACATGGAGCTGGGAAAGCGCATCTTTGACATCTCGCCAGGTCACATTAATGTTTTGGCTCACGGCGATTTGTGGACCAATAATGTTCTGGTCAACTATGACAAAGAGACAGGAGAGCCTCTTGATGCCATCATCATTGATTTCCAGTACACAGTTTGGGGCTCGCCAGCCCTGGATCTTTTCTATTTCCTAAATACCTCCCTGGAGTTTGATCTCCACAAGAGTCATCAGGAGGAGCTGATAGCCTATTACTTCGGCGTCTTCTCAGAGACACTAAAGAAACTACAATACCGGGCTACAGTTCCCAGTTTGCATCAATTCCACCAGCAGTTGCTGAAGAAGAAGTTTTATGGTGAGTTTAGCGGTTTTGTGGAAAGTGAATCTTATGTGACTTATCTGTATAATTATATTTATTTAGCTGCTCACACCTCCATTTCGGTGTTGCCTATTCAGCGAAATGTGGAAACTGACAATGCGGATTTCAATGCCTTAATGGAGACCAACCAACGGGCCTTGAACTTTAAAGATGCCTGTTATAGAAACCCGATTTCCCAGAGGGTTCTGAGGGAGCTTCTGCCCGATTTCGAAGCTGAAGGTTTGCTGGATGCAGATCAGTGAGATCAAACATACATACACCTGTGTTTTAAAGTACATATTAGAACAATTTCGTATTGTTATAAAGAGATATATTAGACCAATAATTATTTTATATGTTAATAGGTTAGGCTACTCAAGGTCACCTGTATAATCCACTGAAAAGTATTTAACCCTGTAGTAAAATTATAATAAATTACAAGTTCATAAAGTTCATTTGTAAAATCTATGAACCATAAACTGTAAAACCTTCATTGTGGTTTGGTAACTTGAAAAATCTATAATCTATAACCAATCTAATCAGTTTTTTACAATTAGAAAAAAGTGATAAGAAACTTAAATAATAGGAAAGATAAGTGCATTAAAGTGCATTGATTATTTTGTGTTAAAAAGCTTGTTGTTAATGATAACTTCAGTACAATTGTAAGTGGTTTAAGTGTACGTAACTATAAGAAAGAAATAAAATATAAATATTGATATATTCCTTCATTTTAATTTGTATAGCAGTTGCATCAATAATTTATTTTATATAATTAAATGCAATGGAGTATAGTTTTTATTCCATTATATTTATTAGATAACTATATGCCCAGCCCCATAGCAGAATACAGATGACTTTGGCTTAAACTTGCCAATCCCTCGGTTGTATGCCCCATTATAAACTGCAAGTGTATCTAGAATAGTTATAAATTCTGAAATTATAAACCAAAATGACTGACAAGTTGGATGCAGAACAGTTTAATGATAACCAGATTGGCTTAATGCCCAGTTCCTATAGACGATTCTGAACACGTTCGATGAGGCTCCCGATCTGAAAGTCAAAGACCAAAAACGTAATTATTTGCTTGGGTTGCTATTAGTGAAATAATTTTATTAATAATTTTTTTTCATGTTTAATGTTTATAACCTTAGAGAAATAGTATTCCATTTTTAAATTAAACGACAAGCCTTTTACTGGGTTTTGTAAAGCTTTTATTGATAAGATATAGCCTCTATTTCATACTGAAACGTAAAGATACATAAAAGCTTTGCAAGCTCTTATTGAAATGTTTAAAAAGAGCAAGCCGCATTCAGTTTTTACCCATAACCAGATCGTAAGTTTGTTAGACTTGTTCAGTACAAATTGAAATCGCGAACAAAATGCCAGACAACGCAACAGATATGGAATTTAATGCCGACGAGCTGGAAGCGCCGTCTTGGCTGAATTCCCAGTTTATACAAAAAGTTCTCAGCGACTTTGAGGAGTCACCGGAATTGGTGGTCACCGATCTGAAAATCACTCCCGCAAGTGCCCAGGGAGATCACTATGCCAGCGTCATGTTCCGCACCACGGTGGATTACTCAACCTCAAAGGGAAGGTTCTCCAAGCCGCTGATCATCAAGACAATGCCGGAGCAGGAGGGCCACAAGAAGGATATGCTCGCGGAGTCGCATCTCTTCGAAACGGAAATCGGGATGTACTGTCAGGTCCTGCCGGAGTTTGAGAGAATATTGCTCGAAGCAGGAGATAAAACTAAGCTCTATGTACCCTGCCTGTATCATAGCTTGGAACCGCGTCAGGTGATGATCTTCGAGGATCTGGTGCCATTGGGCTACTCTGTCATCCGCGATCGTCCTGTCACGGAGGAAGAAATTAAGAGGGTGTTCTCTAAGCTGGCAAAGTGGCATGCGGTCAGCATGAAGGTTATTTACGAACGTCCCGACTTTCTTAAGGAGTTCAAGTACGGCCTGTTCGACATGCCCACCATTCAGACGGATCCCTTCATTACCACCGGAATGGGTAACTTCATCGAAATGCTGGACAAGTTGCCGGAGCTGAGGAAGTATAAACCGCACTTTGAGAAAATCAAGGACACGTACCTGCAGCGACTGGAGGTGGAGATGCAGGAATTCCATAAATATCGTAGAAATGACAACTACTATGTCCTGTGTCACGGCGACTTCCATTTGCGCAACATGATGTTCAAGCACAACAAAAAGACAGGCGCCTTCGAAGATGCCATGCTCGTGGACTTTCAGATTAGCAATCTGTGTCCCATTACCGTGGACTTGACCTACTCCATCTATATGCTAATGGAGTCGGAGCAGCGGCAGAATATGGGAAGGGATCTGATCAACTATTATCTTACGGAGCTGGTGGCTACACTGAAGAGCATTGGATACAAGGGTAGTATGCCAACGCAGGCGGGACTCTGGCAGCAGATTCATCAGAATAAGTATTATGGTGAGTTGAGGGAGAAGGGTTAGTTAATTATCATTAATAATTTAATTATCTTTCTTTGTAGATTTCTTTTTGATAAGTACTTTTCTCCCGCTGATTTTGGCCGTCAAATCGAACAGCTTTAAGATTAACGATATGATCCAGAACCCAGAGGCCCGACGGAAGACCTACTTTTTGGACACGTATGTGAAGGATGTGACAAAGCTATTGCCAAAGTTCGAAAAACTTGGCTATTTTAAGGGACTTTAATATAAACATATATTTAGGTTTTAACTACTGACAATTAAAGTTTTAAATAAATTCAAAAAATTATTTTTAAATACAATTGTAGATATTGTAGAAAATTGCTTTCCTACTTAGATTATTCAATATACTCAAGTTGAGAGAAAATAACAGAGACGATAACAGCGTTATGCAATGTGACTGCTCATGTAATTGTTGAAGTGTTATTATTATTTAAAATGTATATTACACAAAACACCTACCTATCTGACTATTTGGCACAACAGAGAGCTTAAGTTGAGTGAATGCTTCAGGAAAACAAGTTCCTTAGTTGCAAGATCAGCGGGTCAATTCAAAAAGCTGAGATAAAGTGCTTGTATTCACAAATTTCTATAACAAACTGTTTTGTAAATATTACTCAAAAGAGCTTCTAGGAACATGATATGGATTGAGGATTTACCAGAATGTTCTTAGACTCAAACTCACTGGGAAGGATCGTTTTCAGCTTGATAAGATAAGGAATTTCACCAACAAATTTTAATTTGAAGGAAAAAAAACAATTCAAATCTACAAAAACCCTTGCAAAAAGCTTGCTAAAAGCTTCCCATTTTTGATATAAAACGATGACACTTGTAGGTTGTTCTCACAACAAGTTTGTTCTGTGGACTGAGTAGTTCTAGCTCTCACAAGTGTTACGAAGAAATGTCTGAAAACGTAGATACAGAACAGTTTAATGCTGACGAGTTGCAGGCACCAGAGTGGTTAAATTCCGAGTTCATAACCGAAGTTCTCAGCAAATACGAAAATGTTCCCGAGTTAAAAGTAACCGATCTGCAGATATCCCCGGCAAGTGCCCAGGGAGATCACTATGCTAGCGTCATGTTCCGGGCCAAAGCGGAGTATACAACGCCGAAGGGCAAGTTCTCCAAGCCCCTGATCATCAAGACAATGCCCGAGCTGGAGGGTCACAAGAAGGATATGCTGAGTGAATCCTACGTATTCACGACGGAAATCGGAGCCTACTGCACAGCTCTGCCCGAGTTCGAGAGGATATTGCGGGAAGCAGGAGATAAAACTAAGCTCTATGTACCCTGCCTGTATCATAGCATGGAGCCGCGACAGGTGATGATCTTCGAGGATCTGGTGCCACTGGGCTACTCCGTCATACGGGGTCGTCCTGTCACGGAGGAGGAACTGAAAAAGGTCTTCGCCAAGCTGGCTAAATGGCATGCGGTCAGCATGAAGGTGCTCAATGAGGTAATGTTACTGCTTTCTTAATCTAGGCTCCTGCTTATCAGTGCAATCCATTAGCGACCTAATTTCCTGGCGGACTTTAAATACGGCATCTTTGAAATGCCGACCATCAAGACGGATCCCTTTGTGACCACCGGCATGGCTCGCTTTATAGAAATGCTGGACCAAAAACCCGAATTCAGGAAGTACAAGCCGCATTTTGAGAAGGTCAAGGATGTTTATCTGGACCGATTGGCCGATGAAATGCAGGAATATCGCAAGAATAGAAGTTCCGATGGATACTATGTCCTTTGCCACGGTGACTTTCATCTGCGCAACATGATGTTCAAGGAGAACAAGCAGACTGGTGCTCCCGAGGACGTCATGCTGGTTGACTTTCAGTTCTGCAATATCTGTCCCATTACCGTGGACTTGACCTATTCCATATATATGCTGATGGAGCCAGAACAGCGCAGGGACATGGGCAAGGAGATGATCCACCATTACTTTACTGTTTTGGTGGAAACTTTAAAGAAGATTGGCTATAAAGCAGAAATGCCAACCGAAGCTAGACTTTGGGAACAAATTCATCGCAATCGGTATTATCGTAAGTAAATAACATGAATTTTAATACCCTATAAACTAGCATTATTTACAATTTAACAGATTTCTTCATGATAAGCACTTTGCTCCCCATGATGCTGGCCCTTAAATCAAATGCCTTGAAAATGAATGATCTGATTCAGGATCCCGAAACCCGCAAGAAGTCTTACTTATTGGAGAATTATCTCAAAGATGTCGAATTGCTTTTGCCCAAATACGAGGAGCTGGGCCATTTTAAGGATCTTTGATGTGCCCTTTAAATTATTGTTGTAGCTTCTTCATGAATAGAAAATACATTTATTAAATATCTTACCAAATAATGAGCTTATGGTTTTTGGAAATATGTGTTTAAGCTGGAATACTTCATAATGTTATTAAATTTTGATGAGATTGGGTACTTTAATAACTTCTAATTAGAAATTTTTGTATGGAAAGCAAAAATAATCATTAAAGTTGTTTTAATTACGGAGCTATAATGGTTAGTTAGCTTTGTATACAATACAGTTTTCTATTGGTTTAACCTTGCTTATATATTATTATTTATATTGTCATGCTGTTTATTGGAAAACTGTAGATACTCACGAAAGCTTCTATTGTTTAAACTATTGTTCAACGTTGAACGTTAGCCGAAAGCTTTAATTTTGGTTTAATTTTCATGTGTATTTATAGAATATTTGAAATCATTACAATGATAAAAAGGTTTACAAAGAATTTTGAGTATAAGAAGACTTTTATTTTGCAAGTTTATCTAAATAAACTAATATTATCATGATGAGAAATAATTCCCGATTCATTATTTATTCTATCCAGATAGGCTTCATATGATTTACATATATCTATAAGTTACGCGATTTGAATCGAAACCAGTATAGACAGAAAAAGCTTTGCCGCAGATAAACTCTCTTTTAAATTTTGTAAATATAAGGGAATTGTCATTAATATATACCATCTTGATAGATCACTTCTTTGGCGAATTCGTATCTCAAAGATGTCCGGAAACTTATAAATGACTTATAGCCAGAGATTAGCCACTAATCTTAGCAAACAAATTCTTTGGCAGAGCATTGACAATTGTATGTTTTAATGAAATCAGGAAATGTTTCCTATCGCTGAGGACTACTTCAATCTGCAGCTAATTGTCTAGGTCTTATCAAGTATTGTTTATGATTGTATTTAATCAGAGAAAAGTTTCACCAAAGTACCAAGTTTCAAAAAGCTTTTGGCTGAACTTATAGTCATGCTTACTGAACAAACACAAACGCAATATCATGACAAGAAATTGTACTATCATAATAGTTAAAGACCAAAAACGTAACTATTTGCTTGGCTTGCTTTTGGTGAAATAAATTTTAATAAATATTAATGTTTAAAATGACATTATTACAATTATTACTTTACAGAAATAGTATTCCCTTTTTAATTAAACATAAATTAAAGGACAAGCCTTTTACTGGGTTTTGTAAAGCTTTTATTGACAAGATATAGCCTCTATTTCATACTGAATCGTAAAGTTAAAGAAAAGCTTTAAAAGCTCATGTTGAAATGTTTAAAAAGAGCAAGCCGCATTCAGTTTTTACCCATAACCAGATCGTAAGATTGTTAGACTTGTTTAGTACAAATTGAAATCGCGAACAAAATGCCAGACAACGCAACAGATATGGAATTTAATGTCGACGAGCTGGAGGCTCCGTCTTGGCTGAATTCCCAGTTCATACAAAAAGTTCTCAGCGACTTTGAGGAGTCACCGGAATTGATGGTCACCGATCTGAAAATTACTCCCGCAAGTGCCCAGGGAGATCACTATGCCAGCGTCATGTTCCGCACCACAGTGGATTACTCTACCTCGAAGGGAAGGTTCTCCAAGCCGCTGATTATCAAGACAATGCCGGAGCAGGAGGGCCACAAGAAGGATATGCTCTCGGAGTCACATCTATTCTCAACAGAGATCGGCATGTACACCAAAGTCCTGCCAGAGTTCGAGAGAATACTGCAAAAGGCGGGAGATAATACCAAACTCTATGTACCCTGCCTCTATCACAGCTTAGAGCCTCGTCAGGTGTTGATTTTCGAGGATCTGGTGCCTCAGGGATACGCCGTGATCCGGGGTCGTCCTGTCACGGAGGAGGAGCTGAGATTTGTCTACACCAAGCTGGCCAAATTGCATGCGGTCAGCATGAAGGTTATGAATGAGGTGGGTTGTAGCTCATCACATTACAAGTACATAAAAATAACATTTAATTTTCATTTTAGCAACCCGACTTCTTAAAGGAGTTTCAGTATGGCTTAATTGAGATGCCCACCCTCATGCAGGATCCCATGGTCACAACAGGAATGGCTAACTTCCTGAATTTCCTGGACAAGACACCGGAATTCAACAAATACAAGCCGTACTTCGAGAAGCTTAAGGATAATTGCATAGATAAAATGGCTGATGTGTTGACAGAGTACAGGAAGAACTTCCAACCAGATGGATACTACGTGTTATGTCATGGGGACTTCCATCTCAGGAACATGATGTTCCGGCACAATAAGGACACTTCGGCCTACGAGGACGTTATGCTGGTGGACTTCCAGATCAGCAACCTATCTCCCATTACCGTGGACCTGATCTACTCTATCTATATGCTGATGGAGCCGGAGCAGCGATGGGATCTGGGCAAAAATCTAATCAATCACTACTTCTCCGTTTTGGAGGAAACCCTTAAGAAGGTGGGCTACAAGGCAAAGATGCCCACGCAGGCTGGTCTCTGGGAGCAAATGCGACGCCACAAGTACTACGGTAGGTTTATATTTTATTTATAATGTAATATATCATTAATTTATAATAAATTAATTGCAGACTTCGCTCTCATGGCCACCTTTCTGCCCATGATTCTGGCTATCAAGCAGAGTACTGCGAAAATGCATGACATTATTCAGGATAACGAAACCAGAAAGAAAGCCTACTTCTCTGAATTCTACTTGGAAGATTTAAAGCATCTTCTACCGAAATACGAGGAAATGGGTTTCTTCAAAGACCTGTAAATATGTGTAAGTCCATAAATGACACACATTTGACTTATGTCAGATGCGGTAAAAACAGGTTTCTGGCTGAGCCGATGTTAGCTAATTGTTTTTGTACGCGCGCCATAAAGCTCTTCATAGTTATCTTATCTTAACTATAAGTATGCAGTATATAGATTGATATTTCATAATAAGCAACGTAATTGATAGGATAAGTTGTTTTATAAATAAGTCTTTAGAGTTGTTCATAAAACAAATTAACAATGTTTGCGTATTTATTTGTGTGTCTGAAATACTCATGGAATAACACAGCTTACTTTTAAGTGGAAGACCGCAATACTTTCTATAGAATGTATAATGTTCTCTATGTCTTAAAAATCCAGGAATCCCGATAGTTCAAACTCCTTGATGGTTTTCTGCAAGAAGGCTCTGTACTTGGGATTCTCTACATTTTCACGGCGGAATTGATCACCGCTCTCCGTGCGCGAATTCAGATCCTCCAGGTTCTCGAAACCAGCGCCCTCACGGAAGATCAGGGGGGTCAGACAAGTGGCTCCAATGACACCTATAAAAATATTTAAATATTTAATAATTAATTTCTTGTAAAGTTAGGGAAAAGCATACCCATTAAACTGGTGTTAATAAGCTCGATGTGGATCTCCTTCAGGCTGGGAATGTGTCCCTGATAGTTGAGCTTCTGAAGGGTTTCCTGGAGTACCCGTTGATACTCCCTGACAATGAATTTAAAGTGAACCTTGCGAACGTTCTCATTTAGGGAGCCATAAAGAAAGTAGTTGAGATCGATAGCTGGAGATCCCACATAGGACAGCTGGTAGTCCAACTGAAAGGGATAATTAAATTATTATAAGATTCTTAATAGAATAATTTATATCCCTCCTTACCGCAATGACATCATCTGGCTCCTTGGTCTCATTGTTCACGTGGAACATTAGGTTATTAATCCACAAGTCCGTGAGGTTAAACACCCGGAACTCCTTGCCCGTGGCCTCGAACATGGCCAGTGCATTCTGCAACACATTCTCCGCCAGCTTAAACATCTTCTCGGTGATCTCCTCGTAGCCCTTCCAGTGGGCCACCTCCTCGGCCACACAGCGAATGTTCACGGGGAAGAAGGTGAGGAAGTCGCGCCTGTCTGGATTGCGGGAAATGGGGGCCTCGTCGAAGAACTCCAGCACCTGAGGACTCTCCTGGGCAATCAGGGCGCTGCAGGCATGCAGCTTGGCTACCTTTTCGATGGTGGGCAGGACATAATCCAGATTGAGCAGGCGACCCTTCTCAAAGTTCTCAAAGCCGGATAGTTGGAGGTCTTCGAGGATGAGGAAGGGTTCCGGTGATTCCGTGGTATAGTAACATATGGGTGCAATCTTGGTTTGATCTCCGATGGATCGGAGGAGGGCCTGCACTCGCGGCAATACCTCCTTATAGGCCAGAATCTCGCGCTTGAAGAGCTTGCTGCGCTGGGCCACTGCTCCAGTCTGTCCCTTGGGATGATCCTTAATAATCACCGAGAATTTGCTCTTGGGTGACGAGCCTCTTTGCAGATTAAAGCTGGCCCGATGCATCTCGCTGGCAAATCCCGCCGCCTGGTCGCCCACTTGGGCGCTCTTCACCAGCAGCTCGCTGACCACCAGCTGCTCCTCCTTGAAGTGCTCCTTGAGCACATCCTGCAGGAACTCGGCGGTGAGCCACTCCGGTGCCTGGTAGTTCTTCTTGCCGGTTCCCATTTGTGTAATTTGTGTAAATATTCCAAATTATTAATTTTTTTTCTTCCAAGTCACCTGACTGGGAGTAACTGAGCAACTGGCTGGCGGCTCTGGCAATCGAATTAAGAGTGTGGAACAGCCGGCGGGCCATGTGACGCCTGGGAGCCAGATAAAGCTTTAGCGGGAAAGCTCTCTCTGTTGTCAGTTTTACGCTGGCTTATCAGCTGGCACAGTGTACTAATATAGAAATATAAATAAATACATATAGAGCAGGGGCGGTGCCTAAGGGGTACCACTTATGACTGTAGTTCAAAGAATAAAAATATGAATAAAAATAAGAAGTTATCAAACTTATCAAAATATTGTCAAATAAATTCTTAAACACCTTTATAACTTATTATCATTATTAGTTATAGTACAAATGGTAAATGAAAATTTGAAATTCTATCGATTTCCATAAGCACTCAAAAAAATCTGTTACAGATACGCCCCTGGCTCAGTGAAAATGTGTTAAACAAATATGGGAACAATAAAAAGCATATGGCATTGGAATCTATTTAGGGTTTAATGTGGAACGCATTTTGTGGATTTTGTGTGCCCGATAGCAATAAGAGTATATGGTTATAACTATATTTCATTTTCCAATTCACAGAATAAAATATTACTAAATATTATTTAGATTTCTATGATATAAGATTTATATAATTAATTTAAATAGTTATAGAATTACTTGCAGTGAGCTCCTTTATATTATTTATACATCTTTTTCCTTTTCAGTTTGTTTTGTTATTTGATTTATCACTGTATTCAGTGGTGATAAACAAAACGTGATCTAAATCGAGGCACCTGTATTGATAAGCCAATAGATTGCTTGAGTTGACAACTGTCTCCTATGTTTGATTAAATTATTATCACCAAAATGGAAAAGTCAGGAGAGATCAGGGGAGAGCGAGAGCTTCAATAAAGTATTGGTAGAAAAAGCACAGATTTTGAATATTTATACCATGATTAATAATTAAATATTATGATTTTATGTAGTTTTATACCTGTTTTTCCGACATTTCTAGTGAGCTGCTATAGCTCTACCATTCTATGAACAAATTCTAAGAGACATAGCTGCAGATATGATAAGGATATTTCCAACTAAAAATAAAACACACTTCTTTTCTTTGGCTTATTTTCTTTAAGAAATATTAACAGACTTTGTTGCTAGCTAAACAAAAGATTATTCTTCAAGATAGTCAAAGTTGCCGCATATGTGTTCCTTTAGAGATATAGATACAGTAAGAGTAGATATGTACACAAATGAAAGCGACATTGTTCCAGTTTTCACTTTCACAGAATTTAACAATAATTCGCATAAATATTGCATTAAATAAGACGTAGTTTGTAAAATCAATAAAAACTCCTGTGAATTAGAAGTCGAGTATCTTTAAAAGTCCAGAATGCCACGTCTGTAGAGGAAGGGGAATATACTGAGCACAGCCCTGACGTAGAGGGGATTCGTGTAGAGCTTAGACCGGAAGCGATCTCCTTCCTCCCCAGGCTGCGTGAGCTTCATCAGACTGGCTTCCGTGTCCACGGGCAAAAGGATGAACACCAAATGGGTAAACGTGGTAAAGTAACCTGGGGGTTAACACTATTATTACTACTATTCAAAAAATAAGTTAAACTCACCCCAAAATCCGTATTTAATCATTTTCATATGTAGCTCCCTGAGCATGGGCATCCTTTCGCCGTAATTAAGGATCTTCAGGCATCGCACCAGGTGACTATGGTATATCCTTATGAAGCAATCAAAGTGCTGGATCCTTATACTGTGTTTGGCCGAGCCAATGATCAGCTCCCACAGATCCTGGGCGGGACTGCCCCACTTGCAGAGCTGGAAGTCCACAAAGCGCAGCTGGTTGATCTCCCCGGACTGGGTATAGCTTAGCATTATGTTACTTGACCAGAAATCTCCATGATTCAGGACCTTGAACTCCTGCGGATTATTGTTGAAGCAGCGGGCATAGGATTGCACAAACTGATCAGCCGTGGGCTAGGAGTTAAAGATCAGGATATTATTATTACTTATTCAAAACATATTATATCAAGGACTCACGATGCGATTCACATACTGCTCGTGATCGGCGAGACCCCAGCTGGCCATGGCCGCCTTGTAGCTCTGGACTCGTGCCTGATACGACTTGGATTTATTGTAGTTGGCGGGCAGGTAAGTACGCTGAAAGTCCTCGGGAAAGGGTCCATTACGTTGGCGCCACACGGCACTGGCCGCATGGAACTCGGCCAGCTTCTCCAGGACACGATGCATCTGGGCCATGTCGAAACCCTTGAGGCGGCTGATATTCCCGTACTTCTTGGTCCTCAAATCTTCCTGCACCAGACAGATCCTTCCATTGAGCTCCTCCGCCCAGTGGCACTTGGGCGCAAATTTCACCATGAGTCCTGCCTCCTCATAGAGCTGCTCCAGCTGCGGAATTATTGTCTCGTACATCATCTTCTCCTTGGGAAAGATATTCAAAGTGTTGACAAAGCCACCATTTCCCCTAACATCGTCCAGCATGGTCTTTACTATGTAAGACTTTTGTTGCGAGAAGCCATCTGTCGGGGGAATGGAGATATAACTTAAAATATAATATGTAAATATTTAACAAAGAAAAACTCTCTCGTCTCCCTCGACTTTGGGTATTTTGGTGTATTTTGGTTGCGGTTACCTTTCATCTCTATATCGATGACGATACGCATTAGGAGCGAGGTATAGGTCTCCCCAGGAGGAGTGGCTGGTATGATTGAGAGGTTGAGGATGCGTCGAAACTCCCTGAATTCCCGCTTCAGAAGCCGCTTGAAGTAGGCCTCGTTGATCCAGCTGGGAATGCGAACATCATTGCTGGCGCAGAACTTGTTGCTGTTATCGGGCATTCTGGCTGGAACTGGGACTCTGACTGGCACTGGCACTGGGGACTGGGATTCCGCCGGAGTGAGCTCACTGCGGCACTGCCTTCTCGCGTAGCTCTCGGTCCGAGGTGTGCGCCGCGACTGTTTTTATTTTTTCCTTATCGAGAATGTTTTTCTTGTTGGAAGCGAGGCGAGGCGGTGTTATTTTTATTTTACAGCACGCACAACGAGACGTAATGCCGAGGTGGGTGAGGTGCGCACTTAGTTATCTGCCAGTCTGCCAATCGCCCGTCCAACTGGTTCCCCAACTGTCCGGACACTGAGCATCGTCGTCGTCGCATTTTTGTGCTGGCCCAAAGACTCTCTCGCCGACTGACAAGTGGGCAGAGCTTTGCGCTTCTATATATGTTTATAGGATGGTTTTTTTTGGGGCTGGTCAAGCAGTGCAGCAGGCGCCGGTCTTATCAGCGGTCTGTGATGGGAATGCCTGATAAGCCGGACAAGGGGAATGCTCACTCTGAAGCACCTCAGTACCGGAGCACTCAGCAGGGGGAGTGAAAAGCTCTCTGATATTCTTTATTTTGTTTACTAGAAAGTCTATCAGAGTCAAATTGCTAAAAATATATTCGCTATAGCATTTTCTGTTATTAATTTTGATAAAGATAAAATTGATTTATATTCAAAAATTGTGTTAAATGACGGGGTGTCAAATTCTTTAAATTCTGAAATTTATATGTGTTTTATCTGTTATCTGTTGTATTAGTTTGTTGATAAAGATAAGCAGGTACGTGACAAAAAGACATAGTGCAACCTAACTACATTGGGGATCTGATTATAGTTATCTTGACTGTTATCATAATATTATAATGAATATACACCATCTAGGTCATTTCAGATCGTTCTCTAGAACCTCTAACTCAAAGACCAGCTCAAAAAACTATTCCAAGGCCTTCCGCTTTCAATTGCAGTGCGACATTCGCCGTGGAGAACTCGAAAAAACCAGAATCAATATTCGCACACAATTTATTTAATCGCCTCGAGTGCGAGCTGCACTTGGAGATGAATGAACTGGCGACGATAGCCATTGCTTGCTAGACATCGTAGTCTTCGAAGTTGAAGAGGCCGCGGTTGCAGTAGAAGGGATAGAGCTCCCTGATGACCTCCACGTATGCGGGATTGGTGTACATCCGGGTACGGAGACTACGACCCACCTCGTCATTGGACATGATGGTATGCAGGTTGCTCTCCCTGCTGGTGGGCAGTAAGTGGGAGGTTAGGTGATTCATCACGCAAAAGAAGGCTGCCGGGATTTGAAAGGGATTTTAATTAAATTAAAAGTTAAATTAAATTAATATAGAACTCACCATAAAGCGTGTTATTCTTCTTGTACAGAGAGGACTGCAGATCCCTCAGTTGTGGATACGGCTGCTCATACTTAAGTATATCCAAGCACTCGATAAGATATTGCCAGTATATCCTCACAATGTTGTCAAACTCCTTGATGCGCAATCCCTTCTCTGCTGAGATGGTACTCATCATCAGCAGATCCTGGGCAGGACTTCCCCATTTGCAGATCTGAAAGTCCAGAAGACAGGCTTCCTGTAGATCACCTCTTTCGCCGTATTTGTAAAGGATATTTGAGGCTGAAAAGTCACCATGTGTCAGGACATTAAAGTCCTTGGGATCAACGTTAAGAGATTCTAAACAAAGTTGGGCATACTGCTCGGCAGTTGGCTGAAAGAGAAACGAATTACAACGAGTCCCAAGGTTTTTAAGAATACGGAAGACATACGAAATTCTTGAGATATCTCTCATCCATGCCCCAAGTCCTCATTGCTGCCTTGAAATCTGGAGCCTTGACACTGAAGCCTCGCATGCTGTGCTTAATGTTGTCCTTCTTGGCAAATCCATGCTCAAAGTCCACGGAATATGGGCCGTTACGATCCTTGTAGACCACACTGGCGGCATGGAGTTCAGCCAGTTTCCTAAGGGACAGTCGCATGTGCTCCATATCAATGCCTTTCGTACGATCCACACCCTGGTAGCCCTGCGTTGACAGATCCTCGAAGATAAAGTAGAGATTGCCTTCCTCCTCTCCGATTTCCAGGCACTTTGGATTCAGCTGGACGGGATGACCGGCCTCCCGATAGAGTTCCTCGAACTTGGGCAAATAAGTTGAGTACATCTGCTGTTCCTTGTGGAAATACCGGAACTCATTCATTCCCTTGCCGCCCTTGTCAAAATCCAAAGCGGTCTTCAACACATATGATTTTCTTTTATGAGTTCCATCTGGTGAAATATACCTTTTTTAATTTTTCTACTTTTTGAACTAGTTGCTCTTGATTACCCTTCATTTCCAGATCCAAGTAAACTCTCAGCATGACAGAGGTGAAATTACCACCTGGGGGAACGGCAGCCACTGGAGTAAACTTGAGAATCCTGGCATACTCGGGCTCATCCTTAGCCAGTAAAGGCTTTAATTTAGACTCGTTTAACCATTTCGGAACAACAAGGCTCTCATTGGGATTCTCGATCTTCTCGGCACGCGACATTATATTAAACTGAGCACAAACTCAGTGAACAAGTTGACTTTGTGGTAAAGAGAGATAACATATCCAGAGATTTTTATATGCCGAATTCCACAGTCAGCATAAGAGTATTACTTATGTGTAGTAAATAGGAGTAACCACTTAGCCAAGTATCTTTAAAGATTTATAATATCAGGATTATGCTATTAGTTTATTTTATTTAATTAGTTGCATAAGCTTATTTTATTCTTTTCTTACGCCTATTTCAAGTCTCTACATTTGGTAAGAATTACCCCTATAAAGGTAATATAACCTTCTCAAGTTTAATCAACTTGTCTCGAAACGTAAATTCGTGATGATTTCGTAAACAGTTTTTACAAGTTGTTGCTAGGTATCATACAAATAAATATCACACTTCATAGTCTTCATAGTTCAAAATTCCGCGATTGTAAATGAAGGGATAGAGATCCTTCATGACACTTCCTACTGCAGGGTTGCTGACCATTCTTAGTCGAATGTTTTCCCCCTCCTCGGTTTCCGCGGTCACGTTGTGCAGACTACTGTCCTTGTCGGTGGGAAACAGAATTATGAGCAGATGATTCATGAGGCTGAAGAAAGCTGCGGGAATTCATATTAATTAGTGAATATTTAACAATATATTAGTTGATAACTTACCGAAGAATGAATGGTTCTTCTTGTACATCGATCTGTGAATATCCCTGAGCTGGGGCAAAGGTTTTTTGAACTTCAACACTTTGAGGCATTCGATCAGGCGATCCCAATAGATCCTGACAAAGTTGTCGAACTCCTTTATGCGTAAGTCATTAGTGGGCGACAGGATGAGGAAGAAGAGCAGGTCCAGAGCGGGACTGCCCCACGTGGTGAGTTGGAAGTCGATGAGAATGAGCTTGTCCAGGCTGCCATCAGGGAGATATCTGCTCATCATGTTGCTCGACCAGAAGTCGCCATGGTTGAGAACATTGAATTCACTGGGATCCAAGTCTAAGGTGCTTAAGCACTGAGCCCAATATTGTTCTTGTGTCGGCTGAGGATAATAATTATATAGAATAATCCCTATGAGAATTGATTTGTTTGCAGAAGTGTTCACGAGTTAAACTTACAAATGCTTTGACATATTTCTCGGCGTCCTTCATACCCCATGTAAGCATGGCTTTCTTGAAGGACGTCGCCTTAAGACGGAATAAATCTATGTGGAATCTCTTAACTTCTGGCTTACGCGTGACGAAACCCTCAAAGAAATCCTTGGGATAAGGACCATGCTGTTCCTCATACACTGCACTGGCAGCATGATACTCGGCCAGTTTGTGCAGCGACTTCGTCATGTGCTTCATGTCCATGCCTTTGGTCCGGTCCATGTTTTGGAATCTTTTCACGCACAGATCCTCAAAGATGAAGTGGATGTCCCCATCACGCTCCTCGGTGTGGAGGCATTTCGGCGCCAACTGTATATTCCATCCGATATCCTTGTAAAGTGCTTCAAAGGCTGGAAGATATGTCTCGTACATCTTGGCCTCTTTGGGGAAAAGCCCGAAATCGTTGATGTCACTGCCTCCACGCTCTTGCGGAAGCATTGTCTTAAAGACGTACGTTTTGGTTTTGACAGAGCCATCTGGAGAAGGTTATGTTAAAATCAGTTTACAGATTAGCTTTAATATAAAGAAATAAAGAAAACATTTGCTTTCGTTTGGCTTTATTAATTTCCAAATAGTTTGAAGTAGTTATGTATTCATGAATCGAAAAACCACATTCTTTTCCGTTCTTAAGCAATAGTTATGCAACCAATTTAGATTGGCTTATCTTCATCTCACCCTTCATTTCCAATTTGATGTAGATCCTAAGCATGGTCGAGGTGAAGTTTTCGCCTGGTGCAATCGCAGCCACTGGTGTGAATTTAAGGACCTTTACATGATCCGGTTCGTCCTGGGCCAGCACCTTCTCGAAGTACTTCTCATTTATCCAATCGGGAATGATCAAATTCTCGTTGGGATTCACAATCTTGTCATCCATATTTTCTTTTTAGTATTTTCTTCGAACAGAACCTCTCACTTCACCTGTTAGTCCACAACTAAATTGTTTACAAGTGTTCACTCAGGTTTTATAGGGCCCTTCGGTGTTTGTTATCAAAAGCGAATTTCATTATGGGATGAAAATATTTTAAAGTGGTTCAGCTTGTCTCTTATGTTATTAGCAATGAAATTATGCCAATCATGCTTAAACTATAATACTTGTATATAATTTAAATGAATTTTTATAATATGTAGGTTTGGGTTTTAATAAATTCCAGTTTTTAATTTTCGAATGCCTTACAAACTTTATCTAACAAAAAATTATAGAAACGGTGATAATGAAGTCCTAGAGTTTAATTGCGGAAGAAAATGTATTTGATATTTATCTTAATAATTAAAACCCATGACTTGTCCAGATAACACTTAAAATCACTTGAGTCACTTCTGTTTGACACTAAATAATAAACTTCATTGCGTGATACTTGTCTACGATTTATTGCCAGTTATAAACTTAATAATTATAACACATCGTAATCTTCATAGTTTAGAATACCCTTATTGTAGAGGAAGGGATACAGGTCTTTCATTACGCTACCAAAGGCGGGATTGGAAAGCATCCGCAGTCGAAGGCTTTCGCCTTCCTCTGTTTCCGCAGATAAGTTGTGCAAGTTGCTGTCCTTGTCAGTGGGAAACAGGATAATGGGCAGATGATTCATGAGACCGAAGAAAGCTGCAGGAGAATATTTGTTTAAAAGATATATAAATATATTTTGAAAACCAGAATATACCGTAGAATGAGTGGGTCTTCTTGTACATGGAACTCTGTAAATCTCTGAGCTGGGGCAAAGGCTTCTTGAACTTCAGCACTTTAAGGCATTCGACTAGGCGGTCCCAGTAGATCCTGACAAAGTTGTCGAACTCCTTTAGGCGTATGTCCGTGGCAGCCGACAGGATGATGAAGAAGAGCAGATCCTTAGCCGGACTGCCCCACATAGTTATCTGGAAGTCGATAAGAATGAGTTCGTCCAGGCTGCCATCGGGAAGATAGCTGCTCATCAGGTTGCTCGACCAGAAGTCTCCATGATTGAGGACATTGAACTCATTAAGGTCCAAGTCCAGGGTACTCAGACATTGGGCCCAATACTGTTCCGTGGTTGGCTATAACAAATAAGGACACCGGCTTAGTTGCGTATGGAGTTCAAGGTCTTAAATCTTTAGTGCTTACAAAGGTTTTCACGTATTTATCAGCATCCTCCATGCCCCAGGTAAGCATGGCTTTCTTAAAAGACTTCTCCTTGAGATTAAATCCATCTACGTGAAACTTTTTAACATCACGGGTGACAAATCCTTCCAGAAATTCCTTGGGATAGGGGCCATTCTGCTCCTCGTACACCGAACTGGCTGCATGATACTCAGCTAATTTCTGAAGTGCCCTCGTCATGTGCTCCATGTCCAGGCCCTTTGTACGATCCACATTCTTGAACTGCTTTACTTTCAGATCCTCAAAGATGAAGTAGATGTCTCCGTCTCGCTCCTCGGTGTGGAGACATTTCGGCGCTAATTGTATATTCCATCCGGCATCCTTGTAAAGTGCTTCGAAGGCTGGAAGATATGTCTCGTACATCTTGGCCTCTTTGGGGAAAAGACCGAAATCGTTGATGTCATTGCCTCCACGCTCTTCCGGGAGCATTGTCTTAAAGATGTACGTTTTGGTTTTGACAGAGCCATCTGGGAATGGTTAAATAAGGATTAGTAAGATATAAATTTGCTTTTAATTGGTTCTGTATGGAATTCAATACATTTAGTTTAAATTAGTTATGTCAAATACTGATATATTTTATAGTTACTCGAATTCATTTATTTTTATAACTAATAATCGCAATCTTTCCCCTTCTTTATCAATAATTGTGCAACAAATTCACATATGCTTATCTTTAACTCACCCTTCATTTCCAATTTGAAGTAGATCCTGAGCATGGTCGAGGTGAAGTTCTCACCCGGAGGAATCGCAGCCACTGGTGTGAACTTAAGGACCTTCACATGATCCGGTTCGTCTTGGACCAAAACCTTCTCGAAATACTTCTCGTTGATCCAATCGGGAATGATCAGATTCTCGTTGGGATTCACAATCTCATCAGTCATAGTTTCGTTTTGGCCACAACCTCTCCCGGCACCTGTTAGTCCAGAACTGACTTTATTTTTACAAATGTTCGGGGGAGCTTTTGCTTTTATTGGGGTTTCTTATCATCACCGATTTCCCTCTGTTTGTCTATATAATTATCGTTATAATAGCTCAATCTTATCAAGCTTGCCAATTATTATAAAGTTCTTATATCATCACGAGTCTGCATTAAGGATGTCATTTGTTTCTAAATAAAAATTTCGTTTGTTTTACATTTACTTACTTACTGGTTTTTCGAAAGAGTATTCATTGACTAGAAACACAATATGTGTATGACCTTGACAATCAATAATCAGCAATTGACAGAAGGCTTGGCGTTACCCCACGCGCCTTTTCAATGCTGATTAATCAGTATTTGTTTGCGATACACTATAAACTGTAGCAAGTGTATCAATTTTGATATGAATAACAATCGTTTTATTTGTGTAATCTCACAAGAAATATTTCAATTATAATCTGAACTTGGTTGCTTCAGAAGAGAGCGTGCTTAGAAAAATGAATACTATATATAATTAATTCGAAACACGCATGCGAATAATATATATAGTGCTCGTTAGAGAACTTTTCGCACATTCATGAACACTACGACGATCGTTAATGATAGTAATTATTTTCCGGGGCATTTGTTTAGTTTGTTTTCATATCTCAAAACACAAGTCATGGTGATGGTTTGGACTTGACTTGGCTGATGACGTCAGCCAAAAGTGTGATTAGTTTGTTGAGGGAGATGAATCACTGAAAAGGGTTCATTAGAGAGCGATTAAGAAATTCCTAAGTTTGCTTTTTTTTAGTTGTTGGAATTGTTTATTAATACAAGGTTTTTATACATTCCAAAATTGAGTTTTATTTCTTTATATCAGAGATTCATAAGTTATTTGTAGTCATTAAAGTTAAAGATTCCGCGATTGTAGAAAAAGGGATATATTTCCCTCATAAGATTGCAAAACGAAGGATTTGTAAACAGACGCAGGCGAAACTTGTCACCTTCTTCATCGTCCCTCATAAGGGAATGCAAGTTGGATTCCTTGTCCGAGGGGAATTGGATTACAGGCAAGTGATTGAAGATTGCAATGAAGGCTAAAAAGGTATAAGATAATATATATTCCAAGAAATTCTTATAGAAGTTTAATCTTACCGTAGATAGTGTTGTTCTCCTGATACAAGGACGTCTGAATGTCTCGCAATTTGGGAAGGGGCTGCTGGTATTTCAAGAGCTTCAGGCACTCTACCAGTCGCTCCCAATAAATCCTTACAAAATTGTCAAACTTCTTTAGCTTTATATCCCTAGCCGCCGAGAGGGTGATGAAGAAAAGTAGATCCTGGGCAGGACTGCCCCATTTGCATAGCTGAAAGTCCACCATGATAACCTCATCAATATTGCCATTGGCCAGATAGTTGCACATAAGATTACTGGACCAAAAGTCGCCATGGGTAAGCGTGTTAAAGGCCTTGGTATCTGCAGTCAAATTGCTTTCACACATTTTTACATACTGCTGTGCCGTGGGCTAAGGAAATACTCAATCCTTGATAATAGATAGACCAAAATATTTATAAGGCTTACTCACAAAACTCTTGATGTACTTTTCCTGGTCCTCTAAGCCCCATCCCGCCATGGCCTTGTGATAAGACCTGGCCTTAACATGAAATCCCTGCTCATGAAGCTCAACTTTGTCTTTCGCAATGAATCCTTCCTCGAAATGATCGGGATAGGATCCATTTTTCTCAGCATAAACTGCAGCTGCCGCATGGAATTCAGCCAGTTTTTGTAGAGATCTCTTCATGTGGATGAGGTCCAGACCCTGAATGCGATCAACATTTTGGAAATGCTTCACTCCCAGGTCCTCGAACACAAAGTGAATGCCGTTCTCGCGCTGATCTGTATGCAGACACTTGGGCGCCAGCTGAATCTGTTCTCCAGCTGCACGGTAAAGCTCCTCGAAGGCGGGAAGGTAGGTCTGGTACATCATCAGCTCCTTATCAAAGATGCCACCCTCACGGATCTCCTTGCCGCCGCGCTCCTCAGCGAGCATGGTTTTGAATATATACGTCTTGTGCTTGGTAGTGCCATCTGCAAAGATAGTAAAATCATTAAAATAACAAGAGGTATTATATATCATTTCACTTTATCTTCCAGACTTCGCTCTTCTTACCCTTCATTTGAAGATCAAAGTGAATTCGCAGCATAATCGAGGTGAAGTTCTCGCCCGGCGGAATCGCAGCCACCGGGTTGAAGCTTAGTATCTTCTCATAATTTGGCTCATCTTTCTGCAGAACCTGCTCAAAGTATATCCCATTTATCCACTTGGGTATCTCCAAGTGTTCATTAGGATTAATGATATTATCCTTGCTGTTGGCCATGTTGCTATCTTTGTGATGTTGACGCTCCAGAGTTTCTCTTTCGACTGAGTCAGTGACGTTCGTTACACGGTTAAAATATGGATAAAAGTAGTTTAGAGTTAAGAGAGAGCTTTTTTCCCTAATATAATAGTTTGTTGTCAGGTTGACTCAGCGGTTTATGGTTCAAATTAATTTGTAAAGCTTTCAAGCTGAAACTACAATCAAATCAAACGAGAGAGCCGAGGCGTTATTAGTACTTATCAAACCTTTTTTGGTCAGGTGTTGCATGCAGAGCCCTCGAAAAAATAAACTGATAATAATTTCAACAAATTTAATGCTTATTACACAGAAAGCTCCAATAAAAATGTTTAAATAGAGGAATCTATTCCATATATAATTTAGTTTACCTCCAAAGCAATTGCGTGAATATGGCCGAGGAAAGTTTCAACGCCGACGAATTGAATCCGCCAGAATGGCTGAACCGTCATTTTGTTACCGAAGTACTGAGTGGCCATGAAAAGGCACCTGAACTCAAAATAACTGACCTGACCTTCGCTCCGGCCAGTCCCAAGGGCGATCACTATGCCAGCATTATGTTCCGGGCCAACGTGAAGTACACCACCCAGAAGGGTGAGTTCACCAAGTCGCTGATCATCAAAACAATGCCCGAGGCGGAGGGTCTAAAGAAGGACATGTTGGTCGATTCTCCACTGTTCATAACCGAGATTGGCATGTACACCAGGGTCCTGCCGGAGTGCGAGCGGATCCTTCGCGAGGTGAATGACGATGCCAGGCTGTATGTGGACTGCATCTACCACAGTCTCAGCCCGAAACAGGTGGTCATCTTTGATGATCTCGTGGAGATGGGTTACGCTGTGGTGCGAAGTCGTTTTCTTACGCAGGAGGAGATTTGTAGTGCCTACGGCAAGCTGGCCAAAATTCAAGCAATTAGCATGAAAATGATTAACGAGGTGAGAGATTTTTTTTATTTTCTTAGTACATTTTCTAATTGATATATATATATATTCTCTTAATTCAGCGTCCCGATTATCTGAAGGACTTTAAGAACGGCATGTGTGATATGCCCGGCCTAATGGACAGTCCCATTATAAACGCCGGCATGACTCCTTTTATTGAATTTTTGGCACGCAATCCGGAACTAAACAAATACCAGGCATACTTTGAGAAGATAAAACTCCATTTCAAGGATCAAGTGCGGGAAACCATGCAGGAGTATCGTAAGAATCCCCGGAAAGACGGATACTACGTGCTCTGCCATGGGGATTACCACAGCCGGAATATGATGTTCAAGCACAACAAGGAAACTGGAGGCTTCGAGGATTGCATGTTGCTGGACTACCAGGGCTGCAATGTGACTTCCATGGCCGTGGATCTCATATATTCCATCTACATGCTGATGGGGCCAGAGCAACGAGCTGAGGAACTTGAAAACCTCCTCAAGTACTACTTCACGGTTCTTCTGGAGACTCTGGGAAAGATTGGCTATCAGGGAAAAATGCCCACTCTCTCAGGGTTCTGGGCTGAAATAAAGAGGTTCAGATATTATGGTTAGTAGGGAAGTCCTTATATTATTATAATTGAATAACCCTGAACAATTTGCTTTTAGAGTTCCTTATGGTCAGCACATTCCTTCCAATTTCTGTGGGTCTCAGAAAGCATAATTTGGACATTGAGGAAATGCTTTACAACGATGAAACCAGAAGGAAATGTTATAATTTAAAAGGATATCTCGAAGATGCCAAAAATATGTTGGAGAGATTCGAACGATCGGGCTACTTTGAGGATCTATGAGAAATGTATTAATTTATTTGAAGCTTGTGAAGGAATTATTTCTGGCTCAATAAATCATATATATTCTAAGGTTGCATCTTTAAAATTATCAAAAATTTACAAAAAATTGTAATTTTTTAAATTTTAAATTATTTAAGGAGATTTTAACCTTAACATAGGAAAGTTTTCGGGATTGAAATTAATTCTTTTTTGACTGAGGTAAATATCGGCACAAAGAATGGTATTATAATTTCAGTCTGTGAGGTTGTGGACAAACCATTTGCGACCCTGTGAAGCATATATTGATCAGCATAGTTTCAATTTTGAAAAATTTTAAAAAAGTTTTATGTTTTTAAATTTTAAATTGGGTTTGCAGATTTATTGACCTTATAAAAACTAGTAAAAGAAAGCTCTCCGAAATGAAAGTAATGCATTTTTGACTTAGTTATAAGTGTTTAAAGCTTTGATTTATAGAAACAAATGTCATATAAAAATTACAATAACTAGAAAGGAAGCTAACTTTGGCCGAGGTTTGTATACCCTTGCAGATTGAAATTCGATCACTAAGAATTAATAAAATATAAATTATATATGTTTTCTCTATTTTTAACGATCGTTTGTATAGCAGCTATGTGATATAGTAGTCCGATTTTTAATACATTTTACAATAAATTCTGGCTCAATATATAATGTCTATACATAAAATTTGATGAAAATCTGTTGAAAAATGAAAAGGTTATAATTCTGTCTCTAAAAATTTTCCATGGCATTTTCTATGGCAGCTATGTATATAGATATATGTATGTATATACATATATAGTCCACCGATTTGACATGATCCGATTTATATGCTAGTAAAATTATATAGAAGGAAAACTCCATAGTTTAATTCAAATAGCTTGCTCTTAAATTTGTTCCAAAACAAATCTTGCGCATGTGTACATATGATTCCCAACTCGTTATAACATCCCCGGAACGAAATGACTTCTGCCGGCCATGTCTCAGAAATGTGTTGTGTTACAAAAGTTGCAAGTCATTGTTTATTAGTGTTCGAAGTTAGTAACTGAACATACATACTTACCTGTCATAGATATTTACTGGTCATAGTTAATTACTGGTCATATATACTTACTTTTCTGAGTTACTCACTGATCATAGTTACTTGATGCTCACTGATACTTACTGATCATAGTTACTTACTGGTCATAGGTTCTTACTGTTGAAAGATACTTACTAATCCTCTACATGTAAGAACCGTTTCTCTTGCAGTTATATAATACAGTTTTCCGATTTTTGTAAAACTTAAAACGAAATTCTAAAATACTAAGAGATAGCTTTCAATTAAATTAGATAAAAATATGTTAAATACCGTAAAAGTTTAAATTTTGTTGTTAATTTTTCGATCATTCCTATGGCAGCTATATGATGTAGTCGGCCGAATCCAAACAAATCCCACAGATTGTTTCTATAGCAACCCAAACAATTCTACGGAGACTCTTATCTCTCGTTCTAAGAGAAAACTAACTAAAAGCTTCTACGTATCTCACCGCCTATAGCTCTTTGTATCTTTTGCATTTCGAACTAAATTTCTCTTCTTGAAAACCACTTTTAGTTGATGCAATTGAATGAGCTTTGGCCAGTTGACTCTCTTTGGGTGAACGAAGAACAACAAAGTAGTAATCGAAATGTCTGAATGTGCTGATAACATTGCGTACAATAAAGATGAGTTGGTCCCACCCGGATGGTTAGACAAAAACTTCATCACGGATGTCTTGAGCAAACATGAAAAGGCACCTGAGCTCCAGGTAACCGATCTTAGATTCTCGCCGGCATGCCTCAAGGGAGAGCATTATGCCAGCATCATGTTCCGGGCCAAAGCCAAATATTTAAAAGAGAAAGGGGACTTTGAAAAGTCGCTCATCATCAAAACGATGCCAGAGGAGGAGGGTCACAAGAAGGATTTGATTGGAAGTTCTCCGCTCTTTGAAACCGAGGTGGGAATGTACTCCAAGGTGCTGCCCGAGTTTGAGAGGATCCTCCGCCAGGCAGGAGCACATACGAAACTCTGTGCGGATTGCATATATCACAGTCTGGAACCTCGAAAAATACTCATCTTTGAGGATCTCAAGGAGACGGGTTTCTTTGTGCTGAGAAATCGGGAAGCGAGCAAAGAAGAAGTAGATCGCGCCTACTTCAAACTGGCCAAGTGGCATGCCGCCAGTCTGAAAGTGCAGGAAGAGGCAAGTTACACTTGTTGACATTATTTGGTTTTTATATTGCTTTTCTTTTTTCTAGAAACCTGAGCTACTTAAGGAATATACCCATGGGCTGTTGGAGATGCCGCAAATCATGCAGGAGTCCTTTATGAAAACCGGAATGCCCTATTTCGTTGAACTCCTGTCCAATGATCCGGAGCTGATCAAGTACAAAGCCTATTTTGAGCAAATTAAACCTGACTTTCTGGAACGACTTAAGGGAGAGTGGAAAGGCTTAAGAGATAACCCCGAGGTAGACCAATACAGGGTACTTTGCCATGGTGACCTCCACCTACGCAACATGATGTTCCAGTATGAGAAGGGATCCTTTAAGGACTGCATGCTGCTGGACTTCCAGATAAGCCACCTCTTTCCGCTGACCTCAGATCTGGTTTACTCGATATATATGCTAATGGAGCCAGAGCATCGATGGAAGTTTTGGGATGATTTTATTGATTACTACTTTTTCGTTTTCCGTAATACTCTTGAGGAAATCGGTTACAAGGGTGAAATGCCCACTGAAGATGGTCTTTGGGAGCGCTTAAGACAGCACAAATATTATTATTGTATAATCTTATTCGACTGACTTCCGCAGAGTACTTCTTCATAACCACGTTCCTGCCTCTAATGTGGGCTCTTAGGGAGACTTCCGTTGACTTTGGTGAACTTTTGCAAGATGACGAAAGACGTCGGAAATGCTATTACTCTGAGGGTTACATCAAGGATGTTAAGAAAATACTCTTTCGATTGGATTTATATGGATACTTTAGTGATGTCTAAACAGATAACATTCTTTAAAACAATATTATATAATGATCTGAAATCTTAATACCTGCATAGATATTTCTGTAAGCCATACCTTTATATACACATATATAGATCGAGTAAGCTATATAAAATATTAAATATAAAATAGCCACACTCCTATTTATAGTATGAAATATTAATGAACGAAATATTCAAAAAGAAATTGGGGATAATGTTTATCATATGTTGCACCAATTTAATGTAATTGAATCTACAAAACAATTAACTGCTGTTTTTTTTCGCTTAAATTTCAGTTGATTGTTGTCACAACTGAGAAAAAGTTTTAAAGCATTTTAATTTCACAAACAGCAAAAAGCTTTTTTTTTATCTAAATACCCATAGCTTTTGCTAAGCTTAAGCATGTTACATTTCAAATTGAAATACTCTCTCTGGAGTCCATATAAGTGAATGCAGGGAGCGAGATTGGTTCAGTTTGTTCACTTTACTAAGAGGAAACACCAAAGTTTACAGTTTACAAAAGTTTAAAGTGTGTCAACACTCAGCGGTTTATGGTTTCAAATCAATTTGTAAAGCTTTCAAGCTGAAACGACAATCAAATCAAACGAGAGAGCCGGAGGTGATATTAGTACTTATCGAACTTTTGTGGTCAGGTGTTGCGTGCGGAGCCCTCGAAAAAATAAACTGGTAACAATTTCAACAAATTTAATGCTTATTACAAAGAAAGCTCTGATCATAATTGTTTAAATAGAAGAAGCTCTTCCATATAAAAGTTAGTTTACCTTCAACGTAATTGCGAGAATATGGCCGAGGAAAGTTTCAACGCCGACGAATTGAATCCGCCAGAATGGCTGAACCGTCATTTTATTACCGAAGTACTGAGTGGCCATGAAAAGGCACCTGAACTCAAAATAACTGACCTGACCTTCGCTCCGGCCAGTCCCAAGGGCGATCACTATGCCAGCATTATGTTCCGGGCCAACGTGAAGTACACCACCCAGAAGGGTGAGTTCACCAAGTCGCTGATCATCAAAACAATGCCCGAGGCGGAGGGTCTCAAGAAGGACATGTTGGGCGATTCTCCACTGTTCATAACCGAGATTGGCATGTACACCAGGGTCCTGCCGGAGTGCGAGCGGATCCTTCGCGAGGTGAATGACGATGCCAAGCTGTATGTGGACTGCATCTACCACAGTCTCAGCCCGAAACAGGTGGTCATCTTTGATGATCTCGTGGAGATGGGTTACGCTGTGGTGCGAAATCGTTTTCTTACGCAGGAGGAGATTTGTAGTGCCTACGGCAAGCTGGCCAAAATTCAAGCAATTAGCATGAAAATGATTAACGAGGTGAGAGATTCTTTATTATTATTTAATTTAAATTAATTACTTTCTTAGTAAATTTTCTTATTGATATATATATATTCTCTTAATTCAGCGTCCCGATTATCTGAAGGACTTTAAGAACGGCATGTGTGATATGCCCGGCCTAATGGACAGTCCCATTATAAACGCCGGCATGACTCCTTTTATTGAATTTTTGGCACGCAATCCGGAACTAAACAAATACCAGGCATACTTTGAGAAGATAAAACTCCATTTCAAGGATCAAGTGCGGGAAACCATGCAGGAGTATCGTAAGAATCCCCGGAAAGACGGATACTACGTGCTCTGCCATGGGGATTACCACAGCCGGAATATGATGTTCAAGCACAACAAGGAAACTGGAGGCTTCGAGGATTGCATGTTGCTGGACTACCAGGGCTGCAATGTGACTTCCATGGCCGTGGATCTCATATATTCCATCTACATGCTGATGGGGCCAGAGCAACGAGCTGAGGAACTTGAATACCTCCTCAAGTACTACTTCACAGTTCTGCTGGAGACTCTGGGAAAGATTGGCTATCAGGGAGAAATGCCCACTCTCTCAGGGTTCTGGGCTGAAATAAAGAGGTTCAGATATTATGGTTAGTAGGGTGGTATCTATATTATTATAATTGAATAACCCTGAACAATTTGCTTTTAGAGTTCCTTATGGTCAGCACATTCCTTCCCATTTCTGTGGGTCTCAGAGAGCATAATTTGGACATTGAGGAAATGCTTTACAACGATGAAACTAGAAGGAAATGTTACAATTTAAAAGGATATCTCGAAGATGCCAAAAATATGTTGGAGAGATTCGAACGATCGGGCTACTTTGAGGATCTATGAGAAATATATTAATTTATTAGAAGCTTGTGAAGGAATTATTTCTGGCTCAATTGCATCTTTAAAATGATCAAAAATGTACAAAAAATTGTATTTTTTAAATTTTAAATTTTTTAAGCAGAATTTAACCTTAACATGGGAAAGTTTTCGGAATTGAAATTTATTCTTTTTTTAATGTGTTAAATATCGGCACAAAGAATGGTATTATAATTTCAGTCTGTGAGGTTGTGAACAAACCATTTTCGACCCTGTGAAGCATATATTGATCAGCATAGTTTCAATTTTGAAAAATTGAAAAAAAGTTTTATGTTTTTAAATTTTAAATTGGGTTTGCAGATTTATTAACCTTAAATTAGCAAAAGAAAGCTCTCCGAAATGAAAGTAATGCATTTTTGACTTAGTTATAAGTGTTTAAAGCTATGATTTATAGAAACAAATGTCATATAAAAATTACAATAACTAGAAAGGAAGCTAACTTTGGCCGAGGTTTGTATACCCTTGCAGATTGAAATTCGATCACTAAGAATTAATAAAATATAAATTATATATGTTTATGTTAAAACACAATAAATTAATGCCTACTTTAATTTCATTCGCCTATACGATTTATATGTACAGTAATGCATTCACCGTTTTGCATTTTGCTCTATTTTTATACCCTTGCAGGGTATTATAATTTCAGTCAGAAGTTTGCAACGCAGTGAAGGAGGCACCTCCGACTATATAAAGTATATATATTCTTGATCAGGATCAACAGCCGAGTCGATCTAACCATGTCCGTCTGTCCGTCTGTCCGTCTGTCCGTCTGTCCGTCTGTCCGTTTCTACGCAAACTAGTCTCTCAGTTTTGGAGCTATCTGAATGAAACTTTGCAGTTAGTCTTCTATATACTCTCACTCGTATATATGTCGGAACGGGCCGGATCGGACGACTATATCATATAGCTGTCATAGGAATGATCGGAAACGTTTTACAAAAAAAATTATAAAATTTTTAGTTTTCAACAGAATTTGATCAAATTTGAGATATAGCCATTTCATATTATTCTACAATTTTGTGTAAAATTTTATGAAAATCGGACGACTATATCATATAGCTCCCATAGGAACGATCGAGAAATTAATTCAATTAAAAAGTATAACATTTTCAGTTTTCAACAGATTTTCATCAAATTTGAGATATAGCCGTTTCATATTATTCTACAATTTTGTGTAAAATTTTATGAAAATCGGACTAATATATCATATAGCTCCCATAGGAACGATCGAGAAATTTGAGAGGAATGAGAATGGCGGTGGCTGTTGTCGGAAGACTGACAATCGCGGTGGCGATAACATTTTTAGTTTTCAACAGAATTTAATCAAATTTGAAATATAGCCATTTCATATTATTCTAAAATTTTGTGTAAAATTTTATTAAAATTGTACGACTATATCATATAGCTCCCATAGGAACGATCGAGAAATTAATACAATTAAATTTATAACTTTTTTAGTTTTCAGCTGATTTTCATAAAATTTGAGGTATAGCCATTTTATATAAGTCTAAAATTTTGTGGCAAATTTCATAAAAATCGGACGACTATATCATATAGGTGCCATACAAACGATCGTTTGATGTAGAGGAAAAATGCAAATCTGTGAATGTAAAACTGCAAATATAATATGTATAGGTGAATGAAATGAAAGCAGGTATTACTTCATTGTTTTTTAACACAAGTATATATATAATGTCTATATATAAAATTTGATGAATATCTGTTGAAAACTGAAAAAGTTATAATTCTGTCTCTAAAAATTTTCCATGGCATTTTTTATGGCAGCTATGTATATACATATATAGTCCACCGATTTGGCATGCTCCGATTTATATGCTAGTAAAATTATATAGAAGAAAAACTCCATAGTTTAATTCAAATAGCTTGCTCTTATATTTGTTCCAAAACAAATCTTGCGCATGTGTACATATGATTCCCAACTCGTTCTAACATCCCTGAAACGAAGTGACAGTTGCTGAGACTTGCAGAAATGTGTTGTGTTACAAAAGTTGCAAGTCATCGTATATTAGTGTTCGAAGTTAGTAACTGATCATAACTTACCGGTCATAGATATTTACTGGTCATAGTTAATTACTGGTCATATATACTTACTTTTCTGAGTTACTCACTGATCATAGTTACTTAATGTTCACTGATACTTACTGATCATAGTTACTTAATGCTCACTGATACTTACTGATCATAGTTACTTACTGGTCATAGGTACTTACTGTTGAAAGATACTTACTAATCCTCTACATGTAAGAACCGTTTCTCTTGCAGTTATATAATATAGTATTCCGATTTTTGAAAAACTTAAAACGAAATTCTAAAATACTAAGAGATAGCTTTGAATTAAATTAGATAAAAATATGTTAAATACCGTAAAAGTTTAAATTTTGTTGTTAATTTTCCGATCATTCCTATGGCAGCTATATGATGTAGTCGGCCGAATCCAAACAAATCCCACAGATTGTTTCTATAGCAACCCAAACAATTCTACGGAGACTCTTATCTCTCGTTCTAAGAGAAAACTAACTAAAAGCTTCTACGTATCTCACCGCCTATAGCTCTTTGTATCTTTTGCATTTCGAACTAAATTTCTCTTCTTGAAAACCACTTTTAGTTGATGCAATTGAATGAGCTTTGGCCAGTTGACTCTCTTTGGGTGAACGAAGAACAACAAAGTAGTAATCGAAATGTCTGAATGTGCTGATAACATTGCGTACAATAAAGATGAGTTGGTCCCACCCGGATGGTTAGACAAAAACTTCATCACGGATGTCTTGAGCAAACATGAAAAGGCACCTGAGCTCCAGGTAACCGATCTTAGATTCTCGCCGGCATGCCTCAAGGGAGAGCATTATGCCAGCATCATGTTCCGGGCCAAAGCCAAATATTTAAAAGAGAAAGGGGACTTTGAAAAGTCGCTCATCATCAAAACGATGCCAGAGGAGGAGGGTCACAAGAAGGATTTGATTGGAAGTTCTCCGCTCTTTGAAACCGAGGTGGGAATGTACTCCAAGGTGCTGCCCGAGTTTGAGAGGATCCTCCGCCAGGCAGGAGCACATACGAAACTCTGTGCGGATTGCATATATCACAGTCTGGAACCTCGAAAAATACTCATCTTTGAGGATCTCAAGGAGACGGGTTTCTTTGTGCTGAGAAATCGGGAAGCGAGCAAAGAAGAAGTAGATCGCGCCTACTTCAAACTGGCCAAGTGGCATGCCGCCAGTCTGAAAGTGCAGGAAGAGGCAAGTTACACTTGTTGACATTATTTGGTTTTTATATTGCTTTTCTTTTTCTAGAAACCTGAGCTACTTAAGGAATATACCCATGGGCTGTTGGAGATGCCGCAAATCATGCAGGAGTCCTTTATGAAAACCGGAATGCCCTATTTCGTTGAACTCCTGTCCAATGATCCGGAGCTGATCAAGTACAAAGCCTATTTTGAGCAAATTAAACCTGACTTTCTGGAACGACTTAAGGGAGAGTGGAAAGGCTTAAGAGATAACCCCGAGGTAGACCAATACAGGGTACTTTGCCATGGTGACCTCCACCTACGCAACATGATGTTCCAGTATGAGAAGGGATCCTTTAAGGACTGCATGCTGCTGGACTTCCAGATAAGCCACCTCTTTCCGCTGACCTCAGATCTGGTTTACTCGATATATATGCTAATGGAGCCAGAGCATCGATGGAAGTTTTGGGATGATTTTATTGATTACTACTTTTTCGTTTTCCGTAATACTCTTGAGGAAATCGGTTACAAGGGTGAAATGCCCACTGAAGATGGTCTTTGGGAGCGCTTAAGACAGCACAAATATTATTATTGTATAATCTTATTCGACTGACTTCCGCAGAGTACTTCTTCATAACCACGTTCCTGCCTCTAATGTGGGCTCTTAGGGAGACTTCCGTTGACTTTGGTGAACTTTTGCAAGATGACGAAAGACGTCGGAAATGCTATTACTCTGAGGGTTACATCAAGGATGTTAAGAAAATACTCTTTCGATTGGATTTATATGGATACTTTAGTGATGTCTAAACAGATAACATTCTTTAAAACAATATTATATAATGATCTGAAATCTTAATACCTGCTATATAAAATATTAAATATAAAATAGCCACACTCCTATTTATAGTATGAAATATTAATGAACGAAATATTCAAAAAGAAATTGGGGATAATGTTTATCATATGTTGCACCAATTTAATGTAATTGAATCTACAAAACAATTAACTGCTGTTTTTTTTCGCTTAAATTTCAGTTGATTGTTGTCACAACTGAGAAAAAGTTTTAAAGCATTTTAATTTCACAAACAGCAAAAAGCTTTTTTTTTATCTAAATACCCATAGCTTTTGCTAAGCTTAAGCATGTTACATTTCAAATTGAAATACTCTCTCTGGAGTCCATATAAGTGAATGCAGGGAGCGAGATTGGTTCAGTTTGTTCACTTTACTAAAAGGAAACACCAAAGTTTACTGTTTACAAAAGTTTAAAGTGTGTCAACAAAATGTCAGATAACACAGATAACAGCCAGTTCAATCCCGATGAATTGGTGCCACCGAAATGGCTAAACAAAAACTTCATCACAGAGGTTCTGCGGAACAATGAAATGTCACCTCAACTAGAGGTGAACGAACTTAACGTCTCACCGGTTTGCCTCAATGGAGAACACTGCGCCAGCCTCATGTTTCGGGCCAAAGTTAAGTACTCCACAGGAAAAGGTGACTTCGAGAAATCGCTGATAGTCAAAACGGAGCCCGAGGAAGAAGGAGAGAAAAAAAGCTTTATCGGGACGTCCCACATTTTCAAGACGGAGGTCCGAATGTACTCCGAGGTGCTGCCTGAATTTGAAAGAATCCTTCGCCAGGCAGGAGACCGTACAAAACTATGTGCGGATTGCTTATACTACAGCCTGGAGCCAAACCAGGTGCTAGTCTTTGAGGATCTTGCGGAGGACGGCTATTTTATGCTGAAGGATCGCGAAGCCACCCTGGATGAGATTCAACGCGCCTACTTCAAGATCGCCAAGATGCATGCTGCCAGCCTGAAAGTGCAGCAAGAGGTTAGTTAATATTCGGAATTTCATTTACTCTATTTAATGCTTCTTATCTTTCCAGAAACCGGATTTTCTCAAAGGCTTAAACTACGGACTCTTCGAGTTACCAAACTCCATGGAGAAACCCTTTCTAGATTTCGGATTTTCCTGTTTCATGGAACTTTTGAACGAGGAGCCCGAACTTAATAAGTACAAGCCCTACTTCGAGGGCATCGCGGCAAATTTCCAACAAGGTTTGAAAGAAGAGTGGCAGGAGCTCCGGGATAATCCCAGAAATGATCAGTACTGGGTGCTCTGCCATGGAGATGTCCACCTCCGCAACATGATGTTTAAGTACCAAAAGGGATCCTTCGAGGACTGCTTGCTCGTGGACTTCCAATTCACCAGTCTTTTCCCACTGACAATGGATATGGTTTACTCCATATATCAGCTCTTGGAGCCCACGTATCGCTGGAAGCATTGGGAAGATATGATGAACTATTACTTCTCTGTCTTCGAGGATGCTCTTAAGAAAATCGGTTACAAGGGGGAAATGCCCACCCATACTGGATTCTGGCAGCGCCTGCAAAAGCCCTCGTATTTCGGTTAGTTCATCCTTTAAGTATTTAAATCAATACGGTCTATATGCATTCTGATTCTTTTAGAGTTCTTCCTGATGACCATCTACCTGCCCATGATTCCTGCCTTCAGAGATAAGGGTACGGACTTAGGCGAAATTCTGAAGAGTAAGGAAGAGCGAAAGAAATTATACTTTGTTCAAGAATACGTTAAGGAAGTGAAAACATTGCTGGCTCGATTTGAAAAGATGGGCTACTATCAGGTGAAGATTTAAACAGATGCTATTGTGAATATATAGATATATAAGGATTTTTGTACAAATCAGTATTTCCTAATACTTTATGTATTACAAATTGTATTTACATTTAAAAATCGAATTTATTTGTTCCTAAAACTATAAATTTGATTTAAAACTCACAGGAGAGTCTATCAAATATAGTCTCAATTTGATTTGTATTATCAACTCATGACAACACAAATTAAACACAAAAAAAGCAAACAATCTAAATTTGTATCTCATTTGAATCGCTAATTTCCATGTGACTATGGTCAGTGAGCTGGAAGTCTGATGAATGAGAATTATTTGCGTGTTCCTAATTATAAAACCACTGTCGCAAGCAATTAAAGCAATCATTTATGACGCAGCTTTTGTTTTGCTCAATGCCAAATTTGCTTGGGGTACAATTATCTTTCCGAATGATTTCGACTGATTAAATGTAAACAAATAATAGTGAAAAGGTAACATGTGGTAAAGAATAACCGATATCAACAAGTGTGGAGAGTATTTTGCGGTCAAAGGTATTTCTAAGAGTTAGCAATATTGGAACCCCATTTCGAAATTCTATTCTGTCTTACTCAAGCATGATTAGCACTTTGTGAACGTTTTATTTGTGGACATTAATTAATAATTATTGAAGTGATAACTGCTGATAAATACACAGAGGGGCTGGCACCTACGTCACTAGTTTCTGATTTTACGCCCACAAAAGACTCTCAGAGGGAATAGCGTATTTTGCACAGTAATAAAACTCTATTCTTATATAAAGTTTTCTCTTCTTTCTGAATAAAAAACCCCAATTTTCAAGGCACGTTTACTTGATTTCAGCCAGTCATCATGATTGTTTACTACTATAATGTTGTGTCTGTGTCTGTCCAAAGTTCAACCCACCTATTGATACAAGAGATATTTGCAGATTTCTGTTTAAATTAAATAAAAACGTGTATTTCTTTACTTGCTCTTATGATATATGATATCACAACAATTGGGCTAAATTCTAAGGAGGTTCGGGAACCAAACCTACACGGACTTTAGAAGTCCTTTGTTATCGAAAAACGGCAATAACACTTTCATAGCATTGGCATAATACGGATTAATAAAGGTTCTGTATCGCAGAGCATCGGCCTCGGGTCCTGGGGCCATCATCATTTTCATATTGGCATCCTTGTCGGTAGGCATCAGGGTGGCCACCATCACACCCATGGCGGTGAGGGGTCCTGAAGCGAAATAAATTATAAATAAATATAAAATAAATTCATTTAATAATATAATAATTATCAAATACTCAAGGAAAAAGGTCAATATCTTTATTCAAAAAAATTGGCAAAAAAACTCACCGTAGAATCCGTATTTCAGCATCATGACGTGGATATCCCTCAAGGATGGAATGGGCTTCGAGTACTTCAGGAGCTTCAGGCACTCGACCAGGCGTTCGTGATAGATCTGAATAAAGTGGTCAAACTCTTTTACCTTAATGTCCAGAGCGGCGGAGGTGGTGATCAGGTACCACAGATCTTGGGCCGGAGTGCCCCACTTGCCGATCTGCAAATCCACGAAAATGGTCCTGTCGATCTCGCCGTTGTCCTTGTAGTTGAACATGATGTTGTTGGACCAGCAGTCGCCGTGATTCAGCACATTAAACTCGCTCTCGTCCACCTGGTTGATTTTTAGGGCTTCCTCGAACACCTCCACCGGACTCCACATATTTGCTATGTACTTGTCAGCGTGCTCCAGTCCCCACTCGGCCATCGCCTTGAGGAACTGCACCTGGCGCATCTCCCCCAGCTTCTCGAAGAGATCACGGCTTTGTTCGTTGTACATGGACATGGAATACATTTGGTCGAAGGGTCCGTTGGTCTCTCTGACCACAGCGGAGGCGGCATGGAACTCGGCTAGTTTCTGGAGAACTCTTCGCATGTGCGCCATATCGAAGCCCTTTAGGCGATCGGCATTCTTAAAATGCTGGCGACTTAGATCCTCAAAGACCAGGGTAATGAGCTCAGCAGTGGTCTCCACGTGGAGGCATCTGGGTGCCAGCTCAACGTCCAACCCAGCCTCCTTGTAGAGCTTTACGAACTGCGGTATGTGCACCTCGTACATTTTCTTCTCCTTGGGGAAAAGGCCCATGCCAGCGACCACATCCGCTCCACTGTCGGCCTCCAGCATGGTCTTGAGAATGTAAGACATTTTCTTTTCGCTGCCATCTAATAAATTATATGTACAAATAAGTATAAATATAAGTAGAATATATTCGAATCTCTTCATATTAATTTGAATATCAATTTACCTTTCAGCAATATATCCACAATAACCCTGATCATAATGGAGGTGTAGTTCTCCCCTGGTGCTGTGGCCGCAATTGGAACAAAGTTGACGATTTTATCGAAATTCGGAACATCCTTTTCGAGAATCGGCAGGAAGTAGTCCTCGTTGACCCACTTGGGAATGTGCAAGTATTCATTGGGATTGACGGGCTTTTCCGAGCTGCTATTTGGCGACATTCTGAGGCTGATGCAATGAGAAAAATCAATTAATTGTCTGTCAGCGGAAGTGATCAACGGACCCAAGATCAAAGCAATTAAACTATTTTATATAAAATGAGAGAACCCAATGTTATGTCAGCACGAACACGTTGGAACAAAGTCTAAAATTTTCAACGGTATTTACTTTCTTTTACACTATGTCTAAAAGACAGATAATTAATCATTCTTTTACACTATAATTATTTATAACATGTCGCTGTATAAATTAAAAACAGGTTTGGTTTATACTGAAAGGTTTTGTCTCTTACAAAAGTTGAAACTAATAATATAAATTTAAAGTTTGCAACTGTTTTTTTGCTGCATCATCTTGACAAAGCACCCGTGAACTTGAACTCATAGATGAATTTGTTCACACAATTTTTATAATACGTTTATATAGCTTTCATTGACATCACTTATTTGCACAGGAACTTGATTTAAATTTGAGATTTAAATTCTAAGCAATTAGTAAATTAAGTAAATTGAATTTAAAATATTCCGATATTTATGGCGAATCTCCGCATGCAATTTAAGGTAAATTTCTCCTCTGAGTTACCCCACAAAAAGGAAGGTTTCTTCAATTGTTATTTATTACTGACCGACTTTTTGAAGATAACAAATTTAAATAAAGATTCTCTCGTGAAGGCGGACACTGCTGCGGCGTGTCCGGCGATTTCTAACGACAATCAAATACTGAGCATTCCGCTGGAATCACATTCATTTTTATACCCAAAGGCAGAGTGCGAGGCAAGTGGAACGTTTTGTGTGCGGCTCTCTGATAGCGTAAACGGGTTTAAGTCTAGGCGGTATTAAAATCGGTGGGGTGAGGGGGTTATTGGGTAGGAACGGAAATAAATGGAACAAAGTTTAACAATGAAAACGCATAATAGTTTCCTTTATCTCTGGAAACACCAAATAATCATAAAAGACCTCACCTCTGTGTCACATTCGAAGTTCGATTTAATAATTGAAAATATTACGAAATGTTTATTGTTTGCGGAGAAGGCATTTTCATTCATTATCATTATTTATAGTATAGAAAGATAACTCTATAGATATTTGGATATTTTATGGATAACAACTAAAATGATGCCTTGGTATTATGCGAGATGTAATTACATTTCGACCAAGGTATTTTAGGGCATGATAAATGTGCACTTGCTTTTATTTTACAATTTTAGATAAAAGTTTGTCACAGTGCAGATACATTTATAGATAGTCAGAAGTTTCCAAAGCAGTAAAGGAGTCATTTTCGACCATATAAAATATGTATATATTGTAATGATCTACATTAAGAGCCGGGTCGATGCAGCCATGTCCTTCCTTTACTTTATAAGGGGTAAAATCGTTAAAATTATCAAAAACTAATACATTTATAAATTGATATATATTAAAGCCCATTTTGCAGCGTCTCGAAGTTAGACTTCTTTCTTGTTTTCTTTTATTTTTTATAAAAAGCCCTATAAACTAATAATCTAAAATACCCTTCCTATGGAAAAAAGGTAGCAATTGCCGCATGGCTTTGACATAATACGGATTTGTATAGGTTTTGTAGCGATGGGCTTCAGCTTCAGGACCTTCACCCATCATATTTCCCATATTAGAGTCCTTGTCTGAGGGCATGAGAGTGGCCACCATCACTCCAGTGGCTGTAAAGATGCCTGTAAATTGGGTTAATAAAAACGTATTTAAACAAAACAGTAAATACCATTTACTCACCCCAAGAACCGCGTCTTATCATCATTACGTGCAAGTCCCTCAAGGTTGGAATCCTTTTCGAGTAGTTTAGGAGCTGCAGGCACTCGGTCAAGCGGTTGTGATAGATCTGTATGAAATGGTCAAATTCCGTGACCTTAATGTCCAACGAGGCGGATGTGACGATCATGTACCACAGATCCTGGGCGGGAGAGCCCCATTTGGCCATTTGAAGGTCCACAAAGACGGTTCTGTCGATCTCCCCGTTAGCCTTGTAGTTAAACATTATATTATTCGACCAGGAGTCGCCATGGTTCAGTACATTGAACTCGCTCTCGTCCACCTTATTGAGGCGAATTCCCTCCTCGAAGGCATCCGTGTCCGAAGGAAACTCTTTGATAAATCTCTCGGATTCCGGAATGTCCCATTCCTTAACTGCCTTCATAAAGGTGGCAGTATTGCTCTCAGATAAGGAGGTAAAGAGTTCCCTGTTCTCCTCCACAAACAGGGAATTGTAGTATCGCTCATCGTAGGGTCCATTCACTGTTCGATAGACAGCCGAGGCTGCATGAAGTTCTGCCAGTTTTCGGAGGACACAACTGATGTGCGGCAGATCAAAGCCCTTGAGGCGATCAATGTTCCGAAAATTCTGACGACTCAGGTCCTCGAAAACTAGGGTAATCCTATCCTTTATCTCCTCGTAGTGAACACACTTGGGGGCCAATTCGATATCCAACCCAGCCTCTTTGTACAGTTTCACAAACTGGGGTATGTAAGTCTGGTACATCTCCATCTCCTTGGGAAACAGTCCCATCTGATCAACCATGGCGCCACCCTTGTTAGTGTCCAACCCGGTTTTCAGTATATACGAGATCCTTTTTTCGCTGCCATCTAAATTGCAATGAGATTAGAAACTCCCAAGAGTTAAAAAGTGCACTCTGCTTACCTTTCACCAAAATATCCATCAAAATCCTGACCATAATCGAGGTGTAGTTCTCTCCAGGAGCCGTGGCTGCAATTGGTGTGAAGTTGACAATTTTATCGAAGTCTTTGACATCTTTCTTCAGAATGGGCAAAAAGTACTCCTCATTTATCCACTCAGGTATGACCAGATGTTCGTTGGGACTAATTGGTTTCGGCGCCATGACTTTACTATTAATAAAAAATATTGATGAGAAATAATTCTGAATATTTGTGTCATTCACTGACCGATTGAAGGGATATTCAACTTGTCGAGAGAAGGAAAATCTTATACGGTTAGTTTAGCCGTAAAGGCGAACCTCAACTAAAGTAGCCTTTGATTGCGTTCCGAGTTAAATAGTGGCCATTTGAAGTGAAATGATCGCAATCATAATCAAGCCAATTGAAATAGAAGAAAAGGTACACAAATATTTAATCTTAAAGCGTCTAACATTGAAAGGCAAAGTTGGTCTGTGAATTGTAAATGCCATGAACAACAGATAAAGAATATAAAACTAATCAATTGCTGCAGTTATCTAACAATAATCTACAATAATATTATTTGAATTACCCGCTTGTAACTCTATACATGTATGCATGGTATCTACAAACACAATGCGACAATTGTTGTCCAACAAATTAATAAATTGTTCCTTCTACAGAATATATACATATATATTTTTATTTATAAATTTTTTCAGCTGCCAGATGTTAATTGAAGCCGCCCAGTCATCCCACATTGGTATAATTGAGGCTAGTCCAATTTCTGAAAGCGTGCCGAACTTCCTATTGCTCGAGGGGTTTCTGATGATAAACATAATCAATTTAGATTGCTCTTCAATTTCAGTTAGTTTGTCGTCAGTGATTAGACTCCAAACAAATGGCAAACGTAAACCAAGTCAAAATTTGTGAAATTTAGCTAAAAAGAACGTCGCGTCATGACTTTTCAATCGGAAATCTGTTTGATAAGGTTGAGGTAGTAGAATTGATTAGGTCGCTATACAGACGATGCCCCAAAATAGCTGGGAGCTCATGAATAGTTCTGTCATTCATTAAGGAATTATCTTACTCATTTCCATCAATGAGTTGGACAAAGAAATCATAATTAGACCATAATTTAACTGATTTCTAGATTATTTATTTAAAGTATTACAAATGTTCATATTTGTATATGTATACCTAAATCATTTCCAATTGAGCAACGATCGCTCCTCCATCCAAGGAAGAATCTCTTTCATAGCCTGGATATACTTGCGATTGGTGAACATGGAGCATTTCATTTTTGAGGCATATCGTTCGTTCACCTCGTCCTCAAACTGATTCATCATAGTAATGGGCAAGACCCGTGTCACCACCACATAGGCTGGAAGTAAACTCAGTTAAAGGGTAATCTTTTACTTTTAATAATGAGCTCACCTGCCAGGCCATGCTTGTTCAGACTTTCCCGAATATATTCGATCTGTGGCAGGACTTTGCCATATTGTAGGACTTTAAGACTATCCATCAAGTGGTAGAAATAGTACTGCACCATATTGTCGAACTCGGTTAACTTAATGTCCTTCTCAGCAGACGATAATATGGTGTAATACAGATCATTGGCCTGTAAATAGAAATAATAATTATCTTTATAACCAAGAAAAATCTATATATATATAGAAAGAGCTTACCGGAGATCCGTACTTGACCACCTGGAAGTCCAGCATGGCCGTGTCCACCACATTCCCATGATCGTCGTGCTTGAACATGACATTGTTTGCCCAGCAGTCGCAGTGATTAAGGACATTGAACTGCTCCGAGTCGGGAGAATGCAGCTCAAGTAGCTTCTTAACCAGAACCTCCTCCTTATCCACAAACTGTTTGTGGAAGTGGTCACCAATGCGTAAGCGCCGAAGCTGCGATAAAAACACTTCCGGGTTATTTAATTCCTGGAGGATTTCTTCGTTGGCCTTTGTGTAGACCCCATTGGTCAGGAGCTTCTTGAATTCGCCACTCTTCTCCACATACACGACGGAGGCGGCATGGAACTGGGCCAGCTTCCGGAGCACCTGCTTCAAATGCTCCAAGTCAAAGCCCTGACTCCGCTCCACATTGCGGTATCCCCTGGCCTTGAGGTTCTCCATCAGGATGTAGCGCACTCCGATGCCGTGGTCCAGCTTGAAGGCACGCGGACCGAATGACACCTTCTGGCCCGCTTCCTCAAAGAGCTGCTCGAATTGTGGCAAGATGTTGTGATAGACGTAATGCTCTCGCACGAACAGTTTTAGCTGGCCCATGATCTTGGCCTGGATATCGCTGCCATGCTGGGCCTTCAGAAGAAAGGACAGTCTTCGCACCGTATTGTCTCGCAGCTGAATCTTCACTTGGATGGGCAGGAGGACGGTGCAGTTGCGGTACTGTATGAGATGGACGCTGGGCAGGACCGCCACAATGCGATCACCACTTTCCACATAAGACTGGACCGCCTGTCCCAGGGACAAGCCGGACACCCATTCGGGGAGTTTTGGTACTTTCATAGTAAATTTATAGCCTTCAATTTTGAGAAATTTACGTATAATTCTGATAAATAATTGACTAATATTGGAAGGAATTATGGATATACGTTAAAGCTTTTAAATATTTTATTTGAAATGTATGAAATATTTTGATGCATATTGTTTCTCGTTAAATATATCGAAATCTTAATTGTTCTACCCTATGATAATCTTAGTTAAAGTTAGTTAGCTAGTTAGTTACTCCTTTCAGAGCCTATAAACCTTATATATTCTTGATCAGCATTTGATATTTATTCTTTATCATTCAGCAACAATTTATTCTGCTATGCAAAATGCAAAATATTATAGTTAAAGTTTCTTAAAAAAAAAACAATATCATTAATTTCGAAATTTGTGCAATTCACTTACAGAAAACAGAACGAACAGTTTATAAATTGTATATTTTCATAGAGATACACAGACAAAATTAATATTTAATAGCTAGTCAAAGGTTAGTTTGAATATAATTAGATATTTATTTGGCTGCCAAAACAAATTTGTTGGTAAAGCAATTAAATAAGCATTATTATAGCCGGCAATTGGGGGAGATAATTACTTCCAGTCAAGCAGGCCGCGGTTGTCCAACCATGGCAGCACCTCTGTCATCACCTGGACGTACTTGGGATTGGTGAACATGGCGTTCTTCATCTTGGACTCGTCACTAATGTAACTCTCCAGATTGGCATTGTTGGTCTTGTCAAGCATCACGACGGGCAGCACCTTGGACACCACCATGTAGGCTGTCAAAAGGGAATAGTAAATAGATCATCCTCTATATCTATATAGGAGGTAAACCCACCAGCCAACCCATTGCGGAAGAGGGCCGCATGCAGATTCTTCAACTTGGGCAGGGGTCGGTGGTATTGGAGCAGCTTTAGGTTCTCCACCAGATTATCGAAATAGTATCGCACCAGGTAATCGAACTTGGCTGTCTTCAATTCTGGCGCAGCCGAAGACAAGATGAAGTAGTACAGATCATTGGCCTAGAAGTTAATTAATATTATATTAACCCGAAGTTCAATAAGAATATAATATAGATATGTCTGACATACCGGACTGCCGTACTTTCCCACTTGAAAGTCCACGAACAGGGTCTCCTTAATGACTCCAAAGGCATCGTGCTGGAACATTATGTTGTTGGCCCAACAGTCGCCGTGGTTGAGCACATTGAACTCCCTGGGATTGTACTGCTGATCCTGCAGGAGTCGATCCACCAGATATTCATCGCTATCAGCCTGGAAAACAAGTGTTAAAATGTTAATAAAGTTAAAAGATTCAATGATATAATAATAATCTCACCAACTTCTCGTACAGCTTCTGTGCATTCTTCCACTTTTTGAGCTGGGCCAGAAAGGCTCCCGAGGCATTAAACTCCTGGAGCAACTTACGATTGGCTTCGCTAAACACACCCACAGTAAACTCCTCCCCAAAGAGGCCATTATGCTCCACATAGCAGGCGGATGCCGCATGAAAGGCAGCCAGCTTTTCCAGAGCCTTCTGCATGTGATCCAGGTCCAGGCCGGCCAAACGATTCTCGTTCTTGAAGCCCTTTTGGTGCAGATCTTCCAGCAGAATGTAGTCCACACCCGGATCGCGGTCCACCTTGAAGGCCCGAGGAGCAAACTGTATGCGCTTGCCGGCTACCGCGTACAGCTTCTCGAATTTGGGCAGAAGATTGTGGTACATCTGCTCCTCCTTCTCGAAGAGCTTCAGCTTGGACAAAATGGCAGCCATCACTTCGTTGTTGTGCTGCGCCTTCAGGACAAAGGATATGCGTCTGATGCTATGATCTGGCAAGAAAGATAAGTGATTAAATAAATAATGAGTGATAAATAAATGTGGTTTTGGAGTCCTCGTGAATAAGACTTACCAATCAGCTCCACGTCCACCAACAATCGCAGGAACTGGGAGGAATAGTTCTCGCCCTCGCTGCTGCCTTTCACTACAGTAATTGGACCGATGCTCTCAACAATACCAGTCGTGGCGTTAATCGCCTTTGCCAGTGTAATGTTGCTCACCCATTTGGGCAGGTCCTCGACAGGTGTCCCATTATGTCCATTTGTGGCCTCAGACATGATGAATCTGCTTAAAAAAATAATTATTTTTTCTTTGTCTAATTTGAACTTCCGAACTGATAACAGCGAATGGCGCGAAATACGACCACTCTTATGTTAACAGGGCCAACGGGTCGTATACATAACGTTTATTGGACAATAATCAAACATAGGTGGAGCCAGCGTGTTTGCCGTCTAATTGAATATTGCACTCTATTTGAATATTTTATTTTTGATTCTCAGCCCAACCCAACTCATAAAAATGCCTTGAAAAATTGTTGTATATTTTTAGCAATTGCCTAAATTTTTTATCTGGCGGTATATTGAGTGTTATAAACGGATTATAGTTCAGTAAAAAGTCTCTAAATTATAAGCATGCCTCACTTTCGTTAATAATTATAATTATATATTTTAAACTACAAGCTCCTTAATTAATTTAAGGATTAATTAATTTCACTGTACACAAAAATCAAATCCCTGGTTTTAATAAATGACTCATCCTAGTACACAGACCCACTATTTATACTTTCGAGTGTTTTCAATCGAATTGTTGCAATCCCTGATAAAGTTAGGAACACTTTTAATCAATAGGTCGCTTTTATCAATACCAAATATGGAAATACTATACAAATCATCATCAATATAGGAAACGAGTACGTGATTTATTAAATTAGGCTACCTTCCAATATAGGTAATTACCGAACTTTTGTGGGGTTTTCATTGATTAGGCAATTATCAGGGCAATCGCTATTTAATGAAGCAAAATCGTAAATCAGGTCACATGTCAGTTAATGGAACACACACACCTGCTATGGCATTACGACATAATCTCAGATAATACCTGTGGGCGGGATGGATTTAACCAACCGGGATACAATAACTTTTCTCACTCTTATGGGTCGAAATAATTAAGAAATTTTGTAAACTTGATTCACAGTTCGTCCCACTGCCACAATTCTTTAAATACTAAACTTTTTGATGATGGGGAAATAAGTTTTTATAACACTTTGGGTCAAAACGAAATGATTGCTTCCCCGAAACGGTGACAAACCTTTTTCCTTAATTGGCAAACTCGTGGAGCGTTCCGTGGGTGACTGCAGTCCGCGGCAACTGACGAGTGGGAAATACGGGCTGCGATACTCGGGACCAGAGCTGTTGCCCCGATTTGGCTATGGGCCAAAGAAATTCCTTATCGCCTGCATTCGATTCAAGTTTATTTTGTAATTCAGCTCGCCAAAACCGGCAAAAAAAAAAGAAATGAAGTGGAATATACATAGTAGAGGGTGGCAGTGGCAGGGTGGCAATTGCCATTGGTGAGAGCGGGCGGGCGATAGTGAGCCGATGATATGGCAGCAAACGCCGTCTATTGTTTGATTGATAACAATGCCCACCGAAAACAGTTTCTTGTTTCTGGTTTCCACCTACATATGATTCCGATCCCGCCTCTTTATCGGGCGTCCGTGTTCCTCTTTGCTCTCGCCATTCGCTCTAATTATTTCGTGATTCCTTATTAATTGCTGTTTGCGGGCATGACATGTGACGGGTAGGTAGATATAGCCTATCAACATATTATATAGACATAGACCCCTTTCCGACATTGGCCAGGGGTTCCGACATACTCTATATATTATTAATAGGCCATTAGCAAAGCCCACTAAATATGGGAATAAATACTTAACTATTTGACTTCAGACCCGGTGACTACTATTGGTCATTATAGAAGTTGTGTATCAATAAGTTGTTAGGTGTTTGTTTTATTGATCTAATTAATTTCTTCGTGTAATTTGGAATAATTAATTGGTTTTTATTTTCTGTATATCTCAAACCCCTTACAAATTGAACTTCGAATATTTGTTCGTATTCAAATTGAAAAGATAAGACTGTAATTCTAAAGAACTTAAATCAAGAGTGGCAATTATAATTATCTCATTTAAGATATAAGCAATAGAACTACGAATCATAGATCGACACACTGGGGCAACATTTGTTAGTTATTCATTATTATTAACTTTCTGGGAACATTTGATATAAGCTCCAAATGCACAAGAACCTATTTAAATTAAACACATTAACAGCCATGCAATAAAATTAGCCGTGGACTTAAAACCAATTAAACATATATAAAAATATATGGAATAATATATTTTAAGTGTCAATAAGAATTTTTTGTCGAGGTTTGTCGCCTATAGCATACTTTTAGACGCCATAAAAATAAATTTAAACTCCAACAAATTACCCTTACTAATAATTATAGTTACCTTTAATAAAACATCATAATTTTTAATTGAAATATTTATTTATGTAGGTACAAAAATTTTACTTTCTGTCATGGTGAAGTAACTTAATGAAACCTTTAAGAGAGCTTTAAAGATCAATTTGAAGTAGCGATTTTCTGATAGACCCTCAACCATTTTGTTAATACTTCATGCTTTTTTGCACTTCTCAAATAATTTTTGGAAACATATTAGACTTGGAATGCTCCGCGATTGTTCATCCAGGTGAGGATGGCGCTAACATGCTTTTTATATCGATCATTGGAGTACATCGCCATTTTAAGGCCATCGCCATTTTCCGATTCGGTGACAAAGTCGGTCAGATTGGCCTCATCGGTGCGATCGAGTAATACCGGTGGACAGAGCATCAGGACAGTCTGGTAGCCTGAAATCGAAGAATATGTAAAATAATATTACTATCTATAGCTTTCGATATAGAGAGAGCTTTTTCCCCATACCAACGCGTCCGTATTTCAGCAGTTGAGTGTGTAGGAACCGCAGCGAGGGGGTCTTCGCCTGGGGATACTTGAGGAGGGCCAGGTGCTCTATCAGCTGATCGTGATAGTACTTGATGAGGTAATCGAATTTACACAACTTGATGTCGAATTGCGTGGATCCCAGAAGGAAGTAGATAAGATCATGGGCCACACAGGTGACCTTCGGGAGCTGCAGATCTACAAAGTAGGTTTCCGCCGGTTCGGGGTTCTCGCCCTCGTACCGGAACATGATGTTGTTCGTCCAGCAATCTCCGTGATTCAGGGCATTGAAATCCTCCGGATCGGGAGTGTTCATTGCATACATCAGGTCCACTATCTTGGGCTGCATCTTGTGCTGCAAAAAGAGTAAATTTTAGTAAATCTTTATAAAAGTGAGATGATATTTCTACTTACCACCGCCTCGCTGTATTCCTCGTATCCCTCGTAGAGGGGCAGGCACTTCAGGAAGTACTTTCCCAGGGTCTCGGCCACCTGCTCGATATTGTCCTTCATAGAGTCGGTGTAGGTTGGCTGTAGGTAGTGCTGGGTGTATGGACCCTTCAGGTGAAGCCTGTTGGCCGAGGCCGCGTGCCACTGGGCCATCTTCTTGAGAACGCTCTTGGTGTGAGCCATGTTCAGACCCTCCAAACGATCCACATTCTTGAAGCCGAACGGTTTGAGATCCTGCAGCAAGACGTACTCATCGGGAGCATCAATTTCGTAGGCCTTGGCCCCGAACTGAACCCTAAGACCCGCGTCCTCGTACATCTTCTCCAGCTCGGGCTTCACCTGCAAGAAGACGTCCCGCTCCACCACGAACATGTTGTTCTTCCTCAGGATTTCGCGGTACATCTCGAAGTCGTGAGGCGTCTTCAGCATGTAGCTCACCTTCTCGATGACGTGATCTAATGTCGGAGCCCTAATAAGTCTTCATGTTTCTTTGTTTGCCACAACTAGTATGACTCACCCTTCAGTTCCACTTCGAAGTGTAGACGCAGCATGATGGTGGAGTAATTTTCCCCTGGACTCAGACCGGCCACCGGCTCGAAGCTCTTGATTCCCACATACTTGTCCCCGAAACGTTCCGACAGCAACTTCTCGAAGAGATCTGCCTTCAGCCAAGCCGGCAGTGGAATAGTTGTGGCCTCGTCCGTCATTGTGTATAAACTGAAGGCCTTTTTGCCGGCTGTTTCTATTTAATATTGAGATAGAGTGAGCTTTTCGCCTCCTCTATCTCTGTGTTTTTTTTATAAATACATAAACATTTATATACCAAAACAAATGCCGATCTGAAAGCTCGTGAAGAGAGCACTCTTCAAAGAACTTGTTTCCAGAGGTAAAGAGAGTGACACATATGTATAACCATATATAAAGAGAAAAAACAAACCTTGTGTAGGTGGTAATATATGAAATTCATATTATGAATGTGCCCCTAAAACCATGTATGGGGTGTCTGTTTAACAAATGGAAACATTAATTGAGGCGGCAATGAAGCAATAATTGCAACAACAGAAATAAGTTACAAAAAGGAACATGATAACTATTTACTTTATGACGCTTTCCATTTGTTTTTAAAGGGTGTTCATCTTTCAAGCTCGCTGATCTCTCTAACAATATTTAATGTGTGATGATGAGACTGCAAAATATTTGTTGCCTACCCAAAATATTAAACATTCTAGGTTCTGCGTTAGAAGAAAACTTGAACTACATATACTATCTATCAATCTATAATTATCAAGTATCTCTATACCCACGAATCCTGAACGATAACCACAATTCGGGATCGCAGACTATGATGAATGCAGTATTCCTTTGAACTCGGGAATCACTTTTGTGCCTATTTTAAAATGATCAGATTCAGTCAGGAGCTTCTTATAATGATCAATCATACACTCAACAGTTCTTTGGCAATATCAAGTGCAATGCGAATTTAATATTTCCTTATCGCAGAAAATTAATAACGCAGAAATGCAGTTTCCAATAATATTTGCATTGCATTTATCTTATCTGTATAGGCTACACATGGTTTCTTATGATTAAAAGGGCTACAATTTATGTAAGTTAAAAGGGAACATAGAATTTTGTTAAATTAACTCTAAAGAAACCTATTCCAATGCTCCTCGATGCTGCAGCCATGGCAAAAGTACTTCCATATGCCTGAGGAACCTAGGATTCACGTACAACGACGTCTTAAAGTCGGAGTTGTCGTCAGCCAGGACCTTTTCAAAATCAGCATCGTCGCTGGGATCAAGAAGGACGAATGGCATTATGGTAGAGGAGCATAAGAAGGCTGAAATATTACAATTTTTTGGTAACTTAAGGTGTAAAAACATTCGTATAGAAGTCAAAAACTTACCCCATGCATTGTACTTGGAGAGTGTGTCTCGGATACTTCTTAGAGTGGGTAGGGTTTTCGAGTACTTCAGCAGCTTCAGGTGCTTAACCAACTCGGAGTGATAGAACCAAATGAAGTAGTCGAACTTCGATATTTTTACATCCAAACTAGTGGAGGACAGCAGGAAGTAGTACAGATCCTGTGCCACCGTACCCCACTTGGGCAATTGAAGGTCGACGAAGTATGTGTCCAAGATGTCGTTCTTCTCGTTGTACTGGAACATGATGTTATTGGACCAACCATCACCGTGGTTCAGGGCATTGAACTCGTCAGGCTTTGGATCGTTAAGCTCATTTACAATATCCAATAACTTGTCAGCTGCGATATGCTGTCGAAAAATAAGGATAATAACAAAATGAAATAATAAATGTAAAAAGTGTACCCACCAAATCCTTTAGGTAAGTCTCATAACCCTTAACTAGATGGACGTTCTCTAGGAAAACCTTTACGTTTCGGCAACAGAATGCATCCACGATTTCCTCGTTCTTCAGAAAACCCTTGGTAAATTTCTCCTCGTAAGGTCCTTTGGTCGCCACGCGAACTGCAGATGCCGCATGCCATTGGGCCATTTTCTTCAGGACACTCTCAGTGTGCTCCTGATCCATGCCCTCGAGCCGATTCACGTTTCTGAAGCCGCGTGGCCTGAGATCCTCCAAAAGGACATGGTAATCGGTGACTGGGATCTCGTAAGCTTTGGCACCAAACTTCACCTCGAGACCCGCATCCCGATATAGCTGCTCCAGTTCAGGAACCACTTCCAGATACATTCCAAGCTCTACATCGAAGATGTTTGACTTTTCGATCACCTTGCGATAGGCTTCAGATTGATGGGGAGTCTTCAGCATGAAGGCCTTGGTGACTTGGTTTTTATCTGTGCACAAATGTGAATATATGTTATATATTAAATTATGATGATTATCTATGTAATTAAATTAGAGACCCACCTTTGGTCTCCACATCCAGCTCCACTCTCAGCATTATGGTGGCATAATTCTCCCCAGCAGGGACACCTGCTTTAGCCCTTAGGGCCTTCGTCGCCTTGTAATCCTTGACATCCTTTCTGAGTAGATCTTCGAAGGCTTCTGCCTTCAGCCAGTCCGGAATTAACACTTTCCTTTGGTCGAGCTCATCTTCCTTAGTCTGTGGCGGCATCTTCGATTTGTCACGTTGAGTTCCAAACTTTAAATGAGAGCTCACCGTACGGGACATCATTTTTATACAATTTACAAAAACTAATGGCGATGAGACTGATAAATCTTATCTCTCGACATGCAAACAACAGATAGTCTCAAGTGCAAATGTGACACGGCAGATTGTTACACCTTAGATTAAAGGGAGGGGTCTATGATTAGTTTGAAGAAACAATCCTCTCACACATTAGCATCTCAGCATTACGCGACAATTTCTCAGATGTGAGGATAAGACTGGAATATTAATAAGACTATCTGTTCATTAATTTAACTTATTTGCTCATAATTTAATCGTATCGCGTGTGCCAGTCTCGAATTTCACAATATTTATTAAAGCCATTTGTAGAGATAAGCAAATAAATAATAAACAAAACTACGGAGGTTGTAGAGCTCAAACGTATTGCACAATTTATATACTCTTTGAAAATCAAAGATGTAGCAGTCATACACAAGTATAATTGAAAGTAATCATCAAAGCCAAATATTCTTTCCTCAGATTGTATTGAAAAGGAAATAAAAAGCAGAAATATATCTTAGTCCGAAGTGATATAATTATTAAATATATCCTTTAAGCAACCAAGCCAAACAAACTACAATATTAATTTTAAATCAATTTGTTTTCTTTATTATCCATTTAATTATTATTAAAGCGAAACTAAAATATTCATCTGAATATATACTTAACTCACCCAAAAACCTTTATTTAATACAAGTATATATATATATATATTTAGTAATACAAGTACCAAAATGTAGATTTCGATTTGTGTTTTATTTATTAAAATTCAAAATATTTAAATGCTAAACTATGTGAGAGGATTATGGGACTTATTCCAGAGCACCACTTTGTTGCAGCCACGGCAATAGAGCCTCAATATGTCTGCGATATCTGGGGTTCGTGAAGATGGAGTTCTTAAAACTAGAGTCTTCTTCTGACATAATCTGATCGAAGTGAGCATCTTCTCTGGGATCCAGCAAAACGAATCCCATTATGCAGGCAGCACAAACGAAGCCTGAAATATAATTTCTTACTTAAGATATAAAGGTCAAATTTAAGGAATGAAAAACTCACCCCAACCACTGTACTTGTTAAGAGCATCCCGAATACCCCTTAGAGTGGGCAGTGGCTTTGAGTACTTGAGGAGTTTCAGGTGCTTGACAAGCTCAGAGTGATAGAACCAAATTAAATAGTCAAACTTGGAAATTTTAATGTCCAGGCTAGTTGAAGAAATCAGGAAGTAGTACAAGTCCTGGGCCACTGTTCCATATTTGGGTATTTGCAGGTCTACAAAATAGGTATTCAAAATCTCGTTCTTATCGTTGTACTGGAACATAATGTTGTTGGACCAGCTATCGCCATGATTCAGGGCATTGAACTCGTCGGCTTTCGGCACATTCAGATCATTAACCACATCCAGCAACTTTTCGGAGACACTGTGCTGTAGCGGAAGATACAGAGATAAGATATAGTAATCCACAGATAGTCACCAAGTTTACCCACCAAATCTTTAAGGTACGCCTCGTGACCCTCGTACTGTTCAATGTGTTTCAGCAGATTCTTGACGCTTCCATTACAGAATGCATCTATGATTTTCTCGGACTTGAAGAAGCCTTTAGTGTACTTCTCCTCGTAGGGTCCCTTGAGCTCCACGCGAACAGCAGACGCCGCATGCCACTGGGCCAGTTTCCGTAGAACATTCTCGGTGTGAACCTGGTCCAAGCCCTCGAGGCGATTCACATTCCTGAAGCCCCGTGGCCTGAGATCCTCCAAGAGGACATAGTGATCGCTCGCCGAGATTTCGTAGGATTCAGCACCAAACTTTACGTCCAATCCCGCGTCCCGATACAGCTGCTCCATTTCGGGAACCACCTCCTGGTACATTCCGCGCTCCACATCGAAAATGTCCGTCTCCTCGATGATTTTGCGATACGTCTCCGATTGGTGTGGAGTCTTCAGCATAAAGGCCTTGGTCACCAGGGATTGGTCTGGAGCATTAATTTCAACTTTAAATTTACTCAAAATTGACCCCATGTTTAGTTTAACCTTTAGTTTCCACATCCAGCTCTACCCTCAGCATTATGGTGGCATAATTCTCCCCAGGAGCTACACCAGCCTCGGCCCTCAGGGACTTCGTCTCCTTGTAGTCCTTGACCTTTCGCCTGAGCAGATCTTCAAAGACTTCGGGTGTGACCCAGTCCGGGATCTTGACTTCCCTCTGGCAAACCGTTTCTTCCTTCGTTTGTGGCGGCATTGCGGAACAATCTCGTTGACTTCTGAACAGTGACTGGGAGATTTGACTCCTAGCCGCATCTATTAAATAATTTCAGTAAAAATGATAAACACTATCTATCTTTAAAGACTTTTACGGGTTGATTGCAAAGATGATGAAGCGATTTTTATGTGTTATGTGAGAGATTGCATTTTCTTCTATAAGTGTATGTAATTTTATTCAGTATAAAAAATCAGTTCTAAGCAAATCTGGACGACCTAAAAATGTTTACATCTGTTTCCCAAGCGGAGGATTCACCTTACTTTTCACCCTTAACTATAGAGGAATAGATTTTTAAGACTCCCGATGCCACCTGGAGACTATATACATAAGACAGTGATCTGTAGATATGCAAAAATAATCAAAACATACATAAATACTATAATTAAATACCCTGAAGTCTTGTCTTTATGATTATAAATAGAGATAAGCATCTTATTTATTTTGCTTAACTAGTAGCTTTTTTATTTATTTATTTATTTTTGCTCTCTGTTTTTATTGGGGTTCGCCTTATGACATATATTAGTAACTTTTTCTCTCCTGTTTGGTTTTGACCACAAATTAGTTGACACCAAATATTAAATACCAATGATGTGACATTTTTCGATTTGTGTTTGCTTGGCACTCAAGAAATTATTAGTTCTAGGAAAGGGGTCTTATATATATATCTTAGATATATGTATATACCTAAAAGCTGAAAAGATTATACATACAGAAAAATATACATATAAGTAATATCAGCTATGGCTAATAACTATGTAATTTGGTATGTTCAGGCAACCAACTCTAAGCTTTTCCAATTTAATGAGCTATTTAGTAGTTTCTCTCTCAAAAAAGCTTTTTGTGTTTTTGTTTATTCTGAAAATGTTTTGTTTTGATTCTCCCATATGGCCCGAAGCAAAAATTTGTTTATAGTAACTAAGCAACGCTATCAAGCCAGAAAACGACAACAATTCACTATAGCGTTAAAAAGACGCTCTCATTGTGATTCATGTATTTATCGTTCGCAATTTAACATTTATTAACACCCATAGACATTATCGCTCGAGGGTTCTGATAACCCTATCATGAGGTCGCTCCAAGTTCTGACTTAATTCATAGGTTTATTGTGTAAATTTTTGAAATCTGTAGGTCTAATTGACATCGAATAGATACAGATACCCTTATCAGCTCAATAAGTTATGACTCAAATTACACATTTTTGTTGGGCAAACTAAGAAATTTGTTTATTTAAGTATTCTAATTAATATCCAAGGCGCCGCGATTGAGCAGCCAAGGCAGGACAGCCTGGATATGTTTGCGGTACCGGGGACTGTTGAAGAGCTGCATCTGGAAGTCCACTCCGGCGTCAGTGTCGCTTACGAAGTTCTCAAAGCTGGCAACGTCTGTGGGCTCCAGGAGAACAATGGCCATCACGCCAATGGCCACGGTGTAACCTGGATAAAGCAAATGGAAATGCTGAAATCTGGTTTACAAATATGTAGTCCTAAGTACCCACCGAAAAATCCATATTTGAAGAGTGCCAAGTGAATATCACGAAGACTAGGAATGGGCTTTGTGTACTTTAGAATCTTCAGATGCTCCACCAGATTATCGTGGTACACCTTAATGTAATAATCGAACTTGGAAAGCTTATCCTCCAGCTTGGTGGAAGACAGCAGGAAGTAAAGTAAGTCCTGGGCCACGGTTCCGTACTTGGGGATCTGGTAGTCGACCATATAGACCTCCTTGATCTTGCCAAAGGCATCGTACTGGAACATGATGTTGTTTGACCAGGAATCGCCGTGGTTCAACACATTGAACTCGTTGGGATCGACCTTAGCGAACTCAAAACATTTGTCGACATACACGGGCTTGAGAGCTTTCTAGTAGACGTAAAACAGAGCGATAATTACATGGTTAATTGCATATATTAAATACTAATTACTTACGACTTTGTCAATGTACAGCTCGTTGTTTTCGTAGGTGGCACAGCTTGTGATGAACCGCGTTCCCATTCCGTCCAACATCGCACCCATCATCGGACGGCTTTCTTCCTTAAAGTAACCTTGAAGCACTATTTCCGGATACAGACCCTTGGTGGCCACTCGCACCGCGGAAGCTGCATGCCACTGGGCCAGCTTGAGGAGCACTCTCTCTGTGTGAGCTTGATCCAGGCCTTCGAGCCGGTTGGCATTCTTGAATCCCTTGATGCCCAAATCTTCCAGGACCACATAGTCTGTCTCTGCGTTTTTGAAATCGTAGCTCTTGGCTCCAAATCGTATGTCTACTCCGGCTTCCTTGTAAAGTGCCTCCATCTCGGGCACAACCTCACTGTACATGGTGCGCTCGATGTCGAAGATATTCGTATGCTCCAACATCTCTTTGTAGCTTTCGTTCAGATGCGGTAACTTGACCATGTACGATACCTTTTTGGTTTTGCCATCTATGGGGAGGCAATGTTGAGTTAGACATGATCATGGATTAAAATTTATGGACTTACCCTTGAGCTCCACCTCGATGTGTACCCGCAGCATGATGGTGGCATAGTTCTCTCCTGCCGTAGATCCCATTTCCGCCTTAAAAGTACTGACCTTGGAGTATCCCTCCACACTCGATTTGAGCACATCCTCGAAGAGTTCCGCATTAATCCACTCGGGTATTTTGTTCTCCGCCATTGCTGATAGACGTGTCTAGTTTTTATCGAGCAAGTAAATCAAGTATACGCCTAGTTGTACTTGGCTGTGCTGACTGAGGGTCGTCTGGGAGGATCAATAGTTTTATACCAGTTAAAGGAAGCTTTTATAATTATTGTGGGTTGTCGAAATTACGTTTGGTAGAACTTTCTATTGATCGTAGCAGTTAGCTTTTTTCTCTTAAAAAGCTATTCGCTTATCTGTACGCATTTTCATAACATTGTGTAGTTCGAATGAACCTTTCAAAGTAAGCCCAATTGTGTGATTGTAACGCATTTAGGAGTATTAAAGCCAAGGTTTATCATTCGAAGGATTTGGCCTATTGGGATTTGGTTTAGTTTTATGGTTCACTTTAGCTATACATAGATAAAGGTTGTTTTATATTTATCATATACTAAAGTCATAGTTTATGACCAAACAAAAAATACGATAAGCCAAAGCTTTCAGTTTTGTTTTGCTAATCCGTTCGCTTGTGGCAGTTACAAGTCACTTGTTTCACTCTATTCTCTTCATTAATCACCTGTTTTTTGTTTGCTTTTGAACTTTGTTTTCCTTTTTCTCTACTCTTCTTATGCCCTTATTTGGAATATGAGTTTCTCCCTTCCCCCTGTTGAGCCGAGATATTCAGGTTTTTGTTACCAAATAAATATTTACGCTGAATCACATAAAATCATATAGAGTGGTGTTAGAAATAGTTTGTATTTATTTAGCTAGTGGAAACAAATATCGTATGTCTCCTTCATGAATACGCTTTTGAGTGTTTTGCAAACATTGATCTATCGATCGGCGTTGTACCGTTTTATTAATACTTTCAATCAGATATAGATAACCTTATCGCCACCTTAGGTTATGACTCAGTTGATGAGCTCTTATTGGTCAAACTAGGAAATTGTTTGTTGGGAAAACTGCTGTTAAAAATACTAATTAGACTCCAGGGCACCACGATTGAGCAGCCATGGCATGACCGCCTCGATGTGTTTCCGGTACCGGGGACCACTGTACAGCTGCATCTGGAAATCTATTCCGTCTTGGGTGTCGCCCACAAAGTTCTCGAAACTGGCCTTTTCCGTGGGATCCAGCAGAACGCCGGCCATCACACCTGTGGCTACAGAAAAGCCTGGAAAACGAAACGATATACATATAACCACTAAATGTTTGTTTTCATTTCTAAGAATGCCAATCAATGCTTACCGAAAGATCCGTGTTTGAGGAGCGACAAGTGGATGTCTCGCAGGCTGGGGATGGGCTTAGAGTACTTAAGAATCTTCAGGTGCTCCACCAGATAGCTGTGGTACGTCTTTATGTAATATTCGAACTTGGACAGCTTATCCTCAAATTTGGTAGATGAGAGCAGGAAGTACTGAAGGTCTTGCGCGACAGTTCCGTACTTGGGAAGCTGGTAGTCGACCATGTACACCTCCTTGATCTTGCCGAAGGCATCGTACTGGAACATGATGTTATTTGCCCAGGAATCACCATGGTTCAACACATTGAACTCCGTTGGATCGACCTTGGCCATTTCGAACATTTTGTCCAAAATCACAGGCTGTAGCTCTTTCTGTAAGTAAAAGAAATTTAAGTTAGAAACTACAAAATCAGATCTATTAAAGTATTTTTTACTTACGACTTTCTCGATGTACGCCTCGTTGCCTTCGTAGGTGGCACAACATTTGAGGAATTTCTCACCCAGGGATTTTGTCATTTCGGTCATCATTTGGCGGTTATCGTCCTTGAAGAAGCCAATGATCAGATCTTGCGGATATGGACCCTTGGTGGCCACTCTCGCAGCGCTGGCTGCATGCCACTGGGCCAGCTTGAGAAGCACCCTCTCTGTGTGAGTTTGATCCAGACCTTCGAGTCGGTTGGCATTCTTGAATCCCCTCATGCCCAGATCCTCCAGGACCACATATTCGCTCTTGGCGTCCTTGAGGTCGTAACTCTTGGCACCGAAAGTAATCTCCAGGCCTGCGGCCTTGTAAAGAGCCTCCATTTCGGGCACATATTGAGTGTACATGCTTCGCTCCATGTCGAACATGCTGTTCTTCTTTGTCATCTCCTGCAGGATCTCCAGTTGGTGCGGCAGCTTCATCATAAAGGATAGCTTCTTGAATTTTCCATCTACGGAGGAGATACTTTAAAGTCAGATGAGTGGACCTGGAGTAGACCCTATATGGACTCACCCTTCAACTCCACTTCGACGTGAATCCGCAACATGATGGTGGCATAGTTCTCTCCCGCCGCGGATCCGATTTCCGCCTTGAAGTTCTTCACCTTCGAATAGCCTTCTATATTTGCTTTGAGCAAATCTTCGAAAAGCTCGGCAGTAATCCAATCGGGAATTTTATTGTCCGGCATTATGTGTATATATTACGAATTGGTACTCCAGAGGATAAGAAACGAAGGTGTGCATCTCCTTGGACTGCTGTGCACTAACTGTGGCTAGACGGAAAGGATCATTGGGCTTATATACAGTCAAGAGCTAGGCACTTTCACTCAATCGCCTCTCGCAAGCTTTTCCAATGTGGTGCCATCAGTAATTCTCTCGCTCTCTCTCTCTCTCGAAGCTTTTGTCAACACATTTTGTGTTCATATATGGTGTTGTATGGCCTTCAACTATTTTTCGGAGTGGTGACCCTTGCAGAGAGGCGGTTATCAATGAATCCTCCTCTCTGGCTGTGACTATGCCCAAATATGGAAAGATATTAGAAGAGAACATTAAACTAAGCCCAATAAAACTACAATAATACCTCCTATTTACTCATCAAAATTATTGTTTACAACCGGAAATCAAAAGGTAATACTTTGTGCTATTTTTTTGACAAATCAAAGGTCAAAATTCTCATAACTTAGTCAAAAATGCATTAATTTCAATTGAAATTGCTGTTCTGTGCTAGTTTTTAAAGGGCTAAGAAATCTGCATACTCGGTTTATAGTTAACCATCGGATTAACTATATTAAATATGTATTTATATATCGCTAAATTTTGGGTAATTAAAAGATTTCAAAATGTTATAACTGAGTTAAAAATGCATTATTTCAATTCAGAAAGCTTAGTTTTTATAGGGCTAACAAATCTGCATACTCTGCTTTTAAATTTTAAAGTTTCAATTTTTTATCAAATTTTGACAATTTTAATGATGTAACCCCTTATAAAATTTTCAAATTTTGGAAAAAATTCAAAATTTTAATTTTTAACCGGACACGGTTAGATCGAATGAGCTGTTGATGCTGAACAAGAATATATATGGTTTATAGGGTCGGAAATGACTCCTTCCTTCACAGCTTCTGACTAAAATTATGAAAGGGTATAAAAAAAGTAAAGTATATTTGTAATTTATAATTGAACTCGGATAATAAGTTTATATAGTTTATGTAAAGTTCACTAAATCAAAGCTATTACAACCTGTTATTGTAGTATTAGTAAAGTAAGACAACGCTTTTTAAAACATAGGGCTCTTTTGATAGGAACGAAAAATATTAGGTGACGCATGTCGGCAATCAAAATGTTTAGGAATGGCTTTTCACAAATGATTACACCCCTTTTTCAGTAAGAATATATTCCAAATACGATTTTGCTTTTGTTAAAAAAATAAAAAAATAATAAAATAAAGTTTTTATACTGTTAAGGTCTAATATTCCTAATTGAAGTGAGGTAATAAGGCCTTCCAAGTTAACAATATATTTTAGTTCTGACTGATATCCAAGGCTCCACGATTGAGCAGCCAGGGTAGAATTAATTGGATGTGCTCCCGGTAGCGGGCATTGTTGAACATTTGCATCTGGAAATCAACTCCTTCGGAGGAGTCGCTGATGAAGGTCTCAAAACTGGCTTTGTCTGTGGGATCTACCAGAACTGTTGCCATAACTCCAGTGGCCACAGAGTAAGCTGGAGGAGACAATAATTAAGGCATTTTCATTGAACAGATTCAAGACTGAGTGCTTACCGAAACTTCCATATTTAAGCAGCGCCATGTGAATTTCTCTCAAAGTCGGCACAGACTTGGAGTACTTCAGGATCTTAAGGTGCTCCACCAGATTATCGTGATAAAACTTAATGTAATAATCAAACTTGCTCAGCTTATCTTCCAGCCTTGTGGATGAGAGCAGGAAGTACAGAAGATCATGGGCAACAGATCCATACTTGGGCGCCTGAAAATCAACCAAGTAGACCTCTTCAATCCTGCCGAAGTCATCGTACAGGAACATTATATTATTCGACCAAGAATCTCCGTGGTTCAGAACATTGAAGCCCGAGGGATCAACCTGATTAAGCTTGAACATCTCGTCTATTATCACGGGCTTCAAGGCTTTCTGTTTAGGAAGATATCAAAACCTGGTAAATACAATACAAATCCAAGAGGTTAATAAAGTCTTACGATCTTGTCTATGTACGCCTCATTTCCTTTGTAGTGTGCGCAACATTTGAGAAATCTCTGTCCTATGCTGCTCATCATCTGTTTCATCATCTCCTTGTTCTCCTCCTTGAAGTAGCTATTAAGGAGAATCTCCGGATACTGTCCCTTGGTGGCTAGCCGTACGGCAGTGGCGGCATGCCACTGGGCCAACTTTCGCAGCACTCTCTCGGCATGAGCTTGGTCGAGGCCCTCAAGGCGATTGGTGTTCTTGAATCCCCTGACACCAAGATCCTCCATAGCTATATACTCAGTCTGGGCGTTCTTGAGGTCATAGCTTTTGGCCCCGAATGTGATCTCCAAGCCGGCCTCCTTGTAGAGTGCCTCCATCTCGGGCACCACTTGGGTGTACATGGTACGCTCGATTTCGAAGACATTCGTGTGTTTCATCATTTCCCTGATAGCCTCCAACTGATGGGGTAACTTTAACATGTATGACACCAGCTTCGTCTTACCATCTGTGCGTGAGAGGCTTGGAATTAATAAAGCGTTAAAGGGGTTCCCCGAAGTGACTCACCTAGCAGCTCCACTTCGATGTGCACCCGCAGCATGACGGCGGCGTAGTTCTCTCCAGCCGCAGATCCTATTTCCGCCTTAAAAGTCCTGACCTTTAGGTATTTGTCCACACTGGACTTGAGGACATCCTCGAATAGTTCCGCAGTGACCCACTCAGGTATTATGCTAGCCGCCATTACAAATTAGTATTCTGGTTTTTAGTAAGTAGATCAAGTATACGTCCTGTTGCACTCTTCTGTGCTTACTGAGGTTTGAAAGTTGTGAAGCACTAGATTTATATCAGCTGGAGCTGTGTTTCTTGTCACTGTTTTGACCAATAATTGAACTTGGTTCTCATTCAAGTTTTTTCGTTTTTCAGTAAAGAGAGAGAGAGAGAGAGAGTGAGAGAGAACCAAGCACGATAAGCTCATTTTTTCCGTTTTGTTTTGCTAAGCTATTCGCTTGTGACCTTATAAGGCACTTGTTGATTTTTATTCTCTCCACTAATCACCGGTTTTTGGGTTTGTTTCTTTTCGCTTCTACAAATAAGAGAGCTAAAGTGAAAGCTTATATTTGGTTATCTCTTTCTTTGTTTTGCTCTTCTGTTTTGTTTATGCCCTTATATGGCACACGGTTCTCTTTTCTCCCTCATTATCTGATGTTAGTGTATGGCATTAATCATTAACGCGGTTTCGCCAAAAAAAAGCCAAAATAAAAGTTATGTGATATATTTATACCCTTCCAGGTTATTTTAATTTATGAAAGAGTCATTTCTGAACCTATAAACCATATATATTCTTGATAGGAATCAAAAACCGAATCGATCTAGCCATGTCCGGTTGAAAATTAAATTTTAAACTACATATTTAGTTTTCCAGCAAGTATTGCTTGTCTTAGTTTATAATATAGTTTTGAACCTTATCGGGTAAAGATTCAGTTAATGATATCTTCCCTTTAAATTCTGATTCAATTTAAGAATTTTTTGTGTAAATATAAGAAAGTGTTTGGTGCGGTAAATTTTTATAATTCAACCTAACGTTTCTCCGAAATTCCCCGAAAGATAATTTATTGTTAATAATTTGCTTAGAAGAGAAACAACCCAATGCATTCGTCCAGGTATTTTCTCTTATTCGCCTCTCTAATGCCGCCTCAAATATTTCTCTCTTAAAAGCTTTCTTGAATATTTGTTTGTTCATATTCGAAATATCTTGGCCTTCAACTACTTTTCGGAGTAATGACCCTTACAGTGCGGCGTTAACCATAAACCATTATCTGGTTCATACTATAGTGAAATAAGAAATGATACTATAGAGGCATATTAATAAAAATTGTTTAAACCATCTCTTGGATTATTTGTTATTGATACAAAAAAATGATTTCTTAAATATCCTCAAGTTGGCGTTTCCCCATTTCCCATTGAATAATTGCACAGTTTTACATTATGTTTTTGCAATTGTAAACTTTATATTGATATAGTTTAATACTTTTATACAAGGTCTTATGTCTCGGGGGGAATATAGTGTTCAGGTCTTCCAATTTAACAATAAATTGGTTTAATTCGCATCTAGTCTTGACTGATATCCAAGGCTCCTCTATTAAGCAGCCAGGGCAGAATCAGTTGGATGTGTTTCCGGTAGCGAGCATTGTTGTACATTTGCATCTGGAAATCTGCTCCATCGGCGGAATCACTGAGGAAGTTCTCAAAGCTGGCTTTGTCTGTGGGATCCACCAGAATGGCGGCCATAACTCCAGTGGCCACGGAATAAGCTGCAGAATTAGGTAAAAAAGAGTTTAATATCTTAAGGACTCAAGTACTTAATAGGCATACCGAAAAGCCCGTATTTGTATAGCGCCATGTGAATCTCCTTTAGACTTGGCAGAGGCTTGGAGTATTTCAAGATCTTCAGGTGCTCCACCAGATTATCGTGGTAAAACTTAATGTAATAATCGAACTTGCTCAACTTGTCCTCCAGTCTTGTGGACGATACCAGGAAGTAGAGTAGATCTTGGGCGACAGATCCATACTTGGGCACCTGATAGTCGACCATGTAGACCTCCTTGATTTTGCCCAAGTCATCGTATTGGAACATGATGTTGTTTGACCAACAATCGCCATGGTTCAGCACATTGAACTCCGTGGGATCGACCTGACCCAGCCTGAACATCTCGTCTATTATCACCGGCTTTAGGGCTTTCTGTAGTGAAAGTATTGATTTTATAGTAAATAACCAGTTTTAGGGCCAGCTCATCTTACGATCTTGTCTATGTACGCTTCGTGACCCTCGTAGGTGGTGCAGCATTGAAAGAATCTCTGGCCCATGCCTTTCATCATCTCGTTCATCATTGGCTTATTTTCCACCTTAAAGAAGCCCTTGAGCAAGATCTCCGGATACTGTCCTTTGGTGGCTATCCGTACCGCAGTTGCTGCATGCCACTGGGCCAACTTGCGGAGCACTCTTTCCGTGTGCGCTTGGTCGAGTCCCTCAAGGCGATTGGTATTCTTGAATCCCTGGACGCTCAAATCCTCCAAAGCAACGTAATCACTCTGGGCATTATTGAGATTGTAGCTGTTGGCACCGAACCTGACCTCCAAACCGGCCTCCTTGTAGAGTGCCTCCATCTCGGGCACCACTTGGGTGTACATGGTGCTCTCGCTTTCAAAGATATTCGTGTGTTTCATCATTTGCTGGTACATCTCCAGCTGATGTGGCAACTTGACCATGAAGGACACCGGCTTGATCTTACCATCTGTGGGTGAAAGTATCGAAATCAATAAAGTTTTAAAGGTGTTTCCCAATGTGTCTTACCCTGAAGCTCCACTTCGATGTGAACCCGCAGCATAATGGTGGCATAGTTTTCGCCCGCGGCGGTTCCTATTTCCGCCTTGAAGCTCCTAACCTTGGTGTAACCCTCCACACTCGCCTTAAGCGCATCCTCGAATAGTTCCGCAGTGACCCACTCAGGTATTTTGCTATCCGCCATTGCTGATAATAGGGATTTGTATTTGATTTGTTATAAAAGCAAACAAAAAAGCACGTATACGCCCGGTTTAACCGTGTTGCGTTGACTGACGTAAATTGAGAATTAGATAGGTTTATATCAGGCGTAGGTGAAGCTTTCACCATTCGCTAGAACTCGGAAGCTCTGCCTCGATCTCCTCTCTCAAGTTTTGCCCGTTTATTTCGCTTTCCAAAAGCTTCCCTTGTTTATAATTTCATGTTTAGAATATTTGTTTACATTCTCTTAACTATTCTTCATGGTGATGACCCCAATAATTGCGCTTACCTCAAAAACAAACACATGAATAGATTTTTGTTCAAGGGCATTAAAAGTAATTAGATTAATTCCGTTGATAAAATAAAAACTTTAAAATTTCGAGTGGAAAATTAGGTGTATTCAGGTTATTATTATATTACTCACATACTTCAAAATCACTGAAGGAGTCATTTCCGACCCTATAAAGCATATATATTCTTGATCAGTCCGGTTGGAAATTAAATGTTTTTTAATTTTTCCCAAAATTTGAAAATTTGATAAAAAATTTAAACTTTTAAATCTTAAAACCAAGTATGCAGATTTGTAAGCCCTATAGAAACTAGCACAGAGTAGCACAGAATTGAAATTAATGCATTTTTGGCTTAGTTATGAATGATTTACGGTCCCATGAATTAATCATAAACTATGTACAAGTGTATACGAACATCGGCATTCCTAAATTAGTTCCTCTTCTTCTTTGTATAATATTCCACGACGTAATATTTGTCAACAAGAATAGATTAATGTTTGTAAGTATGTAAACAACAAATTCTATTATCTTCTGATTTTCTCTCTCTAGAGTAATTTTTTTAGATAATTATATAGCCATGCTTGCTTGTGATAACTTTTTATTATTTAGTACTTTTACAATAGATTGAGCTCGGTATGAACCTGTTTGGCTCACTGCAATCCATTCATCTTATGTAACCCCTCTGAATGAGCCAGGGCAGTATGACTTTGATTTGATCCACGTAAGCCGGGAGCAGAAACATCTTCCGCTTGAATGCTGTCGCCTCCTCCGAATTGCCCATCACATTCGCTATATTCGAATCCAGATCCGCCGGGAGCAGCACTATGGGAAGCATTCGCTGTGCGCATATAAATGCTGAAATTACGGGAGAGAGAGATTTGGGATTCAGTACCCAAGCCGTAATGTGCTTCGCATCAAGGCTGGCCTTACCCCAGAGACTGTATCGGTGTAGATGGGCTTGGAACTGAGCCAGTGTGGGTGCGTTCCGGTTGTAGCTGAGCAGGCCGAGGTGCTCGACCAGCTGATGGTGATAATACTCTATGAAATGGTCGAATTTCTTTAATTTGATTGAGAACTTGGGGGAGGTCATCAGCAGGCACATTAGGTCCTGAGCAGGTGTACCTAAATATAAGGAATTCTGTGTTAAATTTATTTTTAATTTTCATTTAATACCAGTTACCATATTTGGGCAGCTGGAAATCAACAAAGCAGACGTCCTCCACCTCCGAAGATGCGTCCGTGTACTTAAACATAAAATTATTGCACCAAAAATCGCCATGATTGAGCACACTCAGCTCCAGAGGGTCGTTTTTGCCAAATTCTATATTCAGGTCGGTTAAACGGGAGGTGTAGTCACTCTGTAAAATTCATATATAAATATAAACACAAATAATACATATTAATGCTACCCACTATGAGGACCATTTGTCCCGGATCTAGATTATATGTCTGCATGCACTCCAAGAAGGGCACACAGAAGTTAATATTGAACTCGTCCAGCAACTTCTGGTGCTCGGCTGTGAAGTAGCTCTCCCTGAGACTCTTCTCGTACTCTCCCTGGTCGACGACCCTTTTTGCGGATGCTGCATGCCACTGGGCCAGCTTCTTGAGCACCGCCTCCACTTCGAATTGTTCCAGTCCCTGGGTTCTGTCCACATTTTTGTAACCCCTCTTTCGTAGATCCTCCAATAAGATGTAGTCACACTTGACCGCATTTTCGGGAAACTTGAAATGCAGCGCTTTGAACTTTGGTGATATTGTAGTATTATTGGCATATATCGACTCCAGTTCTGGTATCAGGCGATCGTACATATCTAGTTCCGTGGTAAACATATCGTGGAAGTCATGATCCTGGGCGTCTGGCACCAATGGTATCTTCAGTATATAGCTGACATCTTCGGTGCTTTCATCTGTATCTAAGCGTTGGTTACTTGATAAGAGAAGTGAAACACTGACTCACCTTTCAGCTGCATCTCAATATGTATACGCAGCACGATCGTCAGATAGTTCTCGCCTTTGCTGATCGCAGCTTCTGGGACAAACTTAACTATAGCCTTGAAGTTCTTATTATTCTTTTCCAGTAACCCATGAAAAAGCTGTTGGTTAACCCATGACGGTATTTCTTGGTGTGTCATAGTTGATCATATGACGATTTACTGACAACTGTTGCCAATGCCTTTCAGTAAGATACTGTCCGCGAATATTTTGTTTTGTGGAACCGAAAGCTCTTCGTTGTCTCTCTTAAAAGCTATACCTTTATTGAGCATTTTTCCCATACTCAGCTAATAAGAGCAATCGTTTTATCCAGAAGCTACAATAGCTCATCCGTAGCTACAGCATGTGAAATAAATGTTAAAATCTTTGGTTCTAATTCAACTAAAATGAATACCATTTATCTCACAACTTATTTTCATATATTAAATGACATCTCTATTTATCAGTTATAAAATGTCAGGATCATTACTCCTATGATTTGGCATTGTGCATGAAGACATGACGCCGGAGCTTATCAGGCCGCGCAAATTCCTTGGCACAGAAGGTGCACTGATAGGGCCGCTCGCCCGTATGTTTCCGGCGGTGTACCTTCAGCTCGTAGTACACCGTAAAGCGCATCTCGCAGAGATCACACTTGAATGGCTTCTCGCCCATGTGGCGCCGCATGTGAATGTTCAGCTTGTTGGGCGTCAGGGCTTCCAGGCCGCACAGCGAGCAAAGATACTTCTTACCCGGATTCTTCTTAGCCACGTGCATGTCGCGAATATGCTTATCCAAGCTTGGCTGAACGACGAAGGAACGCCAGCAGTGGGGACACTGGTAGCGGAAGCGTCGTTTCCTTCGCGACGGAGTCTGATTTTCTGGCATGGCGGTTTGCTTAGAATGCTGGGTGGCCAGATGCAGGGCGAGATTCTCCTCCCACATGAACTTGTAGCCGCAACGCGAGCAGACGAACTTCTTGTCGTTGTTCCTGCACTGTCTGTTCAAGTGCTGTTCCAGCATGGACTGAAAAATAGAGTATTATATAGATATGTGTAAAATATACCTTTATAAGTTCACTCACCTTATCCACAGTCGTGAAGATGCAGTGCTCGCAGGAATGTGGCAGCTTGTCGAAGCTATGCAGGGAGTACTGGTGCTCGCTCATCTCCCGTCGACGTCGGAAGCTTAGGTCGCAGAGGTCGCAACTGTAGGTTCTACTGGCGGGGAAACTCTCCTCATCACTGTCATCCGTGTCGTCAAGCAGGAGCTCAAATCCAGTTTCAGTGCTTATCATGTACGCCGATGGCTGGTCGCTATGGCCCCCCTGCATGGCGATGTGACGACGCAGATCCGCCACACTGATGAACTGAATGTCGCACATTTTACACTGGATACTCTTCTGACCCGCATGCTTGGAGGCGTCCGCCAGCAGAGTCTCGGCCAGCGGGAGATCCTGGCCGGTGAAACCGTGCCGCTGTACGTGTTTGTACAGCAGACCAGGGCGGTAGAAGGTGCGCGTGCACCAGCGGCAGGGAATGAGCTGTGCGTTGCCATCCCGGTGGACCATCAGCTTGTGTTTGGTAACGGCGCTCTTGTCCTGGAAGCTGCGGGAGCACTGATCGCACGAATAGTACTCTTGCTGAAACAGTGATGTCGAGAAAAGCAAGAAATAAAAAGAGATTTATAAAGTGCTTACTATTGATTTATGCGAATAACTCAAGGCAATTACAAAACGTAAAAATAATTAAAATTAAAATTAAATTAATTATGGTTCGTTTCTGAAAGCCTTTAAATGGATTCTCCTAAGTGTTCCCTTCATTTCATTGTCGAGGCTCACCTTGCTCTTGTGCTCGACGAGATGGGCGCGCAGGTTCCGCCGCCAGAAGAAGCGCTGCGGACACTTGTCGCACTGGAAGCGCTTCAGCGTGTTGTGGCACAGCTGACTGGTGTGGTGCTCCAGCAGCTGGGCACTGAGAAAGCGCGAGTCGCAGCGCTGGCATACATAGGGTGCGTCTAGCCAGGTGTGATCCTGCCGGTGGTGCAGGTGCAGCAGATACTTCCGCGGCCACCTAGCCTCCGGCGAGTCACATAGCTCGCAAGCATAGCTGCGCCGCAGCACAACGTCCCCCTCACCCTCACCCTCACTGTCCGTGTCCGAGCTGTCCATATTCATCTCGTAGCGCGCCTGGTTCGTTATGGAATAGTAGCGGCCATACACGCCCAGCCTGAGATCCCGAAATATGCGACGCTTCAGACCCTCCGTCGTGGACTCGACGGCAGTCTTGAAGAAGCCCTCGGCTATACGCTCGATGGGTTCTCCATGGGCCTCGAAATCGAAGTCAGTGGGATGGGCGTGCAGGTGATCCCTGAGCTCGCGCAGCTTGGTAAACCGACGTAGGCAGATCATGCACTTGATTTCTTTGGCCCCATTCGGCTCGCAGCTGTGCGGGTCGAAGTCCTCGACGCGTCGATTGATCCTCGAGGGCTTAGCAGAGGCTGCCGACGCCAAGACTGCGGATGTGGAGGCCAACGGCAGATCGTCCTCAGAGTCTGACTGTTTTTTGTCCTGATCCGTGTGCTCCCGATGCTTGTGTTTAATCAGGCTGACAATGTACTTGTAGGACTTGCTGCACTGATCACACTTGTAGTAGTTGTCAGCGCTACAGTTGCCGTCCTCGTCCGAGAGTCTGTGAGGGGAATTATGAAATCAAATACAAAGATCTAGTTAGGCTAAGTGATGGTAATATATTGGTGCCAGCAGAATGGAGATTTCTATGGCGCCCCTATAATGCCTTAATTTAGTTAATAGATCTATCTACTTACTCAACTGCCTTAATGATGCTGTGCACCAGGGCGTCAGTATTGCCGCGACTGCGGTGCGTTGAGGTTCCCGAGGTGGAAGCTGGACTAGACGGACTCGCATCGCCGGGCATAACAGAGGGCCTGCCAGGCATCTTTCGCCTGGAAGTCTTTGCGGGCAACAGACTAGCTCCGTGCTCTGCGTGCTTGTGTTTCACCAGCGCCATCACGTACTTGTAGGCCTTGTCGCACTGCTCGCACTTGTAGTAGTTGTCATCATCGTCTATCCTGGTGAGGTAAGGAAATCCATTAGAAACTAGACTATCTATAAGGGAATTTTACTTACTCTTCGCCGGGCTTGGCGGGCAGCCCATGATCCCGCTGCTTGTGGCGATACAGGTTGGTGACGTACCGAAACGCCTTGTTGCACACCTCGCAGATGTGCTTCTCCTCGACGCTGACGGTCTGTGGCGCTGGCGAATCCTTGCGCTGGAGCAGCGGAACATCGTCCTGATCACCTCCGTCCGAGTCGCTAAAGTGCACGATGGTGCGCCTGACGAACCGCGACCGTACCAAAGGATCGGCATTGGCCATGCCTCTTCCCATCTTCCGAGGCGGCTCCAGCACCTCGGACTTGATGGTAACGCCTTCGATTTCGAACAAATGAATGGGCGTCTCCCTGAGGGCCTCCAAGGCCTCCTGACCCAGCAGTTCGTCCGCGGAGTCGTCTTCCAGCTTGCGCAGCCACAGCTCGTGCGTTTGGCGCGCCTGCAGCACAAAGTCATAGCAATTCTCCAGCTTCTGGGCGCAGGCAGAGCACAGCCACTGGGGGAACTTCTCCGCCTGGGCCATTGCCACCTATTAAGGCAATAATTGGCATTAATGCGGGCGGAAATTGGATGACAATGGCTGGTTCACCTCGATCCTTGTTAGCTCGACCAGCAGCTGTCCGAAGGTCTTCTCCGCGTATTTCTCAACGGGTGTCTCAATCCAGTAGCGTCCGTCATCGCCGCCGCAGATTCTGCACGTCCTCGTCATCTTTCTAGCACATTTAATCCGTTTAAATAGTGACTCCCAGCAAGAAAAAGACAACAGCGTCTGATAAAAATTGCCAAGCAAACAGCTGAGCGGTTGAGTACAGTGTTGAGTAGCTCCGCAGCGGTTGGGTACATGGTACGATTGTATAAGGTGGACTTATCAACGTTGGACCATACATATTCTTGTTTTCTTTCTCCTCTTAGAGAAGCAAACGATTGCAATAACAATATTGTACTCAAAAAAAGTTCTTGCTTGGAGACCACCTTATAGAGTTTTACCATGGATAGCTAATTTATAGGCCACGCTGGTCACACTACTAAAAGGCCCTTGTTGCATTTTCTTAGATCTCAAAGGTTTTCATCATTTTCTTCTAGTTTATTCTTGTTTTCCGGGCCTAAAAATATATCGGATGTAATTGCACCGGCGGCACAATGCTTCCTCCGAATATTTGCCGCACTTGTGCGATTCCGAACACGGATTTGCGGCCATTGTCCACCTGTCTGGCCAAAGACGCCTCAAAAAGTTTCTATGATGTGCTCCAGGAGCTAACGCAAATCGATGTAAGTAGCCACTACAGATGCAGAAATGCCCCGCTAACACTTTTAACCCCATCGTATAGCCCCTGGTTGAGAGCTCGGGTGATAGTCTGCCGCAGCATCTGTGCACCGAATGCCTGGCGAGATTGGAAAGTGCCTACGCCTTTGTGGAACAGGCTAGGAAAGTCAATGGCGAGCTGTTGGTTCGTCTGCGGGAATGCCTTGACGAAATGCCCATTGACATTCCGCAGGAGCAGCAGCACATTAAAACCGAAGTAGATATCGAGGAGGCGGCTTCCAAGTATGTTGAGGATGTAGATTCCGCCCGTATATCGCCTGTGGAGTTCAAATGGCAGCCGGACAGTGAAAGTGATGGAGATTTTGCTGGAGCAGCATCCAGTAATGAGTGGGTATTATTAACTTGGATTACAGTTTGTACTATATTCTATTACTCCGTAGGAATGAGCGCGAGAAAAAACCCTATCCCCTGAGACGCAGTGCGCGCAAAATCAAGCAGCCTGTAGAGAGCGATAATGAGGAATCAGAAGTACCAACAGAACCTTCGCCCAGCAAACGTCGTCGTGGCCGTCCCCCCGGCCCGGCCAAGCGCCAGTCGATGACCTCCGATGGCCGTCACGCATGCAAGGAGTGCGGCAAGACCTTCTCCTGGTTCCGTGATATGCAGCGCCATGCCCGCATCCATTTCGAAAAATCCAACGCCTACGTTTGCGACACGTGCGGCAAGGGTTTCTTACGCAAGGACAAGTACACATTCCATCTGCGCTGCCACGAAAAAAACGATGCCAAAAGCAAGGCTCTTCAGTTGGGGAACGAATGGCGCTTCGCCGAACGGCTATACAGTTCCGGCAGGTTGAAAAGGATCGAGTGCAAACTGTGCGGCCTGAAGTGCCCTCGGATTCAGGAGCTCAGAATTCACTTGGTCAGCCATAAGAACGTGGAGAGCCTGTTCCAGTTGAGGGAGAATAGCGATGTGATTAAAGAGCACTATGCTGACCAGCCAGGTGACTTGGACGGCGTCAAGGATCAAATTGTCGTGGACATAACGGAAGGGCACTTGGAGAAGTTCGCTTCCATAGTAAATTCCCATGGCTACGAGCTGGGGCTGTATGACTCGGACGAGGAATACGCTGGCGGAGAGTCAAAATATGAATGCACGGCGTGCAATCTTCCCTTTGCGAGGAAACATCAAGTGGTGAGGCACACACTAGAGGAGCACGCCCAATCATTTTCCTCAGAGCTTCCCTGGAAACGGTGCGACTTCTGTAATATCGGATTCCTCTGCTCCAGACTCTACGATTGCCATGTGAACAGCCAATGTGACAGCAAACTAAAGCGGTATCGATGCGCAAAGTGCCCAGGGAAATTTATGTGGCCGGAAAATCAGCACAGGCACGCGTGCTCCCATCGCCACGAGGAACTGGCGCTTTCCCGCCAGATCTCCTGCTCCTTGTGCGACGAATCGCTGCCCACTTTGGCCCAGTTGCGTATACACTTAGTTACCCACCAAAGTAACATGAGTGGCATCGATCCGGAGCATAGTTCGACGTTCTTTCGGTCGTTTTATCCGAACGGACTGGATTGCACTCGGGAGGAGCTGGGTGTCCGCATAGCCGAAGACTTCGAGGTGCAGGACTTCGATCGCTACTACAACGCCTGCACGGGCAGTGGCCAAGAGCTGGATCTCTTCGATTCCGAGACAGAGCAGAGTGGCGACGATAGGGAGGAGGATGAGAAGCCGAGCGCTCATACCTGTTTGTTGTGTGGAAAGGTGACGAACAGACTCACGTCCCTACTGCAGCACCAGAACAGTGTCCATTCAAAAGCGACGACGTCAGATCTGCCTTGTTCCTGCCAGGATTGTGGTGCTAGCTTCATAAGCGACGCCCTGCTGCAACAGCACCGCCGGCGTATCTGTGGAAAGAAACATTTCCGCCGTCACTGCCAGAGCTGTAATCTCCGGTTTATCTGGCCGAGCAACTACGAGCTGCATATGAAGACCCATCATAGCGAGGAGAGAGAGGAGAAACAAATCGATGAGGGTGAGCATCGGGATGCCAAGCTGCAGTGCGACGTGTGCGAAAAGGTTTTCATCTGGCATAAGGATCTCACGCGTCACAAACGCTTGCACCTGCCGCAATCGGCGCAGTTCGAATGTCCGCATTGTGACCGAAAGTTCCACCGCAAAGATGGCCTCAAGTCCCACCTGCGGGTCCACACAGCTGCCCAGCTTGTTGAGCAGCCTCTCGCATCCGACAGTAGCCAGATTCTTGCTCTGCTTTCCCGACCTCATGGCTGTAAGCAGATTCAGTGCATGATCTGTCTCTCACGCCACTCCAAGATCTCTGATTTGCGAACCCACCTGGCCGCTCATCAATACGGACTGAGCTTCACCGCGGAAACCGATGTTTTCAGTATCTCAAAGTATCTGTACCCGGAACTGGGAACGTCCTTGGACAGAGATCAACTGGCGGAGAGAATTATGGCAGATATCGACCAGGGACTGGATCTGGATCGATTTATTTCCATCACCAATGAAGCTGGCTTGGAGCTTAACTTGGACAGCAGTGAAACGGACTCTGAATCCGAGGAGGAGGAGGAAAACCAGTCCAGCCAGAATTACGCCTGCAATCTCTGTCCCACGGAGGTGAAGAGAAAACATCAGCTTTATGCCCACCAAGGGGAGAATCATCAGTACGAGGAGGCACCTCTCGTTTGCCCGTACTGCCAGGCTAGGTTCGTCAACGAATCCCTGCTGTATCATCACTCCAGGACCTTTTGCGGCAATGTCCAGAAGCGCTTCCAGTGCCGGAAATGTCCGGTTCGCTTCCGATGGCGTGAGAACCTGAAGCACCACCTATATCTGTTTCATCAGCAGGCTGAGATGCTAGCTGCAGAGGATTCGTCGCAAGTGGATGCAGAACTGAAATGTGGTGAGTGCCAGCAAACGTTTAAGATGCAGAAAGATCTCACAAGGCACACCTTGATGCATGCCCGGGAGGCGACGATCTATCGGTGTCGCTGGTGTGCACGTCGATTTTACCGCTGGGCTAACCTCCTGCAACACATCGCGCGCCACGGCATCCGGGCTAGTGAGCTCCACTATGCCGAGGCCCTCCTGGACTCCTATGGACATCCAGGCGGTCAGAAAACCGTGGAGTGCCGGGTGTGCAATGTCAGCTTCGCCAGTATTGCCGCCCTGCGTCTGCATCTGGAGACCATGCCGGCAGGCAGTCACCACGAGCTCTCCTCGTTGAAGAACTATTCGATCACCAACCAAATGGGCTTTGAGCTGGATCTTCAGGATTCGGAAACGGATGAGGAGCAGGCGAAGCCGCCTGGCGTGCCTGCCTACTACACTTGTGGCATGTGCCAGCTGAGGTGCGTGAGGAAGTTCGAACTGCACCAACACCAGCAGGCCATGCACCGGCTGGAGAAGATTTCCGACGGCTGTGACCAGTGCATCTTTAAAAGCGTCTGTCCCGACATCATTGCTCATCACAAGAGGACCCAGTGTGCCAACCGGGAGAAGCAGTTTACGTGCTCCCGCTGCGGCTACAAGTTTATGTGGGAGGCGAACCTGCTTACGCACATGCAGCTGCAGCACGGAAAGACTGACAATCCGGAGCAGGAGGGGGACAAGGAGTCTCCAGCCGAAGAGCCTAAGACCGGAAGCCCAGTTTTCCAGTGTGCCCAGTGCCCCAGAAAGTACAACCGAAAGGATCGCCTGTCAGCGCACGTTAAAAAGTTCCATGGACCCGCTGGTAGGGGTCCCGAGGTCGCAAAGGTTCCCGCTACCAGAGCCACCTCACCCAAAGAACCGAAGCGCTTCCTGTGCGCCTTCTGTGGCAAGGCGGTCAGCTCCTCCTCCAACCTGATCATTCACATGCGACGTCACACCGGCGAAAAGCCTTTCAAGTGCGAGTTCTGCGCGATGGCCTTTCCACGGTCGTCGGACCTCCAGTGTCACCGGCGAACGCATACCGGAGAGCGGCCGCACGTGTGTACCGTGTGCCAGAAGGGATTCGCCCGCTCTTACAAGCTGCAGCAGCACATGCGCATCCACAGTGGCGAACGTCCGTACAAGTGCACCTACTGCGAGAAGAGCTTCACCCAGTCCAACGACCTGACACTCCACATCCGTCGGCACACGGGAGAGCGGCCCTATCAGTGTGGCATCTGCGGGGAACGTTTCATCCAGGGAACGGCGTTGAAGAATCATCGCCTGCAGCAGGGCCACTACGAGGAGGGTCAGAATTCTGGTGAGCCGGCAAGGCGCACGGTTTTGGAACAGTTCGCTGTATGAGACTTGGTAATAAAAATTCTGTTCACACAAAATAGTTTTTTTTATTTAGCTTAATTGATCTTATATAAATCCAAGAACCCGATATATTAATTTTTATTGTAGATCGAAATATATATGAATTTGGCCAATCATTGGCTTCTTGACCTTCGTATACCTCCAAAAATAGCTAAAATTGGTATATTGAATCGAAATTTGTATATGACGGGTAAATCTAAATTTCTCAATAACCATAACTGAGCCAAAAATGCATTAATTTCAATTCGGAAAGCTGTTCTATGCTAGTTTTTACTAGATACTACTATATCATAGAGCTCCCATAGGAACGATCGAGAAATTAATAAAATTAAAAATTATAACTTTTTCAGTTTTCAACAGATTTTCATCAAATTTGAGGTGTAGCCATTTTATATTAGTCTTAAATTTTGTGTCAAATTTCATGAAAATCGGACGACTATATCATATAGGTGCCATACAAACTATTGTTTGATGTAGAAGAAAAATGGAAATCTGTGAATGAAAAGCTGCAAATATAATATGTATAGGTGAATGAAATGAAAGCAGGTATTACTTCATTGTTTTTTAACACAAATATATATAATTTATATGGTATGGATTCCTAGTCATAGAATTTCTATCTGCAAGGGTATATAAACTTAGGCGTGCCGAAGTTAGCTTCCTTTCTTGTTAAATTTAAAAAATTCAATTTTTTTGCCAAATTTTGGCAATTCTAAGGAATTTAATTCTATCACCCTTATAAAATTTTTAATTTTCGACAAAATGTCAAAAATTTATTTTTTGACCGGGCATGGCTAGAACGACTGGGCTGTTGATGCTGATCAAGAATATATATGGTTTATAGGGTCGGAAATGACTCTTACTTCGTATGTCGTGTTTTAAATGAACATCAAGTGCTCTGTAGCATTAAAACTCAAAATACAGGGTTGAGGCAGGTTTCACCCTTAAGCGAAGAGGGTTGTTTCACCTATGGGCAGTGCCACCTGCTTTCTATTCTCGATACATGCCTGTATATCGTCCGTCATTGCCTTGACGACCGATCCAAGTGGCCCTGTTCTACCTGTCAGAACTGCTGCCGAAATAGTGAAGAATACATTGGCCCGACAGAGCGGAAATACAGATGCACTTACTCTTAAAATTTAGTTTTGAAAGTTTAGCACTCTTCAACTCGAAATTTGTTTAGTTTCGCCTAAAACCAGGCCTGAGTCGGTCACGACAAGATGGTCCAGCAACGGAGCAAGACGAGTCGCTCGCTGGCGGTCAGCGAAAATGGAAGCGAAGGTGCCGGCAGTAAAGATTCTGACCAGGTCCACTGCGTGGTGCTCCATGTGGCCGAAGGTGGGTTTAATATCTTGATTCAATAGTTCAGTTCAGTAAATATTTCTACTCTGTGCAGCCATTAACTTCTTGGGTCGTGAGGCCAGCGAGCAGAGAGATCAGATCGTGATGAACGCCGCCCTCAACACAGTGGACTTCGATGTGGAGGGCTCACAATCGGCGGTCAACGGGCCTATCGTCTTCAACAGCAATTGCATTTGGGAGTGCGATCTGGCCGGGATTAAGCGCATCAAGACGGACCACCGTCCCGTCAAGCTCACATTCACAGCTTGTAGCGGTGCCGGTGGGGTTGAGCGGAAAACTATTGGTAGCCTGCTTCTGCCACTGCGAGGACTTCCGGTACTCAGCACCACAGGCAGCCACAACAGTTCCCATTTGAAAATGATTTGGCACAAGCTCATCTGCATTAGCAGCGAGTTCCGGTCCCAGAAGCCGGAGGTGCTGCTAGTCCTGGCCATCATCAAAAAGTCCATATTGCACACGAAGGACTTTGACCATATCATGCAGTTCCCAGACGTGAGTCCGATCCTTAAGGAACATTTCTAAATAAGAATATATATCAATATGTATACCCTTAGCAAAAAGTGCCGCCCACGACGCCCCTGAAGTCGCCCGGTCACTCGATCACAGCCAGCATGCTCCAGTCGCAGGTGAGTTGTAGATGTTACCTAGGAATATTTTAGAGGAGATTTATTTCTGGACTTTCATAGGCCAACATCTACGTGCAGTCGTTGATGCAACTAGGCCTGCTGCAGGTGGGCAACGATCCGCTTATCGACTGCGACATCATCGAGGTGGTACTGCAACTGAAGCAGCTGAAGAAGGTGAACCGGCTGGTGAAGTGGCTCAATCAGGGCAAGGAGCCCAGCTCGGTGGTCGTGATGTTCGACTTTGTGGGCAACGTTACCAACATCGAGTTGAAGCTAAACGACTCCGACTCATACGTGGTCAACGACGTACTGGGGCTGCGCTTCAAGACCTCCTTACGCAGCATGCGGTTATACTTTCAACGCATTTTTTATTTGCCCTTTAACATGTACATGAACGGCACGGCTATAGGTGAGTATTTACCATAACATTAATTTCCGGAATCAATTCCAATATTCTCTTTAATAGCCAATTACCGCATGGACTTCAACAACCTGTTGCCACCGGACAGCCACTTCAAAGATCATATGGAGTATTCCAGCAACGGATCATTCCAGTTCAATCGAATTGGACGACAGGACAGCGCCAGGGATCCCAAGCCTCCAATTATGGACTACAGCTTTACCGTGGAAATCAAGAACAAACACGCGCTCCAGGAGCAGGTAGAGCCTGAACCAGTGCCATCGAAAGCAAGTGGAGTCATCAGGGAGCTGCCCACGAATCGACAGGATACGGAAGCGATTTCCCTGTCTCATGGGCAAAGTAACTACTCAGCAGCAAGCCTGAATATGGGTGCAGATATATCACTCTCAGGGGAATCCCGCGGCTCATTTTCAATTCAAGAAGATGATTACGATTTTGATACTCCGACAGATCATTCTGGGACGCATAACAAGCGCCGAAAGTTCACTCGATTGCCAGTCGAGGAACTCAATCTTGAAAGCGATGATGAACGGTGTCTGGAAACTAAGTTTTCCGAGCTGGTATGTGAGGAACTGAAAGGCGATTTCGCTGCTCATGAAAATGTGGAAATGGAAGAGGAGGAGTATTACAATCGTAGGGGTAAAAAATGTGTACCGAGTTCCGGTGAAGAGACTCTGGAAGCCAGGGCTTCCAGAAGTTCTAAATTGAATTCTGGCTCCGAGGAACCTCTGCTTCGCAAAAAACTAAAGGTAAAGACCAAGGTATCCAAACAGACTGTCGGGGAACCATCGCAACCAAGATTAATGGCTGACGAAGTGACATCCTTGCAAGAGTTTGAGTTGGATGAAATGAGATTAGCAGAGGAAAATAGAATGGAATTTGCAAACAGAAGCAGGATTAAGTCAGGTCAAAGTCTCAAATATGCAAACTCCCAAGTGGAGGAACAAGAATTTGAGAACTTTAGTGAATCGACATCCTTGCAACAATTTGAACTGGAAGAAAAGAGACTTGTGGAAGAAGAAAAAATTAAGTCTTCTATAAAGCAAAGAATCAATAAATGTAGTAACGAAAATGTACCAGCACTTACCAATCATAAAGTAAAAAAATCAAAAAGGGTAAGCAAGGAAGCAATTGTAATGGATTCCAACGAGCTGGAACTCAATAAAACATTAATAGCATCTTCAAGCGAATGCATCGCAGAGACAAAGGTACGCAAAAAATATGTGAAGAAGGTTCTGAAAACAAAGCCCAAGGAGGATATTGGCTTACCCCAGGATAGTTCTGTTAATCTCCGAAACTCAGAACCTTTAGCAGTAACCGATATAAGAGAAGACACGTTCGACTTTGCAGAGGATAACGAGCAGATGCCGTCCTCCAGTGAGAAGTTATGCAAGAAAGCAAAAACGTTAAAGATTTTTAAAATACATTCGAGTGTTGAATCAGTTGACTTAACTGACCAGAATGTCCAAGGCCAGCGTAAACTGAAGTCCAAGACATTGATGCATGAAGATCTATCCGATATATCTCTAAGTACCCAGGGTACTCACGGTAAAGCGAAGACTTCTGATCTGGCATTGCGAGCCCGCTGGGTTGAAGTGAATAAGGTGCAGTCGGCTGCCTTGGAGGAAACAGAATTGTATATAGAGCAGACCTGCCAGACCGAGCTGAACCAGATCCTGTACGAAGATCAGCTTGTACGCGGCCTGGCAAAGCCTTTGAGCCCCAAAAATAAACTTCGTATTGATACAGAAACCGAGATGATGCGCCAGTCTCACGGAAATCTAGGCAGGAAAAAGAAACGAGCTTTGCCGGCAAATAATCACGCTGAATTCAAGAGCTCCGAAGAATATTTCTCACTGCCGGAAAGCCTTTCAAAATCCGAAGAGGTGATCGAGCCTGAAATCAAGCCGCAGCCAGTGCGAGTACTGAAAAAGAAGAAACTTAAACAAACTAAAGTCGAAGAAGCGCCACCGGTTGAACTTAACGAAAGTCCAGAAGATCAAGTTGTTAGGCCCATCAAAAAAAAGGTTATCAGGAAAAAACTATCGGTCGTTGTAAAAAATAAAGAGCATTTAGAGAATGTAGAGCCCCAGGAGGATCTGGCTAGTGCTCAGACAAAGAAAATAATTAAAAGATCCAAACCAGAGGATGATGTCAAAGTAACTAAGAAGGTACCCTCCAGAAGTTCACGAAAAACACCAAGGGTTCGCCCTCCTTGGATGATTTTGAAATGGATAACTCCGCGGACACGGAGACAGTTGGCCAGAGGATCAAATCCTGGCGGAAACAGCAAATAGAGCGATTTGAAGATGAGCTAGCCCGCAAAGAGGAACACTATAAGGCCCAGTTGGAGGAAATGGAATACCAAGAACTTAGGATCCTTCACCAAAACCAAGATGATTCCGCTGAGGATGAGGTTCAAGCTGACAACACTGTGGATTACCAGGCCAAGTTCAATGAGCTAGAGCAGCACATTTCCCAGCTGAAAGCGGAAATGGAACAGCAGGTAATGCTCTTCGAAAGTCGCAGCTTGGAGCTTCGCGAGGAGAACCTGCAGCTGGCAAATGAAAAGGTAGAGCTAAAGGCTCGCATTGCGAACATGGAGGAGCAGATCAGTCAACTTCGCACCCAGGGCTCCGATGAAGCGGATCTTAAAGAGGTCATCGGCGAGCTGAAATCCCAGAATAGTTGGTATTTGAATGTGGCCCGCCAGAAGGATCGGTACAAGAAGCAGTGGCGACGCTGTGCCCGGCGAGTCCATGCCCTCAAACTGGCCATGTATGAGAAGAGCGCACAGAGCCAATTGGAAGAGAAGTGAGTCCATTCATTTTCCGTATATTTTCAAATTTATAAAGTATATTTCCTTTTCCCCATGCAGCACTATTAACCTGAGAGAAATCCTGACCAAAGACGCCTTGACCTTTGAGCAGGAGTATGGACCGTTCCGCCGCTGTGACACATCTGACAATTTATCTTTCACCTCGTTATCCGGCTCGGGAGACGCCCCTGATACGGCTCATATACCTACCCCGCAGTCTATCTCTCATTCCATCTCCCAGTCCATCGCCGACTCTATCTCCGAGTCTATCTTTCAGTGCAGCTTCCAGTCTGGCTCTTTGTCTGGCACCCAGTTTGGCTCCCAGTCTGGCTCCCAGTGTAGCTCCCAGTGCAGCACCCAATCTGGCTCCCAGACCATTCCCCAGGACAACTAGCCTCTAATCCCTTTGATTTTACCAAATTAACTGTGAGCATTTTGTACTCTATTTAAGTTCTTTATTTTGTTCGTTTAATGATCTGAAAATAATAAATGGTACAAATAACTAAAACTATAGTTCTCCTCTGGTTCTACTCCAACTGGAAGCCCACGCGCACAAAGTAGGGCAACGTGTCCAGGGCAGCTGGATAGTCCATTACCCAGGTGGGTCCATGGTAGACCTGATCGCTATTGCCGTCCTTCCACTCTCCCTCCGGCAGGTAGATGTCGCGCTGGGTGGCTCCCTCCACCACGACGGGAGCAGCGATTATGTCGTCTCCCAGGAGGAACTCTGTGAATAGAATTGTTTATTAGTATTTTTGATAGTAATTAAGTGCTGATTAGTGACGGAAACTTTTGTTCGCTTGAAAACTGGCAGGTTATACATTATGTTTTATCAGAAATGTCACGCTAATATCATTCCACATGAACGTGCTACTACTACTCACCATCGTAGATAGACTGCGCCACCTTATCGGTGGGTGAGATCCACCAGAGCGGAGCATTCACTGGCTCTCCGGAGTCCACGGCACGCTGGAACAGCTTCATGATGTAGGGTGTGTAGGTGGCGTGCATGTCGGTGAACGTCTTGCTTATGGTAATGGCCTCATCGTCAAAGTTCCAGGGCACGAAGGAGAACTGGAGGGCGGGCATAAAGACATTGGCCTGCAGCCAGCGGAGGAAGAGCTCCTTGTTCGGGGGCCTCTCTTGGTAACCATTGCCCCCGATCATGTCCGGCAGGACAAAGGGATATCCGTTGAGGTTCATTTGTAGCATAGAAGAGATCAGCGTGAGCAAACCATTGTTCCAGCCCCACTCGGAGTCCTTGTCCACAATGCGTACGAAGATGGGTAGCTCCTGGGTGCCCTGTGCGGATCGCACCTCCACCATGTCCCCGAAGGCGGCAACAGTGCGCACATAATCGCCCACAGCCTGGAGAGGAGTCACCATGGAGCTGCTGGCTTGGATAACAGGATCACTGGGCAACCAACTGGTCTCGCCGGCATCGAACTTGAAGCTATCAATGCCGTCCTCATCCTGTAGCCGCTTCAAACGGTTGGAAAACCATTCCTGCACTTCAGTTTTGGTGAAATCCAAGATGGCCGCATCCTTGGGCTTACTGTTCCACCACTGGGTGTCGGAGCTTCCCTCATGATCAAGCACCAGATAGCCCAGAGACTTGGCCTGCTCGTAAATGGCTGTGCAATTGTTGTTGATGAAGGGATGGATCCATAGAGTCACACGGAAGCCCAGGGCCTTAAGATCGTCCGTCAGGGTTTTGCTGTCAGGGAACTTGTTCTTCCTGAAGGTCAGGGCGCCGTAGCAGTCCTCCCAATCATCATCGATCTCCAGCTGACTGTTGTTGAAACCATTGTCCAGGATCTGTTTGGCAAAGTCCCTGACCACTTCATCGGTGACCTCCGCCTTGTAGAGCGCCCAAGTGGACCACACTGGGTGCATGACCATGCGTTCATCTGGGAAGCCCGTGGGTTGTCCCAGAAAAGTTTTCACGGCATATTTGTGCGCCGCCTTGGCGTCCTTAGCAACGGCCACATGATAGACGAATTTTCCGGAGGTCACTCGAGGATCGTAGGGCAACTCACTGGTGGCACTCAGGCAGAGCTGACCCGGATATGCCGCTGTGTTCTGGTCAAGAAAGAGCGGGGTGTTGCTCTCCACATAAACAAAGGCACCGGCGCTGTTCAGCCAGTACCGCTCGCCCACTCCAAAGTTGTCCAGCTCCTTGGGCAGGTAGGAGTAGTTGCTGTGCACCTGACGCTCCACGGGCCAGTAGTGCTGCTTCTGCTCCGGGCCACTGAACCAGTGAGTGGATCCCGTATTCAGGGGGAAGCAATCCCTCGGCTGGGTGCCCTTCAGCACCCGATCGCGGGACACCCGCACATGGGTGATGTCACTGCCCGTGCCGGAGACCACACCGCTCTGGACCAGCGTAAACTGCACGACGGTCGTGCCATCGGTGAGGGTGTAGCCACCGCTGTCCGTCGCCACCAGATTCGCACTAGTCGCAAAGTTGTCGAAGGTGACCGTTTGCAGGGTCTTATCACCCTTCATCAGCTCGTACTGCAGCTTGTCACCGCGCCTCAGTCGGACGTAGATGTTGCTATTTGGGAACTTGTAGCGCTGCTCGATGCTGGTGCAGCTGGACACCGCCTCCCAGAGGCAGCAGGATGAAGCCACCACCAGCAGCAGGGACAATAAAGCGAACCTCATATTCTTTTTGGTCTCGCGAAGAACGACTGCCGGTCAGGTGGCAGGCAATGGTCCTTATATAGCTGCGATTAGGAAATCGAGGAAATACTAAAGAGCTCTCCGACCAGTCATCAGCAAATAAAGCTCTTGAAGATTGTCAACACAGGGAACACTTCAGTCCGGTGATAACCCCCCCATGGCTGATAAGTACTGTCCAACCTGGGTTTTGTATATTTTCCATTAGGTAATTAATGATTGTAAGCGCCGAGATTGCAGCTCACCTACTTTGATAGTTTTTTTATCAGCAAATACAAACCTAAACTATTATCTGGTGAAGAGTACCCTGAAAGTCAAGGACCCCTTTGAAGGCAACCTTTTAGAATCGTAATACCGTGATTCGCTATCTTTAGAAAACATTATCAGGACTACCTCAAGTGTCGATGACTGTGCTTTTAAAATATTGTTTACAAAGTAAAAGAACTCAACAAGTTTGATGACTAATAAAATATAGAATCAAAAAACGAAGCTAACTTCAACAACCTGAAGTTAGTACGCCAATAGGCATAGGATTAAATCAATCTTTCTATATTGTTATATTTTAGGTAATTTAAAGATTAAAGACTAAGTCAAAAAACCATTAATTTTAATTCGGAAAGCTGTTCTATGCTAGTTTTTAGTAGACTAACTAAGCTGCATACTCAGTTTTTAAATTTAGAAAATTCAATTTGTTGCCAAATTTTAGCAATTTTAATGATGTAACCCCTTATGAAATTTTCAATTTTCGGCAACATGTCAAAAATTTATTTTTTGACCGGGCATGGCTAGAACGACTGGGCTGTTGATGCTGATCAAGAATATATATGGTTTATAGGGTCGGAAATGACTCCTTCACTGCGTTTCAAGCTTCGGACTTAAATTATATTCTTCAAAAAGGTATAAAAACAGACAATTTTTTTGAAAAACCAACGTTTTTCGGACATCATAATTAAGCCGAAATTGCATTAATTTTAATTCGGAAAGCTTTTCTGTGCTAGTTTTTATTGCACTAACAAGTCTGCGTACTGCGTTTGTTGATGCTATTGTCAGTTTTTGCCTAAAGATAAAGAAACCTGCAAAAAGGTATAAAAACAGACAATTTTTCCTAAAAATCGTAGTTTTAAAAACTCATAACTAAGCCAAAAAATCATTAATTTTAATTCGGAAAGCTGTTCTATGCTAGTTTTTAGTAGACTAACAAAGCTGCATACTCAGTTTTTAAATTTAGAAAATTCAATTTGTTGCCAAATTTTAGCAATTTTAATGATGTAACCCCTTATGAAATTTATTTTTTGACGGGGCATGGCTAGAACGACTAGGCTGTTGATGCTGATCAAGAATATATATAGTTTATAGGGTCGGAAATGACTCCTTCACTGCGTTTCAAGCTTCGGACTTAAATTGTATTCTTTAAAAAGGTATAAAAACAGAGATTTTTTTGAAAAACCAACGTTTTTCGGACATCATAATTAAGCAGAAATTGCATTAATTTTAATTCGGAAAGCTTTTCTGTGCTAGTTTTTATTGCACTAACAAGTCTGCATACTGCGTTTGTTGATGCTATTGTCAGTTTTTGCCTAAAAATAAAGAAACCTGCAATAAGGTATAAAAACAGACAATTTTTCCTAAAAATCATAGTTTTAAAATCTCATAACTAAGCCAAAAAATCATTAATTTTAATTCGGAAAGCTGTTCTATGCTAGTTTTTAGTAGACTAACAAAGCTGCATACTCAGTTTTTAAATTTAGAAAATTCAATTTGTTGCCAAATTTTAGCAATTTTAATGATGTAACCCCTTATGAAATTTTCAATTTTCAGCAAAATGTCAAAAATTTATTTTTTGACCGGGCATGGCTAGAACGACTGGGCTGTTGATGCTGATCAAGAATATATATGGTTTATAGGGTCGGAAATGACTCCTTCACTGCGTTTCAAGCTTCGGACTTAAATTATATTCTTTAAAAAGGTATAAAAACAGACAATTTTTTTGAAAAACCAACGTTTTTCGGACATCATAATTAAGCCGAAATTGCATTAATTTTAATTCGGAAAGCTTTTCTGTGCTAGTTTTTATTGCACTAACAAGTCTGCATACTGCGTTTGTTGATGCTATTGTCAGTTTTTGCCTAAAGATAAAGAAACCTGCAAAAAGGTATAAAAACAGACAATTTTTCCTAAAAATCATAGTTTTAAAATCTCATAACTAAGCCAAAAAATCATTCATTTTAATTCGGAAAGCTGTTCTATGCTAGTTTTTAGTAGACTAACAAAGCTGCATACTCAGTTTTTAAATTTAGAAAATTCAATTTGTTGCCAAATTTTAGCAATTTTAATGATGTAACCCCTTATGAAATTTTCAATTTTCAGCAAAATGTCAAAATTTATTTTTTGACCGGGCATGGCTAGAACGACTGGGCTGTTGATGCTGATCAAGAATATATATGGTGTATAGGGTCGGAAATGACTCCTTCACTGCGTTTCAAGCTTCGGACTTAAATTATATTCTTTAAAAAGGTATAAAAACAGACAATTTTTTTGAAAAACCAACGTTTTTCGGACATCATAATTAAGCCGAAATTGCATTAATTTTAATTCGGAAAGCTTTTCTGTGCTAGTTTTTATTGCACTAACAAGTCTGCATACTGCGTTTGTTGATGCTATTGTCAGTTTTTGCCTAAAGATAAAGAAACCTGCAAAAAGGTATAAAAACAGACAATTTTTCCTAAAAATCATAGTTTTAAAATCTCATAACTAAGCCAAAAAATCATTAATTTTAATTCGGAAAGCTGTTCTATGCTAGTTTTTAGTAGACTAACAAAGCTGCATACTCAGTTTTTAAATTTAGAAAATTCAATTTGTTGCCAAATTTTAGCAATTTTAATGATGTAACCCCTTATGAAATTTTCAATTTTCAGCAAAATGTCAAAAATTTATTTTTTGACCGGGCATGGCTAGAACGACTGGGCTGTTGATGCTGATCAAGAATATATATGGTGTATAGGGTCGGAAATGACTCCTTCACTGCGTTTCAAGCTTCGGACTTAAATTATATTCTTTAAAAAGGTATAAAAACAGACAATTTTTTTGAAAAACCAACGTTTTTCGGACATCATAATTAAGCCGAAATTGCATTAATTTTAATTCGGAAAGCTTTTCTGTGCTAGTTTTTATTGCACTAACAAGTCTGCATACTGCGTTTGTTGATGCTATTGTCAGTTTTTGCCTAAAGATAAAGAAACCTGCAAAAAGGTATAAAAACAGACAATTTTTCCTAAAAATCATAGTTTTAAAATCTCATAACTAAGCCAAAAAATCATTAATTTTAATTCGGAAAGCTGTTCTATGCTAGTTTTTAGTAGACTAACAAAGCTGCATACTCAGTTTTTAAATTTAGAAAATTCAATTTGTTGCCAAATTTTAGCAATTTTAATGATGTAACCCCTTATGAAATTTTCAATTTTCGGCAAAATGTCAAAAATTTATTTTTTGACCGGGCATGGCTAGAACGACTGGGCTGTTGATGCTGATCAAGAATATATATGGTTTATAGGGTCGGAAATGACTCCTTCACTGCGTTTCAAGCTTCGGACTTAAATTATATTCTTTAAAAAGGTATAAAAACAGACAATTTTTTGAAAAACCAACGTTTTTCGGACATCATAATTAAGCCGAAATTGCATTAATTTTAATTCGGAAAGCTTTTCTGTGCTAGTTTTTATTGCACTAACAAGTCTGCATACTGCGTTTGTTGATGCTATTGTCAGTTTTTGCCTAAAGATAAAGAAACCTGCAAAAAGGTATAAAAACAGACAATTTTTCCTAAAAATCATAGTTTTAAAATCTCATAACTAAGCCAAAAAATCATTAATTTTAATTCGGAAAGCTGTTCTATGCTAGTTTTTAGTAGACTAACAAAGCTGCATACTCAGTTTTTAAATTTAGAAAATTCAATTTGTTGCCAAATTTTAGCAATTTTAATGATGTAACCCCTTATGAAATTTTCAATTTTCAGCAAAATGTCAAAAATTTATTTTTTGACCGGGCATGGCTAGAACGACTGGGCTGTTGATGCTGATCAAGAATATATATGGTGTATAGGGTCGGAAATGACTCCTTCACTGCGTTTCAAGCTTCGGACTTAAATTATATTCTTTAAAAAGGTATAAAAACAGACAATTTTTTTGAAAAACCAACGTTTTTCGGACATCATAATTAAGCCGAAATTGCATTAATTTTAATTCGGAAAGCTTTTCTGTGCTAGTTTTTATTGCACTAACAAGTCTGCATACTGCGTTTGTTGATGCTATTGTCAGTTTTTGCCTAAAGATAAAGAAACCTGCAAAAAGGTATAAAAACAGACAATTTTTCCTAAAAATCATAGTTTTAAAATCTCATAACTAAGCCAAAAAATCATTAATTTTAATTCGGAAAGCTGTTCTATGCTAGTTTTTAGTAGACTAACAAAGCTGCATACTCAGTTTTTAAATTTAGAAAATTCAATTTGTTGCCAAATTTTAGCAATTTTAATGATGTAACCCCTTATGAAATTTTCAATTTTCGGCAAAATGTCAAAAATTTATTTTTTGACCGGGCATGGCTAGAACGACTGGGCTGTTGATGCTGATCAAGAATATATATGGTTTATAGGGTCGGAAATGACTCCTTCACTGCGTTTCAAGCTTCGGACTTAAATTATATTCTTTAAAAAGGTATAAAAACAGACAATTTTTTTGAAAAACCAACGTTTTTCGGACATCATAATTAAGCCGAAATTGCATTAATTTTAATTCGGAAAGCTTTTCTGTGCTAGTTTTTATTGCACTAACAAGTCTGCATACTGCGTTTGTTGATGCTATTGTCAGTTTTTGCCTAAAGATAAAGAAACCTGCAAAAAGGTATAAAAACAGACAATTTTTCCTAAAAATCATAGTTTTAAAATCTCATAACTAAGCCAAAAAATCATTAATTTTAATTCGGAAAGCTGTTCTATGCTAGTTTTTAGTAGACTAACAAAGCTGC